GTTGTCTCTGTGTGGCCCGGTGATGGACTGGCAAGGCAACCCTCCTCAGAAAAATGAGTTCAGAAAAATAGTGAGTGTGTCGCTTTGTGCTCCAGAATGGATACCTTTAGTTTATTTACAACACACATGTGCATATGTAATGTAAACAAACTGTATCAAACCAAGATCAGATTTCTTCATGGACCTAGAAAGAGAATTTAAATAAACATTGGAGGCTCTAGTACAAACAAAAATGACGCAAAGTGAGCAAACGTGTATCCTGTACTTTCATAATAGCAGAAATAGTTTATGAGCATCTAAGAACGTCTGATTTGAAGAAGGTTTATGTACATGTGTGTTCCAGATGCAAAAGCATGAAAATTTAAAATGAAAACTCAACCACTTCACAAATCTAATTTTAAAAATGAAACGCTTGGAACAAAACCAAGTGGCAGTTTTCTTTTTCAACAGGTTGAACTCTACGACCCTGTACAAAAAATAATAGTGTAAGTAATTCCTACACTAAACCACTGGTCCCGTTTCAGTAAAAATAGGTTTTATCATGATGTGATAACAGCCTCAGGTATAAAACATTATGAGACCATGTCATACTTCTCCTGGATCATGACATGTCACAAATTCATTAATTGATGACTTATTAATCATCCTTTTCCTTGACTAGTGGGATTTATTCTGGATTAACGTGTCTCTGTTTTACAGGCTTCATTGATCATGTGCTGCAGAAACAGATACTCAGTCCAAAATGTGGAGAATGTTTCCTCAAATCCAATCAGCTAATTATGCTTTATAATATTAATGAATGACTTATGTGGTAAATAAACTCTAAAAGTATAAAAATATCCTAAATCAATAGAACTGCTAATGCTGCTAAAAGAGTGAGCCTTTTGTTTATATGTAGATTTATTATTTTGTTTGGAATTTTCCAACGATGTCAGAGGAATGAATCATCATCAAAATTGCTGAATAATGATCCAACAGCAATGAAAGAATGTATATAGAGCCTTCTTTATCTCCAAACCTGAGAAAAAAAACATTTAGTACATCTCTGGCTTTCTTCTTACCAAACAAGCTGGTAAAATCCTTTAGTTTGACAAGTTTGTTACAGAATAAGCAAAAAAGATAATATGGGGAAATCCCTCAGCTACACAGGGAACAAAACATTGTACGGCCTGATGTGTGTTGGAATCCACGTCTGCTAACACACATTACAGGGAAACAGGAAGGCTAGTAGAACCCAGATGTGTGACATCATCATGTCAAACCATGAGTGTGATCCAATGTCCTTCTCTATTTGCTTCCTTTTTGTGGCCAATCGTTTTGTGCATTAGACTCCTGTTTTCAGAACCGAAAAATACACACGAGTCATGAATTTAAAACCTGCCATAAAACCGTCTGTGTAATCAAAGTGTGACAGGGTGAGGGTCACTGCATCCTGATTGATCCTGTATCCTGGCTACTTGACCAAGGGGATGTCCCTTTGGATGACCGGTAAGCACGCATGACTTTCACCTGGAAGTCTGGGGTTTGAATCCTGCCTGGGCCCTTGTTTCTTTACCTTGTCACAAAAGGTTTTACAGCTAAAAAGTATGGCTGATCCAAAAGTTGATCTTTTCATTATATTGCTTAGCTTAAATAAGCAGCTCATATACAGAAAGTGTTTTATAACTTACTGGTTGTGAGAGGTGGTTTTTTTTTTTCATTAAAATTACACATTTAACATTTGCTTCAACAATTTAAGGCAAAATATACAGAAACAAAAATAACTTTGGTTATTGTGACATAAAGTTGTGCTTCACTTTTTTTATCAATACATTTTCAGTGCTTTCTAGTAGGAATAAATGCCTTGTAAGTTGTACTGTGGGTACAAAAAGCCCTGGTGCACTGTTTCAGGATCTAGAAGATTGCCAGATCAGAGGAGAGCTTCAGACAGCAGGATTTGGCGTCTTACTTCCTGATATTTGGGCATCTCACCTCTGTCTAACAGCAATGCTGACACAGTTTTCTCTGCAACGCTGATGTTTTGTCTCCACAAATAACTCTACTCTGGAGGAGTTTTGCTGTATGGTGGAGCTGCTAATGCTAACAGTTAGCTTCTACTAGGCCAAGATGTGGCCTGATTTTTCCTGGACACTAAAACAACAATAGTCTTCCTCACAGTGAGTCAAGATGAGTGAGTCCATGAGTGTTAGGCTACAATGTGATGTCATGCTGTCAGGCTTTTGAAGTCCTAGAGTTCCACCATCTATTTTCTATCAGAAGCTAATGCAGGAGAAAGGTGTAGGAGACTATTTTCATGTTCAGCCTACATAAAAAAAGTCAGAGTGACTGATTATTATCAAAAATTATCATTAAAAATGGGTTTTCAGTGAACCACTTCTTTAAAAAATCTCAGCTGGCTTCCCTTTTTATTATAAAGTCTTCCAAGTTGTTATAGGTTTACCCATTGATTACAGTGATATAGTGTTATAATACAAAGTCCATGTAAAAACACATGCTCCATTTAAACATTCATTGCTGAATAAACATGTATAAATCTTTGCCGTGCTCACAGATATCATAAACCAGTACATCATCATAAAAATTTTAAAATAAATCCTAACCAATAAAAATTCCTTTCACTAAAAGAAGCTACAAATGTCAGATGTAGATTTGTCAAAAATAAGTGAAACATTAATGTGAACTGAAGCAAACATAGCAATATTTTACATTAATTTAATCTTAAATTCTTTAATTAGTATTAAAATATTTAATTTTTACTAACATACTCAACGATACTCTCATCTACGGAAGCAAATTACTGTCAGTCCAGGGAAAAAACAAAGAATCAGCATTTTGTAATAACGAGAATGTTTCTCATCGTAAAGTGATATAAATCTTGTTTTAATGAGAACGTTTCTCAAAATTATGCGTTTAATAACTCTTAATATTGAGAACAGATCATAACGGTAAAATGGCGGTTAAACGTTGTGGAGTTCTACTCAGAATGAACAAAGCAACTATTCCAGTTCTTGATATTAATAAACCTTTGGAAAGTACAGCAGTGGCACAACAACCGGGGTAAAAACACCAAACAACGGTGCTTGAATCAACAAATTACGCTCGCTAGCTCTCTTCTCTGCTTGCTGCGCCCTGCACACCCTGTTGCCAAGGCAACAGAATGACAGCTCTTCATACCTATAGGTTGCTTTTAATTCTAGGCAAATAGCATCAAAACACCTTCAGATTTCCCACTCAGAGAGAACATGCAAGTGTAATATCAGGACATTTATTTTGTGGATATATTTTGTGAATGTGAAAAAGCACAAACAGGAAGTCAACTTTATCCGTAATCATAAGGTTGCAGGTTCGAGCCCCGCTCGGTCTGTCACTGTCGTTGTGTCCTTGGGCAAGGCACTTAATCCACCTTGCCTGCTGGAGGTGATCGGAGGGACCGGTGGCGCCAGTGCTTGGCAGCCTTGCCTCTGTCAGTGCGCCCCAGGGCAGCTGTGGCTACATCGTCGCTCATCCCCACCAGGGTGTGAATGTGTGTGTGAATGGGTGAATGACTGATTGTGTTGTAAAGCACCTTGGGGGGTTCCAGGACTCTAGGACGCACTATATGAAATACAGGCCATTTACCATTACCATTTATTTTACTTTGAAAGCTACACCTTAACTACAAAGTATCGCTATCTTGCTTTGATGAGAAATCGTGAGGGCTCAGGCTGTTTTCTCCATAGTTTTCAAAGTGGAGGATGACCTGACGAAAGTATGAAGGAATATGTTCTGACTTGTTACTTAATCTTCGAACGACATAAAGAAGTTCTCTCTGACTCCATCTTACTTTGTTTCTTCTGGACATGATTCAAACATCCTGCGAGATTCAACATTTCAACCTTTAGCGCTTTCTCAGTATTACAAGTATTGAAACACATTATTTTGAGAAACGTTCTTGTTAATAAGAGATACACATCACGTTAAAACAAGATTTAAATCACGCTAATGATACTTAATTCTTTTTCCGCACTGACGGTAATACGCTTCCGTACCCATCCAGTTGATTTCGTCCTTGTGTTAAAGCTCGAAAAGCCACATCATCATTCTCAATGGAGCCTGCTGTTTAGTGTGTGTGATGATAAGAAACCACAGATACACCTCACACTTTGATTTTCATGAAATAAAACCTCCAAACTCAAAGAATCGCGGAATCTTTTCTTTTTTTTATAAAATCAATGACACATTATGATCAAATTTTAATGTTTTATTGTGTTTGTGTGAAAAAGGAGGTCGCAGGAGTGCCTTTTTTATTTAAAATGACAAAAACAAAGAGGACTTCCAGGATGACCCTAAATTTTGAAAACCACCCCCACTTTCTCACTCCCTGGCCAATAAGGAGAAGAAGGAGTGTGTGTGTGTGAACGCTATAAGAGAGGGCGCATGCAGGTGGAGGAGTATCATACAGGTGTGTTCGGATCCACCCTCCTGTGCTAGGGTGCACTACCACTAACCCAAAAGGTACAGATATCCTTATTTTTCCATTATTGATTAAGATTTGTGTCTTTTATCTGAGAAATTAGAGAAACATGTGACCGTCTATTTCACTTCTTTGTTTCTGTGGTTTCATTAGTGTCTGATGAGTCTTTTCTAACTCCAGATCTTCAAAAGCATGTTGACAGGACTGGAGACGGTGAGTTTGATGCTTTATTAAATGTATTTATTATTAATAAAAACTCATTTTTATGCTGATGGAGTTTGCTGAGATCATAACGGATGAGTGTACCCTGAGAGTATACAGAGCAAAACCTAAGCCATTCATCAGCGGTACGAGGATGTTATCTAGGCTGATGAAAACACAAACACTTGCATAAATTTGCCAGTCAAACTAAAATACACATGGTCTCAGTGTTGTTAACTGGCTGTTTTCCAAGTCCCTGCAGTATGCAGAGTTGATCGGGTTATATTTGACTCAGTTCTGAGTTCTCATTACCATCATTTTTCATTCACATTCATTTAATCAGGAGCATCTATCAGTCGTCTAGTTGAACCCGATCAAATTCACATGATGAGTTCTGTGAGTCAAATATTGAATCTAGAATTAAAAATCAATATGTTATAGAACAGCCAGGCTTATTTATAATTAACGAATCCTCTACAATAGAGTGATATATTTATTGTTAAAGACATGACTGATGTTTTGCTTTCCGATATGACCTTAGCCTCTACCTGACAAAAGAAAGTTTGCTACATGTGCTCAAAATGGTGTTTGCTTTAAATATCAACAACAAAAAGGAGAGACAACAAATTTTAAGCGGGTCCCGGGTTCTGTCTGTCAGATGGCGTATGTGACTGAGATCAAGCTGAGTGGAAGCCGGGGGCCCTGGAGCGGATCTGCTCCCTCCTCCTTCCCCGAAGTGGACCTGGAAGTCATTGAGGAGTACCTGCAGGAGCACTCGCAGGAGGTCCAGCCTGCTCACACACCCATGATGGCCGTGGAGCAACAAATGCAAATACACACCCATCGAGATTCCACGAGCATGGGTGGGTGGAAGTCCTTGTGGAGTGTTGCTGTGGGACTTTAGACCTTTATCCTGACTGGACCTTCTGATTGGTTGTTCCTACAGAGAACCGATGGTCAGATCAGCATGCATACGAGTGGCACTATGTCTCTCACACTCCTAACAAGGACGAGTTGGTTCTGAATCCAGCCTGGACAAGTCCCCACGACGACCAGTGGGTGAGTACAAGGCTTCGATGTGCAATTACATGTTTTTCAGTTGATAAACGCTAAAGTGTATGACTGTTTGAGAAAAACTCAGTCACTTTAAGGTGGTATTTTGATGTTTGTTTGTTTTTTCACCAGGAACACATTGCATACTATACGACTCCTGTATATATCGACTCAGATTCTCAGTCTAGCAGTTCCCAGTATCAGGATTACCAGGATTCTCCATCACCCTCTTCCGACAGGGAAGACAGGAAGCACAGGAATGTGCCTCTTTCACCTCTATCAGGTAACACACACACACACACACACACACACACACACACACACACACACACACACACACACACACACACGTACACACACACACAAGAATAAATAAAAAAAAGCTTCCAGTAGTCTCAATTTAACAACTTCTTCTTTTCATTTATTCACATTAAAACAAAAATTTGTCACCTCTAATGGGGTTTTGTGTTCCCATCCTTTTTGGCAGGAAAGAGGAAGGAGCGCTTGTTCCAGTTCCTTTTTGAGATGCTTCAGATGCCGTCAATGAGGAGTTGCATCTGGTGGGTCCAGTCCTCCTCTGGAACTTTTCAGTTCTCTTCTCAAAACAAGGAAAGCCTGGCACAATTGTGGGGTCGTCGAAAGGGCAACCGTAAGACCATGACCTATCAGAAGATGGCCCGTGCACTGAGAAACTACTCTCGCACTGGAGAGATCCACAAGGTGAAGAGGAAACTCACCTATCGCTTTGACGAGAAGACACTGAGAGGCTTACAGGGAGACTCGAACACACTCTAGGCATTGTGAAGGAGATTGGACATTGGCGCACACTTTAATATTTCATTGGACTGCTTTTAGCTTTGATTACGGCACCCATTCGCTGTGGCGTTGTTTCCATAAGCTTCTGCAACATCACCAGATTTATATACATCCAGTGTTGCATTAATGCTTCATCAAGATCTTGCACTGATGATGGTAGAGTCTGACTGCTGCACAAAGCCTTCTCCAGCACATCACTATTTGATCCCAATGAATCCTGGCATTGTCATCTTGGAATATGCCCGTGCCATCAGGGAAGATGGAATAACCTGATCGTTCAGTATATTTAAGTAGTCAGCTGACCTCATTCTTGGAGCATATCCTGTTGCTGAACCTAGACCTGACCAACTGCAGCAACCCCAGATCATAGCACTGCTCCCACAGGCTTGTTCAGTAGTCACCAGGCATGATGGGTGCATCACTTCATCTGCCTCTCTTCTTACCCTGATGCACCCATCACTCTGGAACAGGGTCTGTCTGGACTCATCAGACCAGTTTTTAATAATGCGTTGGACAGTTTTTAACCCAATTTTAGTCATTTTTGAATTATCCAATCTGCAATATCCACGCTTACCCTTCTCTAACAGACTAACATCTTTTGCACGACCACCAGATGTCTTTCCACATGGTTGTTTAAGAAATGAAAAGCAACTTATCGCACCAGTTGAGGTTAGATAACTAATAGAAGGCTCCTACCTATTTATTAAGTGAAATCCAGGTGGTGAATTATTATTTTTTGGCCAGGCAGCGAAGAACGAACACTAGAAGCACTCGCTTGTTGTACTTTCTGACAATTCAAACACTCAAAGGCAATTTTAATGACAAATAAATACTAAGTATTTGAAGATCCAGGGTATGGAATGCTGTCAGCCAGAGCTTTTTGTGGAACCTCAATGGACTGAAGAAATAAATGATAAAAATTATGAAAGTAAATTTCAGAAGCAGGTTTTGTGTAAGGATAGATGGCATTCACCAAGTAAATCTGAAAGATTATCATCTAATATCTACTTTATAAGTAGAACATGCTTAAAACTGAAGTCCTTCTCAGTGTAAATGTATTTTGCTATTTTTTGTATGATTCTGGGTTGCAGCTATTCAACAGTAGGAATAGATTATAATTTCTGGGGGTTTCTAACAAAACTAGGTTATAAAATATGTTTGTGTGGCAATATCTTTTTTTAATAAATACACCCCCAAAACACCCTGCCTGTTCCATATCTGTCTACACGAACAAAGGTGCATTGTATTCTGCACACCATTCACATCAACAGAAATGTGCTTGAAGCAAGTACTCTCTCACGCACTCACACAACCCTAGCCAAAAGTGTATGCAAACTAAGCGTGCACTAAAAAAAACTGCCACAAGCAGACCTGTTGATCATTAACATCCAGAAAGTCCCCCTCATAAACAGAAATGTCAAGCACACACACACACACACGCTGAATAAAATATTTATTCATAAAATTACCAACCAATATGAACTCCATGTTTACAGTATAAAAATAACAGTAGGTATAACTTTAAAACACTATGACTCACACAAGTGATAATAATTCCTACTTATTGACTTTCATTGCTGATTTTATTCATTCAACATAAAAACAAAGTAATGATACATTTAATAAAACAGCTTAGCCATCAGCCACAGCTGGTTCTACAATTGCACCTGGAGTGGACGCTGGCGTGTTTTTGCAGCCGCTGCTCACCGGTGATTTTAACGTGATTTTATCATGTTTTACATTTTTATGGAGCACTAGATTATAGTTTTCCTAAGTGGGTGCTATATTTTTTCTGCCTCCCTTGGATCCTGTTTGGTTGTCATTTTGTTGTTTGGGTGTACAAGCGGACTTAACCTACCTCTCACTCCTCCCGGCTGTTGACCCGCTGCTATCGGCTAGCTTCCCACCGCTGTTCTTCATGTGGGCCTGCAAGTTATTTATCTGGTTGACCCTCCTCTGGTCTGCCCTGTCCCTTCTCCTCCAACCTGGGGCAGCTCTGCTCCAGTACACGGCGGCTGATCTCCTCCTGCTACACGGGCATCTCTCTGTGCCTCCGCCGGTAGCATTACAGCTCCACCCGGAGATCGTCCTTCCTCCCCGCCGGAGATACATCCATCGTGGGTCTCGCCGTAACTTCAATCTCTCACACCATCCTCCTCCATAGATTGTCTTCCCTTGGCATTTCTCATACCCCGCTTGATTGGTTCCGTTCATATCTCTCTGGCCGTACTCAGTTTATTCAACTCAAATCCTTCACTTCCCGTCCCTTCCCTGTCACTACTGGCGTCCCCCAAGGCTCTGTTCTCGGTCCACTCCTTTTCATCACTTACCTTCTTCCCCTGGGAAATATTTTCCGTAAATTTGACATCCATTTTCATTGTTATGCGGATGACACCCAGCTCTATGTATCCTCCAAACCCTCCTCTTCACTTCCTCCTTCCTCCCTCACCAATTGTTCATCTGAAATCAAAGACTGGTTCACATCAAACTTTCTCAAACTCAACAGTGATAAAACAGAAATGTTACTTGTCGGCACTAAATCTTTACTATCCAAAATCCACTGCTTTACACCTCCTGTCGACAACTCCTTGGTTTTCCCCTCCCCTCAGGTCAAGAGTCTGGGTGTCATCCTCGACTCCTCACTATCCTTCCAGTCCCACATAAACAATATTACCCGGTCTGCCCACTTCCATCTACGTAACATTAACCGCCTATGCCCCTCCCTCACTACTCACTCAGTCACCATCCTTGTCCACAGCCTCATCACTTCCCGTATTGACTACTGCAACGCTCTAAATCCCTCCATAAACTCCAACTTCTCCAGAACTCGGCAGCCCACATCATTTCCAGAACTCCCTCCTTCCACCACATCACCCCGTCCTTCAGCAGCTCCACTGGCTCCCAGTCACTTCCAGAATCCAATTCAAAATTCTGCTATACACATTCAAAGCCATCCATAACCTAGCTCCACCGTACCTCTCAGACCTCCTTCATCCTTCAACCTCCACCCGTTCCCTCAGGTCCTCCTCCATCCACCTCTCTGTCTCACCTTTCCGTCTGGTCACTATGGGGAGCAGGGCCTTCAGTCGCTCTGCTCCCCAGCTCTGGAACTCACTCCCTCCTGACCTCCATAACATTGATTCCCTCACTCTCTTTAAAACCAGACTCAAAACCCACCTGTTCCGTCTAGCATTCCAATAGCTCATCTCTTTGCTCCAATCTGTCTGTTTGTTTTATGCTGTTTTATCTTTTATTGTTGTGTATTTTATCTCTGTAAAGTGTCCTTGAGTGTTCAGAAAGGCGCTGTTGAAATAAAATGTATTATTATTATTATTATTATTATTATTATTATTATACATTTAATAAAACATATTTTCTGTGGGACTGTTAGTAACAGTTAACTCCTTCAATATCAAACCCCTTTGACCTCAAAGTGTGCAAATGAAGTATTAGTATTAGTACTATCATAAAAAAACCTTGGTATATTCAATCCTCTACATGTCTACTGCCGTCTGGTGGAGGATCCACAGGAGACAAGGGCCAATTTTATTTTTTCATGCCTGTTATTTTGTTGTATGATTACAAAATAAAATAAAACTGATTATTATATAGTTGTTATATGAACATTAGCTAATCAATAGTTTGTTTACAAAGTAGATTATTATCAGTATTATTTCAAATTCCAGATTTAAATACTTAATATCTTACCTGTTGCTAATAACTCTTTGGATGACCTCAGTTTGCAGATGTAGCGTTAAGGATTGACTGCATATATAAAAAATGACCAATACGATGTAATATTCCATATAAATATGAAAAATCAATCTGATTGGTCTTTGAATGTTTAATCAGAAGACTTTAGTTTATTTTACTTATTCAGGGAACATGCAGACTTCACATTAATTCAGAGTCAAGATTATAGTTATTAAAATTATTTTAATTCTATTTTCTTAAACTTAATGATTGTACATGACAAAGTGTAAATGAAATCATGGTTATCCAGATATTAGATGATTCATGAAGTGATGAAATTGAAGCTAGATATTTTAGCAGAATCTTGTTGGTATCTGAGATTGAGCTTGTGAAGTCTTGGTTGTAAAATCAATTTGGCTGTATGGTTTGATAAGCTACACTTCATTTATAAAACCATCCAATGCAATTTGTGTTGGTCTATGCACCCTTGTGTGAAGACCCCCAAGCGATCCAGGGGGTCGAGATGGACACTGCCAATGGCGTGGACCTCTGGCACCGGAACTCGTAGACAGCTGTAACGTCCAAAAGGGTCAGTTTTCACCTATATATTGGTCAAAATAATAATCTTTCATCTACAGCATAAATCCACTTTCTATTTGGCCTTCCAGAACCAGAAGGTTCTGTTTAGTGCGTGTTGACATTCCATGAAGACAAAACATTCAGACAAACATTCTCTCCCAAGGTCTTACACTCTACATGAATGCCAGATGTCAACATTCTTCACTCTGAATAAGTGAAGACTCCATGACTTTTACAACTCATAGACTTACAATAATCATATGTGATAAGATGTTTAAATCAAATGTTTAAATAATCTGTGCTTAAATCACTGAATTTCAAATGAATATTGTTCTTACAATGATCCATTTATATCACAAATCACTATGTGTTTGATTTAACAAGTTAATCAGTGTTTACACTCATATGCATTACAATAAGATACATATTAAGGTTAAGAATTTTGTATCTGAAGGAAGGCGTGGCTTTCTGAGGGATGTTGATAAATACTCAGAAATGTGTCAAATTCTGATTTGCCAAATTTGGCCAGAAATCATAACAAAGTAGTTTAATAAAACAGGATTTACTTCCCGATTAATTCAGTTTCCAGCTGACCCCTGATTCGGCCAAATCGGGAAAGAAGCCTCTTTTGAAACAATCTCCTTTGACCTTAAGTCAAAACCTTTCTGCGACACTGCAAGTGACACAACAGACACAACAGCTCTTTTCGGAGCTACTTCACACCTAATCTGCAGACCCCGGGTTGCATCTCATGGCTGGGGAAGCTGAACTCAGAGGAAGCTCTGAGTATTGTGGTTTCAACATCCGGTGACCTCACCGCTCTGACAGCAAACCTCCAGGCCGTGGGAGCAACTCATACCAGGGTATCGTAAGCCTGCATACTAGTGTCTGATGAGGTTTATAAATAAACCACTCTAGTTTATAACAAACAACAAATTATTTTACACCCAGATTTCATAATTTCTCTCAGATACAAAGAATGGTTGCTACAACATCTAGCTTCCATCACAACACCTCACATCCACCACATCACATCTCCTTATTCATATCTTTTCATGTATCATTAGTTTAGGAAAAATAATTAAATTCATTTTATAAACTATATACTGACTCTGAAATAATACGAAGTGTGTTTATGGTCCCTGAATAAGCAAAGAACCCTAGAATCTTCTGATTAAACATTCAAAGATCAATCAGATTGATATTTCATATTTGTATGGAATATCACATTTTATTGGTCATTATTAATATGTATTAAATGCTACACAGCTCAGAGTATGACCCTTCTAGTCTGGGTTATCTTCAGGAAGCTGGAGTGTCTATGTTGCTTCTAAGGCTGTTTGGTGGCATTGGCATTGGAATCTGATGCTCTGACACAGAGCTTCAGTTTCTGTTGCACTGGGAGTCCCAATGCGTCTGAAACAAATGCTTGGTCACTCAGCATCAGTTTTGACGCTTTGGGAGTGAGAATGTGTTGCAACAATGAGATAACAACTACTGTAGGGACAATTCAAACATGGATCTTGTCGTAAATACCAAGTTTACGCTTTTTTTGTTTGTTTTTTTCCAACACATTTTTAGTGGTCTCTAGAATGAATGTTTTATGAGTCAATCTCTGTGAGGGAAAAGCTTTGGTGTTCCTGTTTCAGGAAGTAAAAATTTGCCAAAGACAGGAGAACAGAAGATGGCAGGATCTGGAGTCTTATTTCCTGATTTTCAGACGTCTGTGTCCTCTCATTGGCTAACAGAAATGCAGCTCTACCACTGACTCTGTTTGTTTTGCAACATTGATGTTTTATTTCCACAAATAACACAAGCCTGAAGGAGTTCTGCCATGCTTTGGAGTTGCTAATGCTAACCATTAACTTCTACTAGCCAAGACGCACTCTGCTCTATTCTGGATGGTAAATCAGCCCTGCTGGAAAAACCAGCATAGACCAGCATAGCTGGTAACCAGCATAGACTAGCAAGTAAGCCATGCTGGTCTTTGCTGGTTTTTCCAGCAGGGAGCACAGCCTTCCCGGTTGTGAGCAAAGATGGGTGAGTCCATAAATGCAAATTTTCAGTGTGACATAGATCTGTCTGGCTTTCCTAATCTAACCCCACCTGTTTTCTAGAGGAAGAGGACTATTTTCACATTCAGCATGCATGTGAAACTCAGTGTGACTGATAACGTCTCAAAAATAACAAGTAAAAACAGTTTGTCTGATCTCCAACATCCCACCTATTAAGTGAAAAATATTTGTCTAAATCACTCGTGGGACATACTTGTCAGAGTTTGAGGAGGATCTGAACGTACTGATGAAATACAGATGGCGTCTCCATGGACTCAGTGTGTTGCAGCACTTCCAGGCGGATGCATGTTTGCATATAAAAGCATCTGGTCACTGCTTTTCTAAGTCACTTGAAGCCACTTCCTATTTAAACAGCAAGCCAGGATATGCTTTTGTTTGGGATTTAACACACTTCTACACCAGCTTTAAGGAAATTGGTTGCCAATCTGTGATTTTCTTATAGCTAGTGATGGCTGATTTGATTTGGGTGATTTACACAGGCTTTGAAGTGCTAATTGCTGTTGCGTGTTGCCTTGGCAATGTGTTGGTGGTTTGTGCGGTGTGTGTTGGAATTCGGGATTCCCTTCGGGAGCCAACTTTCTGCTTCCTGGTGTCCTTGGCGGTGGCGGACCTTCTAGTGGGTGTGGCTGCTGTGCCCCTTGCTGTGTTGCTGGACGGATGGGTGAGCCTCAGCCCAAAGCTCTGTTTGCTTCTCAGCTGTGTGGTTCTTGTGCTGACCCAGGCCTCTGTGCTGTCGCTGCTGGCCATTGCCATGGACCGATACCTGAAGCTACACAAAGCTCTGAGGTCAGACTTTTAAAAAGGCAGAACAAAAATATGATTTGTTGGAATAACATTGTCTTTGTGCTTTCAGATACAAAGCTATCGTGACACAGAGGCGCACATGGTTGTCTGTGTCTGTGTGCTGGATGCTTTCCTGTCTTCTTGGATTCACACCTCTTCTTGGATGGCACAATCATCCCTCAACAGACTCCACCAACACATCTTCCTTCATCTCTTCACAGTGCACTTTCCTTTCTGTTATCTCCCTTCCCTTCATGGTCTACTTCAACTTTCTTGCCTGTGTCATGGCTCCTCTGTTGATCATGACCTTTCTGTACATTACGATCTTCTGGAGCCTGCAGAAACGCTTGAAGGACAGCTGTCCCCAAGTGAAGCAGTCTCTGCTAAGAGAGAGGAGGTTAGCCTGGTCCCTGTCTCTGGTTCTCATTTTGTTTGCAAGCTGCTGGATTCCTCTGCACCTGATGAACTGTCTTCTATTGATCCAAGGTCCTCAAGCAGTGACACAGGGAACACTCTATGCAGGCAGGTTACAGTTCCCACCGACACATTTAGCCAAGCATTATTTACAGACAGATGTGACAGTAACAAACTACTTTTCCCCCCAGGGATCCTCCTGTCTCATGCCAACTCGGCAGTCAACCCTGTGGTCTACGCGTATCGCATCCCAAGGATCAAACTGGCTTACGGTCAAATATGGAGTCGTCTTTTCGTGAAGCTCGGCTTTTGTTGTGGGAACAAGCAAGTTCAGCAACCAATAACAAATAATCAGATCATACACAAATGAGACTGAGATAAAGGATTAAAGGTGTGTGAAGGTTTTTTTTTTCATTATTGGCTAGAAGAAAGTCTACGACTGTGTCCATCACTGACTCTCTAAAAGCAGCTGTTCATTATTCAAATAAGGCAAGTGTACAGTTTTCAAGTGTTACCACCCATGTTATTTCTGCATAATTTCCTTTAGTCAGAGCAATATCTTAAGGCTCCACTAGATGGTGATGTATGTTAACAAACTTAACAGATGCACTTGTCTGAATCAAAACTTCACTGCATTTGAAACAAATACCGTAATGCCATTCAGAGTTTAGTTTTGGACACATGATTTGAGAAAAGTATCATTTTTATTGAGATATACGCAGCACATAAACAAACGTATGCAAGTAAAAACAAGTCTATACAGGAGAACGTTGGATGTTCTTGCTCCATTCTATGTTTCTTCCAATCCAAGATATCCGTAAGAGTCCAGTGAACTCCTCAGGGAAGGCAATAGACTGTATAGTTATCACCTGAGCAGGGATGCAGTCCCACCCACCAAACTATACAACCTACTACCTCACCCTGACAGAGCCCCATTCAAAGGCACCACAGCTACGCCTATCACAGAACATTAAATCTGATTAAGATGTTACAGCAAAAACAATCAGAAAATTGTCATGTGAGAAATTACAACAAGAGTTTCATTTAAGCAAGCAGCTGGAGACAACGGGACGCCTGCTGGCTCAGCTGTCTCCTTGGGAAAGACAGTAGATTGTATAGTTAGCTGACAAAGAGTTTGGAAAACCCCACAACTATTCAATCTACTACCTCAGCCCCAAGGATAGCATCCATCCTGCTTCGGATAGCAAAGATCCACTGAGGCAACTTTCCTACAGAACAAAAAGAAATAAAGAAACAAAAGGAGAGGGTTATCTTAAAGCAAGGATACACAGAGAAGGTCTGACTTTCAATTGATAAAAGATGTATTTGTTCAAATCCAGTCTCTAACATTTGGCTTTTCAAATATTTTTCTTCTGGAAAATGTCTAACTGCTTGTATGTAAGGGCTTGCATACCCACAATTAGGACAAATATATGTGTATATATATATATATATATATATATATATATATATATACATATATATATATATATATATGCATGCATGCATATGCATTCATATATGTATGAAGAAAGAAAATTAAAGGCAACTCGACAAAGGTGTGTAAAAGCAAAACCACTCTGGCTTCCTGAGACTGCGGCATGTGATCGAACGGAGGAACAAAAAAACAAAACAAGCCGCTCGACTTTGTGCCAGGAATCCTCCATTTTTGCCAAAAAAACACAGCTCACTGCAGTGGGCCATCCCTGTAGTTGGCTGCTGCCTCCCAGACCAAGGTACACACACACACTCGCAGATGCCAGCGAAAACGACTTCCACCAGCTGCCTCTGGTGGAATACAAAGCTGGGATTCTGCCCCCCAAAACACAACAGGGAAACACAAAATGGCATCCTGAACATCAGCCATTTTAGGTCTGATTTACAAACATTTCAAAATTCACCTTTCGGGACTTTTTTTTTCTTTAAGCCTGCTGTCTCACGACGAAGGAAGAACAGCTGTAATATCAAAAGAGCTGATCTCGTGCCAAGCATTGAGACGAAGCCAACGGACCCAGACGACGCACTCAGTCACAGAAAACCAAAACGGGGGGGTACTATGTCATATCAGCTGGACAGTTAACAAAGAGATGCCTGATCACATGCAGCCTGGTTTAGCTCCTAAAGTGTAACTAGACAAGAGGAGGGAGGTTAAAATGTGTCACAGCAGCATGTGAGGGGTTAACGAGTGCCAGGCTAAATGCCAGGCCTGGGCTTTGAAGGCTAAGGGAATGGGTTAGAAGGTGCATAAATTAGCATACAGCCACAACCCCCTGAGGGTTGGTCCAGACTAGCTTGTAGTTAGTATGCAGTCGACCCCACTAGCCTGATTACAGAAGACCAGACAGAGGATGGGGGGGTGCTGGCATGATGCCCACCTCCGCCACCAAGCTAGTGACAGAACGAAGAGCCAAGCTCCCCTGACTGGAGCTGCTCTGAGGTACGAGACAAACAAACTAATGATCTGACACAGCATGGTTAAAAAAGGGTCAGTTTACTGATGACTCACCTCATTAGTAGGGCAGACCACTTTCTTTATCTACTGCTTCTAAGTAAATGCTCCTTAAGCTCAAACGGCAGCAATACGCTCCTGATGAGTGAGTCTTATCCGTCCATCTGACTGTCCATGCAACTGTTGCTGCAGAATTATGACTAAATGTCAGTATACTCACATCAGCAGTAAACCGAGAAACATGAACTTTGTCCCCTCTTGTCCTCTGATAATGCGCTTCTGCTGTGACAGAGCAGGATGTGTTTTTATGGAGGTAATTTCCTGCTTTAGTAAAATCTTCTGTGATCAGGACAGTAAAGTTTTCAACCCTTCATAATCTCCTTTGCAGAAAGTTGTCAAATCCCGTTTTTTCTCAGAAAGAATTAAAACATAAATGAATGTGTCTTTGTAGTGAATAAAGTTAAAACACTAAATACTTTTTTCACAATCTCATAAATTTAGACCAAAATTCATAAAAGTTGAACAAACACTGATAGAAATCTCCCGTTTGGTACAAACGTGTTAAAATAAAGAAAAGACATCTTAAACAAACAAACTAAAGGAAAGCCGGAAATATCACAGACACAGGAGGCCTTAGCTTCCTTGTCCGTCCTGGATGCGCAGTATGTTAGATTCATTCCTCACATTATGTATAAATTAATTAGCAAACCCCTAAACACACACACACACACACACACACACACACACACACACACACACACACACACACACAGATCATTCAGCTGCCAAGTAAACTCAAATCTGGAGCAGATTATTTGCAGGAAGCAGAAGCAGGGAAATACCTATTGGCTTTCTTGGTCTCGTCGTCCTTGCGACAGGATGAATGCTTGGCACAGATGCCGTGGGGGTGGGGGGGTGGGGGGGCACGAGACGATTGGTACAGGTTCTTGTGTGTGTGTGTGTGTGTGTGTGTGTGTGTGTGTGTGTGTGTGTGTGTGTGTGTGTGTGTGTGTGTGTGTGTGTTCTCACTCTCTGTCTCTCCTTGTCTCTGAGCTTTGTGCCAAGAATGGGCAGTGTCTCTGTGCCAGGCAGAATTTCAACAAGGGAGTAAGGAGGTGGTGGGGGAAGAAGAGGAGGTGCAGTGGGGGAGCTGGCGTTGGCAGAGGACGTATGCCGCACAATAGAAGGCAGGATGAAGAAATCTCTCAGATGACAAAAAGATAATAAAAGATGCAAACGGATGTCTGGTCTTAGCCAGACTCGGTGTTTAGATCCTCATCTAAACAAGCTCTTTTTTTAATCATCGCACCCTTCAAAAAACGCTTCATTCCTACGTTTCATTAGTGAAGAGCGCTGAGCCTCCTACATCCCACTTGGCATGGTGCCCGCTCCGATGTTCTTAACATCCTGATTAACCAGGAGAAACGCTCACGTGGCTCACTCTCATATGTGTGCGTGTGCTCAGAGATGTACCACCATATGCATTTGCATTCAAACAAACAAACAAACAAACAAACAGGCAGCACTTCAGTTGTGAGCTGCTACTGATTGATAATTTACTCAGAATACTTTCATATATTTGCACTCAACTGAACCTCCTGAGATGACTGTCCAGACAAAAAAAAAATTAGAATTAAGCATGGATTTTCTTCATAGGAATGACTAGTTTATAGTTAAATGTAAGGGTGTTTGAGGTAGCTATTTAAATAACTTCAGTTTGGAGGAAAAAGATAGGTTCTGACAGAAAAAATAAGTTAATGACAAAATGGCTCCAGTTAAAAAGTGTCTGAAACAAATTTTAATGTCACAGCCGTGTGCACACCGGTTAATAAACGTTGTCTTACCAAAAAGTTTGCATTTCTTTGTTAATCTAGCAGAATTATAAGCTCTAGCCATTTTTACAAAGAGGTAACCCCACCCAGACTAACACTTGCCATCTGTCAGGTCTAAACTAGTATTTATTGTCTTCGTTTTTAAATCTTCAGTTACAATAAGTGATATATGAATCGTTCCCAGCCTTTTCAGAGAAACACTCTTTAAACAAATGACCCCCTTAACACATTTAGTTTAATATTGATGTATGCAAGCAGTGGGAATTCTGAATTGTAAATTTCATTAAGTTCTATATATTCAGCCTAGTTAGAAAGTGGTTGAAATGTGTATAAGTTTTAATCTGAAGTAAAGTCAAATAATGGAAATACCCAGAAAGCTGAGACAGGAAGACGGCAGAAAGCATCATTAATCACTCATTTTCCATCTCTGTTTATTTATGTTTTTAAATATCTGCTGATAAGATTTGTTGTTACCATGGATTTAAATGTTTCTGATTGCTTAAACACCCCATCTGACGTGTTATTACACGCCCACATCTTCTCTAGTGTTTGCTAATTCTACAAACATGCATGCACACGCAGCACAAACACACAACGCAGATGCAAGCATACCCCTCTTAAAAAAGTGCATGTGTGTATGTTTGTGTTACCGAGGCTATGCGTGCAAAAGTGCAAAGTGGTGTATGTCAGAATGAAAACAGCTGCAGCTTCCTGCATGAGAAGAGAAACTTCCTGTTGCCTTGCTGCACACTGCAGACGGTCAGCCAAGATATCAGCCAATCAGCAGCACTGAGGCTGAATACAGGAAGTTAGCCTGACTGCCTCTAGGAGAAAAGCTCAGGAACATTATGAGGCAACACGATAAGTTCATCTGAGGATAAGAGAGGGGCGGGGAATGGGCTTTCCCACTCCTACCTCTATGTCTGCCTCTCTACAGTAACGCTTGTTCTCCATTTCTCTCATGCTTCTTTCTTCAGATATACCACTCTTTATCAATCAAAATCTTGTATTCAATCTTTACTCTCGTATTATGAAGCAAGAAAAAGGAAAGTTGTTGGTACTTTTAAGCATTAATTTGGCTTTTAGGTTGAAGCAGAGCAATTTCAGACACGGGCTGGTGAAGAAAAAACTGGCATGGCCACGAATTGTGAGGGGTATGTTGAAAGGGTCTGCTCGTGTTTACACGTGGCACGTAGGCGCCATTTTAACACCAACCTCTGTTTATACTAAGATACAGTAAATTTTACAGTTGGCTTCTCAGTGCACATGCAAAAAACTTTACAAATGTTCTAAAAAGAGGCGCAACAGAAGAATCAATTGTTGGTTTATTGCAGTTTTAGTTTCATCAAACTCAGTAGAAACATCGGTATTTGATTTTGTTTTGAGGTGTTATTTTGAATGCAGTAAAATAATCTACATGCATATAAATGTGCATCATGCTTATTTTACAGGAATTACTTTTCTTTGCTTCAACAGAACATCAGAGAAAATATTTGGACACAAAACTGAATAATATAGCTGGATCAATCTGGACTTTTCCTGACACCATCAACTGCCTGGTGGGTTTCAGGTCTGCTCCAAATGTCATATATTTGTATACATCATAACCTGTGACTCAGTGTTCCTGGACAAACACTACCTGTAGCAGACTGCCACACCCCTTGAGAGCAGAGAGATAAAACTTAACACATGTTTGCACAAACACGTGTCTCTGAGACAACTGCCTCTTACCCGGGTTTAACAGTGACAGAAAGTGGAATCAGTCTGAGAAGATAATAAATACTGGAGTAAATGTTGCTTGTGTATCACGGCGGTGCAGAGAAAAACTGTGACAAGCATAAACTTTTACCCCGTTGAAGCAGATCTTGGACACACTTACGCCAAGTTGAGCACAAAACCAGTTGTCTTGCTCAGTGTGACCCTCTGGTGTCAGACAGAAACCACAAAGGCCCGCTTTTCCTCCCGCCCATCTCAAAAGAGACACCTGTTTGGTTCTAAAGCCACAGAGACTGTGTGCAGCACCCACTGGAGTCTGCTGTCCCAGAGCAAAGAGGGAAGAGGAGGAGGAGGAGGAAGAGGATGGTCAGCAGGGAGTTAAAGAGTCACTTTCGGCTCAAGAAAAGTTTCTCTGGTCACGTCCACTGAGCCAAAATGGCGGCAAGTTCGGCGTGGTGTGGCAACCAGCGACAGCAAACGCGTTTACATGAGTAAGACCACGGCGAAGGACAGAGATGAAGGTTATAGGGACTGCAGAAGACAGATTAAAGAGCAGTAAATAAGACAGTGAGAGGTGTCGCAGGATAAAAGAGAAAAATACCTGAAGCCTGCGTGTGTGCGGCGGGCTGGGCTTGGAGGACTGGTGGAGAAGAGGGCCGTGATGGCGGGAAGAAGGGAAACGAGAAGAGTAGAGCACACCCTCTGAGAGCAACACCCCTTTCTCACAATCCCCTCCTACTGGCGTGAGTGCGTCTGTCCGTACGGAGTGACAGAGGGACGTCTGCTCACACAAATCTGTAACACACACAAAACCACATTATCAAGCACAGTGTGCACAGCAAAGCAGGAAGCCATCCGAATCAGAACCTCAGCAGATCCCACAACTCTTACACTTACGTGTGACCAAAAAGTCTGACTCGCCAACACAAAGACAGAGGATAGGTCAAAACACAAACACACACGTGATCAACTCGCCAGCCTTCTGGATCACCCTCAGCTCTGCCCTGTGATGCGTTAGCCTCACTCTGCCTGCCCACTTTGGCACCGCTGCCAAGAGAGAAGGAGAGAAAAGGGAGGGTAGAACAGGGGGTGCAGAGGCATAGAAGGAGGAAGGGAGGGACATGCTGTAGTGAGAGGAGGAACAGAGAGAGGAGGAGTTAAGACAGACAGTGTGCCACAGAAACAGAAGAAAAGAGAGAGGGGAAGCGTGAACTGTCATGAGCAGACATGGTGACACAAAGCAGTGAGCCAGCAGCAGCAGCCAGGGGGACTGCCGGCATGTTAATCATCCGGCATCACAAATAAACACACACACACACACCATACACACCTCGCCGTCTACTCCACCTATAGTACACAGCAGCAACAGACAGATGGCAAGATAGACAAGCAGGTTCGGACACTTCTGCCTTGTTGTTTTATCTCACCACATTTTATCAAACAGAATGAAAAAAGGCCCAAAATGCTCAAAACCAAAACTCTAAACTGTTGAATGTTTCTTTTTTTTCCAAGTTGTCTTTAAGTGGAGTCCCGCCGCAGTCATTGTCTTTTCTGATGTCTTTTTTTCTGCCTAATTTTCTTCGCTTCTCCCTCCATTGGGTATAATATCAGCCCTATGGAGTGGGAGGAGTTTAGAAAGGTGGGGAGCGAGGGGGTCATCGGAATGAATAAATAGGCAACGAGGATGGATGCGTTGAGGAATGCAACTTTTCTTTCTGCAAACTTACACCATAATGAACACCAAAGCCAATCATGAATCAGCAAGTTGCTGCCTGATCTCTATGTAGAGAAAAGATTATTCTGTTCGATCTCCTGAGCCAGTCGCTGCTGGTATCCCAAAACAAGCCAAGCAATCAGAGCTTGTTACTGAGACTGTGTTACTTTAACAATGTGCTCCAAAAACAAGTGTAACTTTAAAAAGATCCCTTTTAAAACAAAAATCCCACTCACCCTCAAATATTTGGCAAGAAAAGACAAAGTAAGAGAGTTAAAAAGTATCTTCCTGGTTGCACCTGCAGAAATAATCGTCACCAAGTTCTGAAACTCCAGATAAGACACTCCCGAAGACAGGCAAATCTCTCCACAATAGTCTGAGTTGTCTGCACAAAGTTCAATTTTTTGCACCAAAGATAGGACAGTGGACACACACACATAGTCATACTGTACATACACACAAACACATGGGATGAGAACAATCTGGTTCTTCCTTTGAGGCTCGGATTCAGCCAGCAGGTTGGACAACCTCTCAACCTGACGTCACGTCTCCTTTTGTTGTTTATGAATTTATTTCTCTCCTCAGCTGAACTCTCTGAACCCAAAGTCCTACCCCACCCCTTAGGCCCCCCTCCGTTCCCTCCCATATCTGCCCGCCCGCCCCCCATCCTGTCCTCGAGCCCTACATTTACCCCCTGCCAATGGAGGCGGGCAAATACAGTATAACTTTAACAAGGAGTACAGAGAAGAAAAGAGGCCAAAGCAGACACAGAGACGGGAGAGGTGAGAGAGAGAGAAAAAAGAATTCAGATGTCTCTCACTCATGTCCCCCCTCCATTTCTTCTTCTTTGATTGCTCACCGTGTCTCTTCCTGCTTGGCTTGTAAAAGTTTCAGCTGCTCGGCGGGTCGGCCTCTTTTGGCAGCGGTCCAGCTCTCGACTCTCCTGTCCCCCTCGCCGGCAAGAGAAGGAAGAGAGGACAAATATAGTCACAGCTAGACTGTACAATAAAGTCAAAGAGGTAGATGCACTCTGAATGCACGAATATCACTTTACCTCAAACCTATGTCCACTAGGCATTAGGATCGGTTCAGCAGGAAACACTGTGCAGAACATGATACAGTAAAGTACAGTTTCAGAAAGCTGTCTGACACTGTGATGTTTGTCTTCAACTGGCCCTGATAGCTTCATGTGATAACTGTGTGTGTGTGTGTGTGTGTGTGTGTGTGTGTGTGTGTGTGTGTGTGTGTGTGTGTGTGTGTGTGTGTGTGTGTGTGTGTGTGTGTGTGTGTGTGTGTGTGTGTGTGTGTGTGTGTGTGTGTGTGTGTGTGTGTGTGTGTGTGTGTGTGTGTTTGCGTCCGTGTGCGTGTTAGTGCTCACACCCAGTTCACACAGGAACTGGCTGACTGTCCATTTTTCCTGGTATCAATAAGGAAAGCAGCTCAGTTGCTTGGAAATAGGGTCATGCGCACATGAGCACACAAAAGCCTCTATAGTATCTACAATTTGTATTAATTTGAATAAGAGATGATTTCTAGATGGGCTTTGTTTCAAACTCCTAGAACAGACACAAAAAAACTCATACACCAACAGGGTACTGATTTACTCAGCTTTATTTAAATCAAAAGTAGGTCATGGTGTATGCAAGTATTGTTGGTAAAAATGTCTGCTTCTTTTTCTTAGTAATTTCTTAGTAATTTCTTAGTAATTTCAAATGACTGAATCTGCGACTCAGCTCTGGGCTAGAGGGCTCACAACCAAAACAGCACTCTAATATTATTTTATGGACAGTGGCTATTATTAATAAAACTAGATTTCTTGCACTGTTACCTGCGGCCAAATGGCAAAAAATACATTTCATCTTGTGTGTGTGTGTGTGTGTGTGTGTGTGTGTGTGTGTGTGTGTGTGTGTGTGTGTGTGTGTGTGTGTGTGTGTGTGTGTGTGTGTGTGTGTGTGTGTGTGTGTGTAAACAGCTCATGAGTCACAAGACCTAATCTAATGAAACTCTTACTAAGTCATCTCTGGATAAACATCTACAACTGATGGAGTCAATCACAAAATATAACAATCTTAAATCAAAACATTTTAAAGGGGACCAATTAACTTTCTGTAACTGTAACTTTCTGCTTTTTTGTGCTGTCATGTTCCGCTCTACTGCCTTTATGAAAATTCCAAACTTGAAAAACAAAACGCTTCTGTCAGCGTTTGATACATATACTATGCCTAAAATGAGCCAGTTCAAAAAGTTCCTTATTGTGATGTCACAATCAAACTAGCATAGAACCCTCCCTCACCTGTTGAGTACCCACCTAATAAAATTGTTGAGGATTGGACATTTTTGTTTACTGAGTGATGGAATGAGGATATGTGGAAGGATTGCATTTATCGGCTGGCCTAGAAATCCTTTAGGATTCCCCCAAAGGAGCTGGCCTAAGTGGCTGGGCAGAGGGAAGTTTGGGCTTCTGTGCTTATGCTGCTACTCGGGAGTGCCGACACCACAGATTGAAGAATGGATGAATGGAGACATAACACAGAACAGAGTTCCCAGCAACAATTGACAAAAGTAGTGTAGGTGTGTTTCCATTGTCTGAACGTCAGGGTAAATCCTGGGACGGGGAAATTGACCCCATTCAAAAATCAGATCTTTCCGGACTTTACACAGACATCAGGATATCACAACTGCTTTGGCAGTGACTGATATCACTGATCAGTGCCAAAAAGTGTCCACAGTAACGTGAATATCATTAAAGGTTTTATTCTGTCAAAGCACAGCAAAATTGAATCCATTTGAAGGACAAGAGCAGCTGTGTGATGTAAAGGTTGGCGTTCAATGACCGGAAGAAGCTTCAATTATTATAGCACTCTGTGAGACAACAAAACCCTTGAATTATGTTGTGGGGGAATTCTGCCAGATTTGTCAATGTTAACAGTTTAGTAATGTGATTTTAAAGCAGCCTGATCAGTGTCTATTTAATTGCTTCCATTCTGCTTCACAAGCAGCTCTTCTAATTTTACTAATGTCGGTTGTTTTGGATGATGTCTGCTGATGTCATTTCCTACTGAGTTACAACCAATCAGGATGGGTTAACCAAAACTTTTGCTCAGCGACTCCACCGGGCCATTTCGAGTAGGCTACCTTCCCCTGTTCCTAAAAAATGGCTCGTTTGTCGGCCTGATGAAGTGGAACCACGCACAAGCCGGGAAGTTCTAGTAAAATTACTCTGAAGTTCTGACATTGGAAACACACCCAGTGTGTGTGCAAACCACTTTGATGTAGACTGCTTTTGCCTCTTTTACGCTGAGGGGTATACTGTAGTTGGTTCAGGTCGGTAACGTAACTTGGGAATTACAAAATCAGTCGGCAGATGTACTTTAAAATATTGACTTTTGCATTTCTAACATAGTTAAGCACGAACTAGCTTAACTCAATTTAGTTTGTCCCTTACCAGTTTGGTGCAGAGATTTTCGTGCTTTTAAATTAGAATACTTTTAGCCATTCTTATCTCCAATCTGGTAAACAAATGGAAAGAACTTGTGGACAAGACTTGACATGAGATGCAAGATCATAGAATGGTTCAAGGATAGCGTTGCTCAAGTTGGCGACTGTAGTGATTTTCTTTTGGTAATCTTAATTTTTTTTCGATTGAAGATGTGTGCCCTGGTTTGGCTTTCATGCCGCTTGGAAGATTTGTGCTGTTACTTTTTTGTTTTATGGCCCCTTTTTATTATATGTAACTTTAGTGTTGAGATTTGTGTGCAAGAACGAGCAGCTAATTGACTCCCCAAAATTAAAAAGTAATATCCCAAATCTAATTTTGAATGTGAACTACAAACTTCAATACTTTTATTGAGATTTCCTGTGATAGACCAAGACAAAGTAGCACATAATTGCTAAGTGAAATTAAACTGATTCATGGTTTTTACAAAGCAAAAAAAATCATAATCTGAGGCATGTATTTGTATTCAGTCACCCTGCTTCAATACTTTGTAGAGCCACCTTTCACTGAAATCAAGGTTGCAACTATTTTGGGTTATGTATCTACCAGCTTTGCACAACAAGATACAAAACATTTTGCGCAGAATTCGCTGCAGAACAGCAATTTCTAAAACACAGATGCTCAGTGGGATTTAGGTCTGGACTTTGGGCCACTCTAACACATAGATATTCTTTGAGCTAAAGCAATCCAGAGTAACAGTACTAACGTTTAAAACATTTCACCCTAATTACAGTGAACTGCAAGTTTTATGGCTGCTGCGTCATGTCCTTGCACCTTGCAGCTTACAGCAATACTTTGCCGTAGTGTACAGTGTAGTCCCAAATCTAAAGTGTCTTCTGTAATACCTGTGTGTTACTTATTATTTTCCTTTGCAATCAATAAGATTATTGAGGTCCCCAATATCTTGTTTCAATTGGTGATCAAAGCAGATCACCATGGCATGGAGTCCCCCAAGGTTCTATTCTTGGACTACAGCTCTTAAATTTCTACATGCTCCCCCTGGATCAGGTCAAAACCAACATTGTCTATCATAGTTATGCAGATGACACCCAGATCTACAAGCTCTATCATCTAGTGACTGTGGTCCCCTAGACTCACTGTCCGTGTTTTGAGCATATTAATGACTGGACGAGGTCAAGCTTCATCCGGATTTGCCAGGATCCTCTGGAGGTTTCTTCCTGTTAAAAGGGAGTTTTCCTCTCCACTGTTGCTAAATGCTTGCTTAGTATGAGGATTGCTGTAAAGTCACTGACACCTGTCAGTGACTTGATGCAATTTGCTGGGTTCCTTATATAGAAAACTTTTTCTGATTGGCTTAATGAACTGACCTGTATTGGAAAATTTTATTATGTGAAGTGCCTTGAGACGACTCTTGTCGTGATTTGGTGCTATATAAATAAACCTGAATTGAATTGAATCTGGTTAAACAAAGACAAGATTGAAATTATTGTCTTTGGAAATGGATAGGTTGAAAAACCTGAGCTTCATCAATTAGCGAGGTCTCATGTCCAGACAGGACCTAGAGAAACTCATTCATGTATTCATCTCCAGCAGGCTGTGCAGAAACTGCAGTTTATTCAGAATAAGTCAATTTAGTTTATTTATATAGTGCAAAATCACAACAAGAGTCAGCTCAAGGCACTTCACAAAGTAAACATTCCAATACAGGTCAGTTCATTAAGCCAGGCAATCAGTAAACGTTTCATATATAAGGAACGCAGCAAATAGCATTGAGTCACTGACTAGTGTCAGTGTCTTTACAGAAATCCTCATGCTAAGCAAGCATGTAGCGACAGAGGAGAGGAAAACTCCCTTTTAACAGGAAGAAACTTCCAGAAGATCCTGGCTTAGTATAAGCAGCCATCCTCCACGACTCACTGGGGATTGAGAAGACAGAGCAGACACATGCACATGCTCACACGTACACCCACACCAACACCTACCCACACAAACACACACAGACACACCCCACACCCATACACACACGAAAAACATATATGCCAAGTACTAATTCTATGGCTACTTTGTGATTTCTTAGTATATATTCTATTAATGAGAGATAAACTTGATTGCCTTTATCTTAGTGAATCTATAATTAATTCAGCAGGTGAACTAGTAGTAGCACATTCCAGGTCATAGAACGTAAAATGTTATTAAGCAGCAGTGTGCCAGCTTGTGGCCCCTTCCATGAAGCCACAGCTCAGCAGCACACCATCGTAGCTTCTACTGAGGAGAAAAACACTTAGATAAAATATAAAGTTAACAGCTGAAATAGTAGGAAATAATGCAATTAGAGACACATTTTAGAAGAAAGTAGTAGAATGTGGAGAGTAGTCAGTAGGTCCTCCAGCAGTCTAAGTCTATAGCAACATAACTATGGAGATAACTCTGGATAACCCAGCCCTTTAAATGGAGGCATGTGAAAGGCAGGGCAAGGGAGAGCCATCTTTACCTGTAGACCCCACTGTACACGTCATCTCCCTCTACTCCCCTACTAGTCCCAATCTGGGCTAACATCATAATTTAATCATAAGCCCTATCAAATAAGAATGTTTTAAGCCTAGTCTTAAAAGTAGACAAGGTGTCTGCCTCACGGACTAAAGCTGGGAGCTGGTTCCACAAGAGAGGAGCCTAATGGCTAAAAGATCTGCAAAATTGAAACTTTTTGTGTATTAACTGGCCTATGAATGAATGTTTCTTATGCTGCACCTTCTGCACTGTAACTGCTCACCCTTTAACGTTGCCCTTTATGTGATTCTTAAATCTAAATTTAATTTGTGTATTTAATTTGATCTAAATTATTTTGTGTATTTTAATTATGCTTTCACGTTGATTTAGCAGTTCTTGTTCAAGGAAAGCACTTTGAATTGCCTCTGTGTATGAAATGTGCTATACAAATAAGCTGCCTTGCCTTATCAGATTAGGTGAATGGTGGGGTTGTTTGCAAAATGCTTTTCCCCACTCATCTAACTCTGCGGAATATGGCAACAGACTAAGTTCCAATTAGGGGTGGAATATCTCTTTAGCTTTTGCTCAGACAAGGTGATCTTTGATGTGTTTCCTCTTTTGTTGAAATAGAGGAAGATCACTAAAAATGGTGGTAGTCTAAAATAAATCAGGATCAGTGTTTTCCAGAGCCAGCTCTGGTGCCTCAGTGACTCAAAAACATATCTAACCCAACTAAACCTATTTGTTTTTCATGTTCACAGCCTTATCTGTGTAGTCTTCTGTATGATTAATACTCCTCTGTCCAAAAAAGACTGATATAGAGGCCCTTTTTGAAGGCAGCAGGATGAAACTGGAAAAAAAATGTTTTGTCTGTTTCCTTCTGATAAGTTTCATTATCACACGTCTAAATTTAGAGCTGCAATTTGGTGTAAATTGTCAATGGCTGTAAAAACGATTCAACTAAATAAATTGTGTTTAATTTTCACAGTTCTTTATGTAGTTATCAAAAACAAAAATCATACAATTTTTCCTCTGAAATTTGCATAAACATTTTCAATAATGACATCATTATCTTTTATCAAAAACTCTGTTGACCAATTAGCCTCGATGGGTAAATCATACCACAAGTCGATATTTTGTTTTTTGCATTTGATTATTGTTTTTGCTGTTCACCCATATTTTGAAATATTAGTTTAATAAAAGTTTCAAATTACATCCACTTAGAATAATTCACAACATGTAGTTTACTAATTAGAGGCATTTACTCACCTGGTTTACACCTTTAGCACCACAACTGGAAACAAAAGGCACAAAATTATTCGATTGTGTGTGTTGCTGAGAGAAACTATTTCTTCTTCCTGTTAGCGACACAACTGGGAGTGAGAAAAAAAACTAAAATAAAAGTCCTGAAATGAGTTCTCTCAGGAGATGCTCATCAGGTCAGATACTGTCACTTGGTAAAAATCAAACGATTTAGCAATATAAGTAAGCTATAAATATGTCCTTTAAACCTTCATTGCTTCAATGGTCCCGTTAAATAGAGTCAAACTGCGCTTTACTAGATAATAAGCGGTTGTGGTTAAGCTGCCATGTTGTACAGCCATTCACTTTAGAAAGGGGCGGGCACCATCTAGTGGTGAATGTTTGTAAATGCAGATTATGACGCCTTGAACTCAGTATTTACATTGATCTTCCTTCTCCCATTGGCTCTGACGGCTATCTCTGAAGTAGGAAACGTTTTATTCTCAGGTATTTGAAGATGTTTGCTGTTGTAATTATTTTCATCAGATCACACAATTTTCTTCAGTTTCTATGACATTCTATCATCTTGGCATGTATCATAAATCAAATAGCTTGTTCATCAACCTGTTTATTTCCATCCTGATTGGCGATGGACTAATTAAGTTCATCAAGCTTGTTAGAAAAATTATGTATGATCTTACTTCTGTGGAGAGTAAGAGTTGCTCAAAAATTGGAAATCTCTAAGCTTTAGATTTTGGCAAATGAAAATATTTATTTACTCACAGTTAGGAGTTCAGAAAGATCATGTAAACAGAAAGTGTTTTTTATTTTTCTGTTGGCTTCAGTTCCATGAGCATTTTACCTTTGAAGCAATGGCTCATAGACAGCAGCACACAAAGTAGAACGTAACAATGTGAAATAACCATGTGTGTGTCCTCCTACAGAGTGAACCACAGGTTTGTTGGCATTAAATAAAAGTACATTGTTGTGACTCTATTTTATATTTTGATGCTAGTGGTTGCTAATTGTTTTGTGGAATGCTTTGTTTTTATGGGCACTCAATCAGGACTTGCCATGTTAATTCTTCATTCCCAAAAGGGAGCCAAAATCATGCTCATCTACATCCAGGCCATGGGTCTCCAACTGCCAAAAGCAAAAGCAAAAGAAAAAAAACACACAAACAAAACAAAAAAACAAAAAAAAAAATTATAAAAATAAAAAAAGAATGGGAGTCTATGAGTGAATACAAGTTATTTTCATATCCCGTTTGATAATGGATTTGCATGAATTTAACATATGATGTCCATGAATTTTAATGGCACATTTTGATGCCAAGAAAGAGCTTATTTTTGAACAGTGGCAAAAGTTATTTCAGATTTTGTGTGAGAAGATGTTACAGACTACAAATGCTCATCCCACCAAATTGACATAATCAAACCAGACACGGAGAAGGAAAATGTCTGTGAACTTTGCGAGCTTTGAATCCTTATTTCAGGATGAAAGAAAGAGAATTACACTTGGAGAAAACCACAACAAATCTGGTCATGTGGTAAGTAGCAGCTACAATATAGCAGGAGATTCTGCAGTGACGTTTGAAGTGAAATTTGATTTGTAGTCATTTAAATTACAAATTTTTACTAGCTAATATATCTCAAAGTATGTGACAGACATTGTTGAAACACAAATACATACTTTTTTACTTAAATTGAAGTACAATATACATGTGATTCAGGGCATGAGGCAAAGCCTTATAGAAAATATCTTTTATAGCACTGTTCACTTACTTTCATTTTTTCTTTGCTCCTAGGACCCATGAGCCAAGTGGAAGAAGAGGAGACTTGGGCTCCCTGAAGTGATTTACTTTGCAATCGGTTTGGCTCTGCATGGAGAAATGTTTCATTTAGAACAAAGAAAATAGCAGGATCAGTGTGGTAAAAAAAAACTGTTTGCCTCCTTGATTAATGAATGATAAATGACCTGCAACCTTCCGATTGCTGGACAACCCGCTCAACCTTCTGAGCTACTGTTGGCCCCTTCTTATCAACAATACCAATTATGATGTACACCAAATAACCTCATAGTAGTGATAATGATTAGAAAAAGAATAAAATAAGGAATCTAGACCAAGCTATAGAAATAGCTAAAAAAGATTTTGCTCTGCGGGTCGTATATTAACATATACATAATTTTTATATTCATTTATTTACATATCTAGGATGGCTTACAAGGCTAATGAAATATAGATATTACACATAATGAACAAATGTGAGTTTTTAACCACAATCATCAAATCCAGTTCATTTAGACATTACATGGACTGAGGCTGCAAGCCGCCATCTTGGATGGGTCCTCAATCGCCCCCAGGGCCTCTATTTCTACTGAAGAAGGTGTTTACCCAACTAAAAAACACATTTTATTCTGATATTTAACAAAACCAGACATATGGTATGGCATGATAATTAAAATATAAATGTTTTAAATAAAAGAAAGTAAAATATAAAATCCCAACAAGTCAATTAATTATTAAGTCCCATTAATCATCACACACAAATTGACCTCAGCATTTGACCCATCCCCTGTGGAGAGTGGTGGGCTGCAGCAGTGGCTGCATGCGCTTGGGAACAATTTGGTGGTTTTAACTGAGTATAGTTACATCTACGTTGCAATATTCAACACAGGGGAGGTGCAGCCTTGAAAGCGCCGCAACTTCATGCACTCATTTAAATTTCTAATGTCTTTTTAATTTTACTTGTGGAGCTCCGTAGCGTTGGGTTGTTTACCAAAAGACGAGGAACATCTTGTATTTGTAAAAGTACAACTCCAACCTGGCCGCAAACAATTGACTGAACGTTTCTTCTTTTGTGTGTGTTATTTGTGTTGCTTTTTAAAACTACAACAGAAAACTCCAACACTTCTCCTCGCTCCTCAGCTCTTCCTCCAGGAGTGTGCTGTTGTCGTCATGGGAGGAGTTTGCGCGGAAGCCACAAAACTTTTGCGTGGCTTCGACGCCACGCCTCTGCGCGTTTTTCTCCGAGCGTTGATTTCATACCAAAGTCATACTTTGCATTCCTTCTTTTTCCCTGTCAGACACTGTTGTTTTTGTCCTTGAGTCACGGAACACGATTTGTGCCAAAGCTGCAGTTTAATAAGGAGAGGAGCCCGTGTTTGTAGCAACAAAGCAGGGGCGCCGTTGAGAGGTGAGTGCGCTCCCAGATAGTTTCTTTGTTGTGTGCAGCAGCAACTTTCACGCTGCCACAGCAGCTGCTGTTTCGTGTGTGCTGGAAGTTTTGGGATTTTTGACATATTTTGCATTTTCCCGGTGCGGCTTTGCTGATTCGGAGTTTCGTGTGTGTATCAGACAGCCTCTCTTGTGTTTAACTCACCGTCCGCGAAGTAACTCGTTACTTTTTTACGGACTCTCGGACTTAGTTTGCTGTTTGTTACAGTTGTATTAGCTTCCAAGCTAGCAACTAGCATACCAGTTCGCGAGCATTAGCACCTTCAACATGATCAATAAAAGGTTGGCAACGCCGTTCACAGCACTGCTACTTCTGTTTGTTAAGTTTTAAAAGTTTGTAGGACATGCTATGTGGAAGTTCACATGTCAAATCCAGGCACATTTTGCCAACTCACAGCTTTTTAACCAATCGACGTGATTTAACTCCAATGCTAGCTGCGAGTTAAAAGTTCTAAAACATGTTGGGGTGAAGTCAGAACAGAAGCTGTTTTTTTCCGCCACCATGATTCCGGTTTATTAATTTACATCTGACTTAAATCATTAATCAGATCGTCTAGTATACGAAATGTTCCTCCAAACTAGTAGCACTCAGCTGAAGTTGCCATGGAAATGTGTGAAGTGCTGTGATGAAACAGAGTTTGAGTAATCATCATGTCCCTGATGCTCCCATTGGCGCAGAAGGCAACCTGTACTCTTTGCATGTGTCCTTTCAGAGTTTGCTGAGCTCATAGTTTTATTTAGCTCAATGCTTTTCTGGCTTCTCGCTGCACTAAACACCTGACCTTTTGGCCACTGGGAGCTATATTGAAGCTGGCAGGGCTACACGAGCCTTCTGAGTCCTAACATCACCACAGCTTTGCTAAAGTGTTAAATCTTAGGATCTAATGTCTGGTGTAGAGCTTCATTAGTCACTAAGTGCTAGATCATAAGGGGGGAGAACTAAGATTCTGTCACTTGATTATGTTTCTCCTGCTTAAGCGTTGTGCAGACATTTGAGATAGATTTCAGTTTGTGAGCATGGGCTACATGATTTTCAGGAGCTGTCATCAGATTTCCCAGCCCTTTTGATGAATGATAACTCGGCCTATGACAAACTCACGATTGTGCTTTGTTCCTAGTCAGTGAAGCAGAACGAGGGTTTTTTTATAATGCCATGACACAGTGAAAAGTGATAGTAAAATCAGTAAAAATATTTCACATTTATTGAATTTAACTTATTTTCAGATTAAGGCGACTTTGTTTTCTAACTAGTCTTGCTGGGATTTAGTTGTGCTGAAATTGATCAGCCCCCCTCTCTAGTTTTCAGTATGTTGACAAACTGCCCAGACCTATAAACATGACAAAAACACTGAGGAAAGTATGTTTTTCCTGTTTAAGTCAAATACTTATATTTTAGTTATTTAATTTTGTTTGAGAAGAGATGAGTTTGATATATCAATATTAGTTAAATCATAGAGATGTATGAAAGTGTTGACACGCTGACAAATCGTGATATTTCACGTTCTGATACTAAATCGATTTTTAAAAGAAATGTATCTAATTTTGTAATGGAGAACTTGCATGCAAACATTTATTGTATTTCATTTATGTAGTGCAATTCATACTCGGGCTGCTAGGAGGCATCTGTTTTTACCGTCTTCATTCTGACAGAACTACGAGATCTCACGTTAACACTGGATGTGTCTTGGAAGGGTCTCGTCTGAGTTCAGTCTTACAAATTGCAAACATCATCTGGCATTTAGTATCAGAATATATCATATTGTCTCTCCTGTATTGCGATGTCTATTGTGTTGCCAGATTCTTGCCAGTACACACCCCTATTAAATCAACTTGAGTGTCTAGCTACTAGGGGTTGTACGAACTAGTCGACTAGTTGACTTCACGGCTCAGTAGTGACTTTTTATGCCTGTCATCAACTAGTCGCTGTCACGTGATAATGACTGACAAGATGCAGTCCTCGGAAAAGACAGCGGGTGATGAGCCCCTGCGCGTCTGGATCGAGGCGGAGGCGACGCGCTGTGCGGTACTGACACCGGCGGTAAAACGGACATTTAACCAAACTGTGACCTTTTCCCTCTTGCAATTTAACCTTCCCCTCACCCCCATCCTAATCTTAACCAGTTTGCGCATGCAAAGCTCTGATCGTTGACGTGCGCTCCAGACATTGCGTCCTGAGCACCGCCAAATCAGGTGTCACCACCTCAAAAACAAATTAAACACGCGATCGTTCATGTCGGCTCATTTCCTTTCATGTTTTCTGTCTGTTATTTGTGCCTGATGCATTTCGCTGCTGCGGAGCGAGGCGCATCACCTGTTGTCCTCCGTTGACGCAACCCCAAGATTCCACTATCTCCACTCCGCTCCGCTCCGGCATGAACTCCGCAGCAAAAACGGTCCCGTTGTAGTCGGCCGGCGAGCAGCGGCACTCCGCTGTTTTTGCGGTCGGTAGATCTTTTAGAACTGTAGTTCAAAGGTAACTCATAAGGTGAATATATATGAACGCAGGTAGCAGTTTTTCTTTAGGACTGAGAGGAGATGCAGGAAGATAATAAACAGGCAGGACAGAAAAATAGTCAAATAAAAACAAGTTAGTTTTTGTACCTGGTGGTTGCAACAAACAGACACCATTGAAGGTAATCAGAAGTGAGGAACAGAAAATGAAATAATTATTTTAATGTTTAGAGCAGCAGGAAAGGCTGCAGGCACATCAGTGAGTTTGCGGCTGCTGCGCAGGGGGAGGGGGGAGAGGGCTGAAGTAGGATGCAGAAACTACCGTTGTTAAAAGAGATGTGTTAACTTAGAAAATGTGGGCGCAATTTTAATTGTCAAAAACTCCAGCGAACCTACCCACCTCCCCCCCCCCCCCCTCCCCCCCCGGCCACCGCTTCCGGCGTATGACGTCATCAACGACTAGTCGAAGTCGACTCGACTTTCATTACTTGACTGTCGACTTTAAAAAAAATAAAGTCGTGCAGGCCCTACTAGCTACCAGTGTAAACTCCGTAAAACTTTTGAGGCCATTGCTTTTCCTTGCCACCTCACCAGACCTGTCTCGTCACTATGGAAACTGCTCAGCCTAGTCAGCAGTGACTGAATCTGAAAGGGCTCAACACAGTGTGCAGTGGAAGCCCACTGCAGTATGGGGAATTTGGGTGACCACACTGATGCTCAGAGTTTTGTGGCAGGGACCATGTTTGCCACACTCTGGAAATCATTACACTCCACGCAACGTTCACATGAGACTCATATGAAACTTGAACAGTCCACAACAAAAACAACAACCTGTGTAATTTCCTTAAGTCTTACAAATCAACTTCTGGGAAGTTTAGACAGCTTTTGAGATTTCTTACCAACAAAGTTTTCTCTAAGATGACTATTGGTGTTGTCCCATTATTGACTGGTGGTAGGGCTGCAACAAGAATCGATAAATTCGATGAAAATCGATTACTAAAAGCGTTGGCAACGAATTGCGTCATCGATTCGTTGTGTTGCGCAACTCTTCCAAAAGCCCCCTCCCCTCCCGCCTGCCGTTGCGCGCAGACCGGTGGAGAGCCGGCAGGTGTTTGCAAGAGGAACATGGCAGAAGCAGCGAGACCCCAAAAAGTAAAAACTTCTAAAGTTTGGGAGCATTTTCAGTTAAATCAGGCGAAGACATACAACGTTTGTAGGTCAGACTTAGCATGGCACGGGGATACTACGGTGATGATGCAGCGTCTTAAACGCAAGCATGTCAGAATCATCAGCGAGGAATAAGAGAGCTCGGTGTCCGGGTAAGTTAAAAACTTTTCAAAAGTGATTCACCCAAGCCCCGGATTATTACACACGCTAGACATGCCCTAAGCTCGTTAAAAAAAGTCTATAAAATTGTAAGCGCGACGCTATTAGATAGGCGGGGGGGGGGGGGGGGACTCGCGCCGCTGCGAACCGGTTCCGCCGTCACATTTCCGCAGAAACTGGTTGATTACACCGGGGCCAGACTACTAACATGTGGCTTTACAACCACAATGTTCTCAGAAGCAAAAACGCTTTTAAAAGGGAGGGAGGAGTCCTAACTGTTGCTGCAGGCGTGTTGTGTGAGAGTGCAGTTATATACTGGTTAATATATTTTTGGGTTCATTTGCTTTCATGTGGCCTAATGTGAGTCTATTTGGGATCATTGGATTGATCAGCAACATTTCTTGATGTGACTTTATGGCAGTTGCCCAGGGCATCATCGCAAGGAGGATGGCATTCATTTATTTTTGTTTTATTTGGTATTGTTTCAGTCATTTTTGGAAATAGTGATTAATTTTGATTAATTCACAGCCTATGTTTAATTACATTTAAAAATTAGTTGTTTGACATCCCCAATTATAATAAATGTCTACAGATGAGATCAAACAAAACAGATGAGAATTGCCCTTAAAGAGCAAGTCACCCCCAAATAAACTTTTTTTGCTGATAAACTAAATAAACGAGTGTCTAATCGTGCTGCAGACACGTGTCGTCAATAATTTGGCACTTCAGTGCATCTTAGTTAAAATTTAAATATTCTGCCTCAAACTGGCAGTGTTGTGCCGTTGTCAGGTAAAAACTCTGCACTGTATTTTAATTTAAATCTGCCACCGCTATTGGCTAAGAAGTATGCTATGATGTAAACTGGTACATTATGATGTCACAATGCTGTCGTGAGCCTGAGTGTGTGTGTGTATTTGTTAGTGGCTCCGCCCTCTCGGTCTGCCAGGCAACAGCATGTGTTGCATTTTTCAAACATGAAGCGGGAGTGGAGTTAGACTCTGGTAGGGGTTGACTTGCTCTTTAAGCTGTTTAACTTGGACCAAGCATTTTAGGTCACAGATAGGTGTAGCTTAGGGTCTCTGTCTATACACCTTATAAGACAATTTAGGTGATGGCATGTTGTTTTTCTGCTATTGAACTGTTTTCTAATAATGGTGTGTTTAATAAATTGAAGGAAGGAGAAAAATAACGTTTCCCTAGCAGTTTTTAAAAATGTCCCTATGTAATCCGATTAATCGATTAATCGTGTCGAGACCCCATCCGATTAATCGATTATCCAAATAATCGTTTGTTGCAGCCCTAATTGGTGGTATTGAATATTTGTGATTGGGTCAACCACAGAATGAATAAAGACATTGAAACTCCATAACTGAATCAACGGTATACAATGCTAGTTCCTGCCTTAAGCCGGGCGTACACTGTGCGACTTTTTCACTCGTAGCACTCACACTGTACGTCTGGTAGCAACACGTCGGCTACCAGGAGTTAACAGGAGTTAAGTGCTCGCCCCGTAATCGGAAGGTTGCTGGTTCGAGTCCCGCTCAGTCTGTCGCTGTCGTTGTGTCCTTGGGCAAGACACTTAACCCACATTCCCTGCTGGTGGTGGTCGGAGGGACTGGTGGCGCCAGTGCTCGGCAGCCTCGCCTCTGTCAGTGCGCCCCAGGGCAGCTGTGGCTACATTGTAGCTCATCCCCACCAGTGTGTGATTGTGTGTGTGAATGGGTGAATGACTGATTGTGTTGTAAAGCACCTTGGGGGGTTCTAGGACTCTAGAAGGCGCTATATCAAATACAGGCCATTTACCATTTACCATATTTTGTATATTTTAACCTGTACACACTGGCTTGACACTAAGGTCTTTTATATACTGTAGCTGATTTAAACTTTGTTTTCAAAGTATCTAGAGAGAAACTTCTTTTATTCCTTTTTTCTCTAAATTCACCAGCTGCAAAGATAAATGCAACTGTTTATTGGTGCTATTTTTGTTCATACCGCTTTAATGTGGGAAAAAATCCAGATGAAAACCAGTGTTCAGGAGAATTATTGCATCATTTATTACTTATAATCTACATTGATGATCACTAATCACAAAAATGTCTAAATGTCTAAAACCAAAACAACAGTAATTATCTCATCTTTGTAACCAGGTGAGTTGTAGCTGGAACCGTCATCATTGCGTCGGAGTGGAGTTGCCGTAGCAGCCCTGACGGGGCTCAGGAGGAGAGTGGCAATGGAGATGCACTGGCAGATGGGGCAGACCGTGGTTTGGACGGCGACCCTGAAGGCGTGTGGAGTCCAGACATCGAACAAAGCTTTCAGGAAGCCCTGGCCATCTACCCTCCATGCGGCAGGCGAAAGATCATACTTTCAGATGAGGGGAAGATGTATGGTGAGGAAAACCAAATTTTTGTACTAGCCTTTACAAAGTTTCATTGGTATGACTTTGGAGCATTTGTTAAACAACTTTATATGTGAGAATTCTTGGAATAAAATAAAATGTGAACATGATATTTTCAAGTATTACAGATACACACTTCTTAAAATGCAAGGGGTAACATATGAACTGAAACACAACTTTTACCCAAAGCTCTGTCCCATGTTGTTGTGTCTCTAAATAATGATCAAAGTTTTATTATTATTTAGAAGTTTGAACTTTACGGAAGGGGATTAGGGCAACTGAAATATATATATATATATATATATATATATATATATATATATATATATATATATATATATATATATAAAAGAATGAGAATTCTGATTTCTTAGAATTATTAAATTTAGAATTTTGGGATTAAAGTCAGAATTCTCTTTCTTTTATATATTTCCTTTTCAGTGGCCCTAATCCTCCTCTGTACATCTTTGTATTACATGTTGTGAAATTGAAAATGAATGAGTAGATTAATTGTTAAGTATGGGTATAAACTGATAAATAAACAAATAACTAAGTTATTAACCAGCCACATGGTCAAAAACTTAAATTTCTTTTAAGAGTTAATAATTTTTGACACTGGTTCCTTGATTCTCCAAAGACCCACCACAATCATAGATCAGGTGACTGAACTTTGAATGTTTGTTGGTTATTGGTGCTTCTTTCACAGGTCTCTAAGTTTGAACTAGATATCTGCCTGCAGGTATTCTGGGAGAGGACTATTTAGCTCTGGGGTCAGAGGGCAGACAGCAGTAAGAGGATCAAAGCTGACCTTTCAGGTCAAGTCAGGGTTAACATGTAAATAAGCTTCTTGATTGCTTTGTTTATGCTCTGATTGGTTAAAGATCTGTTTACATTTGTGTATTGGATTAACCAGAGTTGTATTGTGTGTACTTGTGTTCGTTTTAGGGCTTTTTCAAATAGCTGTGCTCTTTCTTCTCATGCAGCCTGTGTCATGCATAGGGCTGGGCGATATGGCAAAAATAGAATATTACGATTTTTCCAATATTTTATCGCGATTTCGATTTTATCACGATTTTTTATCCATGAATAGCATAACCTCAATTGCGTATTAAAGAAGAGAAACATTGAATAAACAAACATTTATTCATATGAGGGATAATCAACACAGTGCTAACACACTTATATTTTAAACACAGCAGAGATGATAAAAGCCCTGAGAGAAACAATTACAAAAATCAGTTTTTCTCATTTTTCAAGTAACTTAACATCAATTAAAATCGTAAACATATTTTAAGTGCAAACATGTCAATTGCAAACGTATTGTGCAAACATTAACTTGTTCAAAATACTATGTAGCTCCCAGTTGCTCATGTAGTGGATAGTTAAGCTCAAATACGGCTCTGATGTGCGGCTGGACCAGAGATCGCTTGTGGTAGCAAAAAACTGCGAATTCTGAATATTTTCTGCAACTCTCACTTTGCATTCAGCGTACATGCGTGGAATGGCGGTGTTCGAAAAATACTGGCGGCTGGAAAACTCGTAGCGCGGATCCAATGTTTTTATCATTTTCTTAAATCCCACTCCTACTGTTCGCACGGGACACAAATCTTTAACCAAGTGGTACGTCACTGCATCTGTCACGCTGTTCCATCGTCTGCTGTCTCTGTCGTAAGGAGTGAGTTTTGTGAGTGTTTCTGTTAGCGTTTGCTGCCTGGAAGAAGCACTAGCGCAGCCACAGGCTTTTTAGCTTTAGCTGCCAGCTGGCTCTCATTGTATTGTTTGGGATGATTTCTTTTCAAGTGATTAAACAAGTTTGTGGTGTTGCCAGACACCTTGACGCTCTCCTTGCAAACTTTGCAAATGACGTTTCGCTGCTCTTTGTCATCTGGTGAAAAACCAAACCAGTTCCATATAATGGACGAGGCGTTCCTCTTCGGAACGAAAACCTCGTTGTCGCTCACAGCCGCGGCCGAAGCCATGTTTGTTCACACACAGGTAAAAACAAGTGGGGCACTAATATATTACTATGACTCACTCTGATTGTTTAAGGGTCAAACAAAGGCGTGTCATTCGCCTGGGGTAAGTTCCCTTTTCATTCAGAGGTGGAAATTCAACAGCAGAGCTGTGAATCGTGATAAAAAGGTCTCTCAAAAATGACAGACCGTCAGATGTGTAGATCGTAAAACGGTCTAAACTCGTCATATCGCCCAGCTCTAGTCATGCATTAGCGTTTGTTTCAGGGTGTGCAGTGAGGGGAAACCGATCACGTTAATGACAGAAAGAGAAACTTTGTTTCAGCGTTGCAGTATTATCTCCTTTTGTGGAAGTGCTAACTAACTGGGTTGACCTCCCACATTTCTAGTTTGGTAAACAGCAGTATTCCCACTGGTGCACACAATCACATGTAAAAGCTGAACTGACCAGGAATAATACACCCCTGCTCATATTACCTAAAAGTTTCACATTTTTCTCCCATCTCAAAGGACATGTCTCTCACTCACTGCAAAATAAAGTCTTTATTAAAAAAAATACTAAAGGTGCACTTATACAATTTTTTTGGCCGATATTACTATCACTGTTATGGCCAATAACCGATATTTTCCAATACTGATATGAATTTTTCAATACCGATGTGAATTTACACGCTGACACTTAGCTAATTTTGTATAAATTATGCAACCTGCATTTTTGATTGTTTGGCTTTATTTCTATTAAGTGCAATTTGCAGTATACACACACACCACACACATTTATGCTTCTGAGATGATTACCATCACTGGCACATGACTAAAAAATTACACATCATCACCCCCTCACCCTCTGAAAGAGATGCACAAACGGAAACACGATTGAGTAAATATCAGTTGTTAATATCTGCCCAGTTTTTCTTATTAGACCGATACCGATATGTAAAAATATGACTGATGTCAGCTGAAACTAATACTGATGCCGATATATTGTGCATACATACAAAATACAGCTATTTATTGTTTATTTATTTATTTACTTTTATATGTTTGTTGTATTATTACAAATCATTTGGTGTTTTTTGTCCTCTAATGAGCAGAACCGGTTTTATTTGACTTATCCAATTTCTTCGTGTCAGTCATGAACGAAACAGATCTCAGAGCTCGTTGATGTGACCGATAGGAGCCAGCTCCCTCTTAGAGGAGTCAAATGTTAGTGACGCAGAGTGGCAGACTGTACCCACAGGCCCTGGAGCTGTTAAAAAATGCCAAAATGTGCGTATGTGCGCACATGCACGCCACGCACACATGTGCAGCTGGCATCTGATTGTCGTAAGACAAGGGGACAGAGAGGAGGAGGTGGTGCAGAGCAGTGCACCTCTGTTGCTGTGAAAGTGGGGATAGGGGTGGCATGCACAAAATACCTGGGAGACTATTACATTAACTGATGAGACCTGAAAATATTGGAGAAAAATCTGTAAAAGAGGAGAAAAGATAACCAAACGGCTACAGAAAGATGAGGCAATGAGTAAAAACAGGACAGGCACCACTGACACATTTTAACTACAGTGACAATTTTAAAGCAGAATGTGGAATATGCAAATGGCAAATATATCCAAGAGGCTCTAATGGTTCAAAGGGTTTACATGCAGAGTTTTTTTTTGTCATCTAAAATGTGTTTTTGTAGCACTCTGCTTCAAGTTGAATAAAATAAGTTATTTAAATAATAAAACATTTGATATTTTTAGATAGTAATTCAGATTACACACAGTTTTATATGATTTCTGCTGATTAATTCATTTAGGAAACAATAATGGAGGAGCCATTTGAGAGTCAAAGGAGCCGGTTCATTTTAGTGAGCTGAGCCATAAGAACCGGTTCTCTTAGAAGAGTTCGATCCCTCCCACTATTGCGCGTAGCCACAGATTTACTGTGTTGAGCACATGTCCACCTGCTGTCCATCAAAGCCATCTACATTCCAGGCGTCCTGAACGTGGCAGCAGACATCCTGTCAAGAGGAGGACCCCGCGACTCCGACTGGCGTCTGCATCCCGCAATGATATCACATATCTGGATCAGGTTCGGGGAGCCATCTGTGGATCTGTTCGTGGCTCACGGAAACGCACAGTGTAGCCTGTGATTTTCCCTGAGACCACGGGACCAACCCCCGCACGGAGCGGACGCCTTCTCATACCAGCCCTGGCCTCAGACGCTCCTGTATGCGTTTCCGCCAGTCCCACTGATTCCCCGACTCCTGTACCGAGTTTGGTCGGAACAGTTCTCTGTGATTCTGGTCACTCCCAGACGCTTGTCCGTGTCATGGTTTCCAGACCTACAAGCGCTGGTGTCCGGCTCCCCATGGAGGCTCCCATGGAGGAAGGACGCCCTCCTCCAGGCGGGAGGAATAATCAAACATCCTCCAGAAATAGGCCAATGGCTGTGGGTCTGGCCGCTGAGCGGTCACGCTTAGAGGCTTCTAGGCTGCCGCGTGATGTGGTCAACACGATTCAGAGTGCGCACGTGCCCTCTACCATTGCATTTATGCTGCTAAATGGGCAGCTTTGCAAAAATGGTGCACAGAGCAGAATGTTCAAGCACTCTCCTACCAGCTGACGGATGTCCTATCATTTCTGCAGATACTGTTGGACAGGGGCCTCGCATTTAGCACTATTAAAACATATGCTGCAGCTATCTCATCCTGTCACCAAGGTTTTGGAGATTGATCTGTTTTCAATCATCCCCTCACAAAACGTTTTTTTTAAAGGTGTCAGAAGGAACAGACCTGTGTCCCGCCCGCTATTTCCCCAGTGGGACCTAACGGTGGTTCTGCACGGCTTATCTGAAGCCCCTTTTGAGCCCTTGGACCAGGTCTCACTCAAGTTCCTGTCACTCAAAACTGCTGTGCTTCTGGCACTGGCATCAGTCAAGAGAGTGAGCGACCTAACCGCCCTCAGTGGCTCCTGCCTGCCTCAGAATCAGGGAAGATGGCGGGTCTGCTATTTTATGCCCCGACCCAGCCTTTGTGCCCAAAAACATTTATACTTCCTTCAAATCCAGGTCACTTTCATTGGCTGGACTTTTTCCTCCTCCCCATAATTTTGATGAGGGGGCGGCTTCCCACCTTCTCTGCCCGGTGTGCACGCTCGCACGATATGTGTCTCACACTTCACGGATTCGTCGCTCACAGAGCCTCTTTGTACACTACAGAGACTCTTCCTTTGGGCAAGTGCTGTCGACCCAGCATCTTTCACACTGGCTATGTGACGCTGTTTCACTCGCTTACACATCATCTCAGGGCGGGGTCCTCCTGAGACACTCAGGGCTCACTCAGCCAGAGGTATTTCCTCTTCTGTGGTGCTCCACAGTGGTGTGTCAATGGAAGACATTTGCCTAGCTGCTTCATGGGCTTCCCCATGTTCCTTTACTCATTATTACTTACGAGACGTTTCTTCAGGATCCATCACTCGTTCAGTGCTTGAACACCAACAGGCTGAGTGAAAACATTACGGCCTCACATCGGCTTTACTACAATAATACATATCCAGATGGATATGTTTGCAATCACTACCTATGTTCCCCTCATAACTGGTCCCATTCAATCCATTGCCCTCTTGTCACCCTGGGCTCCTTATTATCTTATCACCCCTCATACATGAGCCAGTGATTACATCAATGGATTATTAAATTCATCCACTTGTGGAAGATCATTTTAGTGGGAACCCCACTCTTCATTTCTGGCTGCCTCAGCCTTCTAAGCCCTTAGGCTTAGGCTGAGCGACCCTCTTTAAGAAGAGAAATGTTGGATGTGCCCATTTGGTTTGAGCTAACAAGTGTGGCGTAAACTCATCCAGCTGCGCAATTCCAATAACAGCTAGCTTAAGGGCTAAGACTAGACGAAATAGAACGTTGGTTACGTATTGTAACCCCAGATTCTATGAGTCTAGTCACAGCCCTTAAGCCAATGGCCCCACTGGTTCTGACAGGACCAAGAGCCATCGGAGGGGAACAGTGGAGTCGCTCCACTTATATACCCATGGGGGTGCCCACCATTGGTGGGCGTACATTTAAGTTCTTCATGATTGGCTGATGCTGAGATATGTAAATATGGACATATGGAGGACAGAACCCTGAGGAATCCCAGAGAACATTAGGACGTTGCTGTTGTTTGCTAGTCCAGACGTCCAGCATCAGTTTTTGCATACGTTGTATGAGATACGGTGTATTTATTTATTTATTTTTTTACTTTTAAATGTTTGTTGTATTATTACAAATCATTTGGTGTTTTTTGTCCTCTAATGAGCAGAACAGGTGTTATTTGACTTATCCAATTTCTTCGTGTCAGTCATGAACGAAACAGATCTCAGAGCTCGTTGATGTGACCGATAGGAGCCAGCTCCCTCTTAGAGGAGTCAAATGTTAGTGACGCAGAGTGGCAGACTGTACCCACAGGCCCTGGAGCTGTTAAAAAATGCCAAAATGTGCGTATGTGCGCACATGCACGCCGCGCACACATGTGCAGCGGGCATCTGATTGTCGTAAGACCAGGGGACAGAGAGGAGGAGGTGGTGCAGAGCAGTGCACCTCTGTTGCTGTGAAAGTGGGGATAGGGGTGGCATGCACAAAATACCTGGGAGACTATTACATTAACTGATGAGACCTGAAAATATTGGGAGAAAAATCTGTAAAAGAGGAGAAAAGATAACCAAACGGCTACAGAAAGATGAGGCAATGAGTAAAAACCAACTAATGGTTAGGGTCACAGATCATTTTATTCCAATAGTTTACACCTGATGGGGAATAAAACTGATTTAGTTGAATTAATTGAAGTTGTGGTAGGCAGCACAGACGAATGAGCTCTTTTTTCTTTTGCAGCAGACTGCATTGTCTGAGTCAGCCTCTTTTGTGGATTCTGGGGAATTCTGTGTTTGGGTAATTTAACTGGTGTGACTCATCTGAAGTCTCTATGGGGTCTCACCATTTCCCAACAGCCCAGATGGAGATGTTGATGTTGTTTACAGCATATAATCAGCCATTTCCAGCTGTGATTTAAGTCTGGTCACCATTATTTACTGACCTTACAGGAGAATTGGTAAACCAAGTGTTGCTCATTAGTTACCAGCAGAGGTGCGCCGGTCATCCGTCAGGATTTGTAGCTGGGGAGGGGAGGTAGAGAAAGAAAGAGCTGAACAAGCATGGACAGAATAGAAAATCTGTGATAACCTCTACTTTTCATATTTAATTCTGGAGCAACACCAAATCTCTCTTGAGTTACCACTGCTGTTTTTAATGAGGAAATTCAAAAACCACATATGGGTTTAACCTGAGTCATTTTAATGATGTGGTGTGAAATGGCACAATGGTACATCCTGATATAAAACACATACATTACATAGAAAATGCTGTCGCAGTAAGTGCACATGTTTTTCTGAAGCTTTGTGAAAACCAACATCTTCCCTCCCACACTGTGATCCAGGGGTCATCTTGACCCAGTGCCTAAACCTCGTCAGCTGGCTCCTCTCAGAGTGGAGGAGCAGTGGTTCTAGTCCTTTCCCAAAGCTCATAACGATAAAGGGCGTGAACGTAGCTCGACTGGTAAATCTGGATCTTCGCTCCTCCTTGAACCATCATCGTGTAAGAGTTTGATAATAACTGCCGAACGCACAAACAGCAGATGTATAACGTTTAGAAAATAAAGCAGAACTATTTGATTTGAGATTAGAGCTATTTTAAAAATGTCAGAAAAAACTATGGACTTTGCTGTGCTCACACTAGATGTTTGCATCTTTTACACAGGGACACTTCCCTGAATGGATGAAAATGTCCTTCAAGAACACGCTGCTAATGCATAAACAATGTGTTGATAAGAGCCAGTTGGTTGAACTGAAATAAAGAAAACTCGAAGAAGAAAACAGAATTTCTTGTACCAAAATGATCCGTGTTTTTCTAGTACCTTATTAAGATCAACAGAAGTTGTTTGTTGTTGCGCTTTCTTTGATTTTGTCCATTTGTTTATCACTGTTAGGTCGAAACGAGCTGATAGCTCGCTACATAAAACTGCGAACGGGGAAGACGCGTACCCGCAAGCAGGTGAGCATCAACATTTGTGAGCAGTCCTGTTATCTGTGACATTAATTTATACATGTATTTCATTTACCTTATGATGCTTTTCTATCCAGGAAGTGACATAACTGACTGGGCCTGTTTAAATTAAAATATCATCCTGTAATTATGTTTGTTTTCATGGGGATAACCCTGACCCCAAAGGTTTCTAGTCACATTCAAGTTTTGGCACGTAAGAGGGTGCGAGAATATCAAGCAAGCATCAAGGTGGGTTCCCACAGAATCCCTTTCCTCTGTAGTCACATTCCTCCTCCTTGTCTTTTCCTTCTTCTCCCATCCTTTCCCTTTCATCCTGTCCTTCCTCAGGTCTCTAGTCACCTGCAGGTCTTGGCCAAAAGAAAGTCTCGTGAGATTCAGTCTAAGCTGAAGGTACACAGGCTAACTGACTCTGTGATGCGAGCAGCTTTGTTCTGCATGTGGCCAAAATCTGACTGGACACATGTCATTAGATAGAGACATGCTGGACACATTGTTTGGTTTTTTAAGCTTCTTTTGGACATTATGTCAGAGTTTATTTTTCCCCTTTTTTAGTTTAGTGGCGATATCTAGCGATTGGTGTTTGTGAGATTTAGCTGCATGAACATAATGGTTACTAGGTGGTCTTTGATGCTGTCTAGTGAATTTTGTTAATGCTTTACACGTCTTTGTTTACATGCTGTCCATGTAGTACTTTGTTAGCAGTGGTTACAACGAAAGCATGTGTGTGGTGGAACTTTTGATGCATGCTGAACATTTGTATAGTTCAAGAGGTTTGTGACCTTAGACACGATTGTTGCATGAGAATCTTTTACTGAGGAATGTGTTTGGCTTCATTAACATGCATTTATGAGTGCAGACAAGCAAAAACTCATTCATGTTCTCTGTACTGAGGCAAATAGTGAAGACTTGATACATTTCAAACCCTCTGTTTCTGTACTTAAACAATCTTTTACTTCTTTATATGTTATTTTTATTTCCTTTTCCTTTAACCCTATCCGGTATCACAGTATATTTGTATAACGTTGTTGTCGATACAAATTAAAATTTCATACCAGCTCACTCTGGTGTGATGGCTATGTGTGGGTTAGGGTCAGCGCCTCCTGACAGAACAGAAAGGTAGAGAAGGCTTCAAATGACTCCTAATCATAGATTCAGGTCATCATTTTTGTTAATTTGCAGAAACAAAAAGTCAAAAAGGAGGTCAACCAATATGGATTTTTCAATGGCTCCATTTATTTATATTTCTTTATGGACTGATGTGATTCGAATCGTGTGTGGAACATTTGTTTAATAAGTTTGCACTTTAACAGTTCTTTCATATAATTTCTATGTAAACAGATGAATCACTTTTACCAGAGTTTCAGTTCATCCTTTAACATTAAGTTTGTTACAGACTTTGGTATATCGCTCTGTGTGTATGCTTGTTGATAAAGATCAGCCATAATACCAAATGTCAAAATAACATCAAGCTATAATTGCAGTGTCTGTTTTCATGTGTCATTTTATATTTTTTTGTCTGAGAATCGGCTATTCTCGACACAACTTCACTATAAACATCTGCTGCCTGTGTGGAGTCTCGTCAGCATGGCTCCGATTGTGTTCTTTCAGACAACCAAATGTATGCTGGTACAAGTGTACCAGACCACGCCCAAAGGTAGATTCAGGAAAGACGTCATCAATGCATACTGAGTGTTAACACTGGTATTTAGTCATCCAAAATGTGATCAGATCACTTTGGACAGCTGCTGGTGCTGCACAGGAACAGGCTCTTAGTGCAAGGGAAGCCTACAGTTCCCTCCCTGTCTATCACAAAAACCTAACTTACTGTAAATGTGTAAAACGTAGGGCAAAGACTCTGTCTATGAAGTTAGGAGTAATCCGTTTCAGAAAGGGCGATCTGAAGTTAGTAGAAAAGCTCTTCAGTTAGGTTTTGGTGTTTTAGGAAAGCTCTTCACTTGGATATCTTTCTTGTCATAACTGTTTAACTTTCTCACCTTATTGATTTTATTCACTATGAGCTACATCTTTTAGTTTAATTTCAGAAATATTTCTTTTTTGTATTCAACCCCTACCTTTCCAGTGAAGGAAGTACATGAGATGGTGTTTTCCTTTGTTGCCAAACAGTGAATCTGTCCCCACTTACATTTTGAATGTACTAAATTAAGTTTATTACATGTCTTTTTTGCTATAGGCCATGAATTTGGTAAGTTTTGGTTATACAACTCCAGTTCTCTGCTTCAGGCTTTGTGCTGCGCGATTGCCATCACATTACTGCCAGACTTAAATCTCATTGCTTTGTTTGTTATTTATTTTTCTTAGCGGCATTAGTTGAGTGCTGGTGATGGCTAGCTCTTCTAGCTTGTTACACTTCCTGCTTTTGCTTCTTCTCAGGTCTGCTTTGCTGTTTTTCCTTTCTTACCGTACATAGTTACTGCATCATGCTGAAGTTCAGTAAATATCTGCTGGCTTGCTGTGTAAAGTGACATTTTAAAGTTGGCTGAACTTGGACTTATAACCTACATTGGTAACTTATATTGAAGATAAATGCTAGAATGTTTTTGATTATGTATTACTTTGGTTTGTCTTTTTTACATTGTTTTTTCAGGATCAGGTATCCAAAGACAAGGCACTCCAGACTGTGGCCAACCTCTCATCAGCTCAGATTGTGTCTGCCAGTGTAATGAAGCCTCAGACTTCCTTCCCTCCACCAGTCAGAGTAAGACATAAACTGTTGGTCCACCTATTTATCAGTAAAAAGACAATCTTATGTTTTAGTAAAGGAAGCCTTGTGTAAAGACCTACATAGTCCACTAGAGGGCATCCAAGCTCTGGGTGCTTTTTATTTCCATTGGATCACACAGTAGTGAAACATATCAGTGATTATTCTCAAAGGATGGTAATGTGAGGACAAAAAGCATGTTTATGATCAGATCAGCCACAGAATCAGGATCATTATTTACTTTCGGTTTAGCAACAGGTAATGTTATTATTTAATCCTCCACATTTCATCTGTGCACAACAGAATCAAAACTAAACAAATGCAAAACCAATGTCCCTGGGAAAATGCTACAGCTCTAGCCATTCATTTTCAAAATAAGGTGTTTATATCTCTGCCAATAATGGTGTCGGCAATATGAAGATATAATTATTTGTATTTGTTTAAAATACAATATATCTAACATACCATAGACACAGCAGTTGATAATCTGTATCAACAGATCCTGCTTTAAGTAGATGGTGATGAACTTATATATTTTTTCTTTTTAAGTCTGAGGATTTACCAACTAATCTGTTTTTTTTATTTTTTTATTTATTTTTTTATTTTGTATTTTTTATTTCTTGGTTTGCTCAGTATTGGCCTGGCCCGGTACCAGGACAACCTGGACATTCTCAGGAGTAGGTATCACTATCAGATTAGGTGCTTTGGTGTTTTGGGACTGCTTCCCATTTTTCCTTTTGTGCTTTTTTTTTATATCAGCATCAAGCCCTTTGCACAGCCTCCATACACCACACTACCAGCCCCTGTTCCACCACCCATCAGTAAGCATAAAAAAATCTAATTCTTGTACATGTGTGTTAATCTTGTGAGGTAATTGTTGTCTCCCTGTTTAAATGTGTGACAGGCTATGAGGCTTTGCCACCCCCCCGGCCTGCAGCCATAGCTGCTCCCGTCTGGCAGGACAGAACCATTTCTTCAGCAAAACTACGCCTACTTGAGTTCTCTGCTTTTATGGAGACCCAAAGAGACCGAGAGATGGTATTTGTGCTTGTTGTTAAAAGTAATCTGTTTTATTCCCCTTGATAACACTTTTCTCTTTTCCTCCTGCAGCACAAACACCTTTTTGTTCACATCGGCCCCTCGAACCCAGTCTACAGTGACCCTGTTTTGGAGTCTATAGATGTAAGGCAGATTTACGACAAGTTCTCAGAAAAGAAAGGCGGCCTGAAAGAGCTGTATGAGAAAGGACCACACAATGCTTTCTTTCTCGTCAAGTTCTGGGTTAGTGAACAAAACCATTATTCCCCTGAGATTTGAGGGGGAAAAAACATGGAAGGATTGGATTATAGGAAGAGGATCTTTGCTCTTTGTTTTAGGCGGACCTGAGCAGCGAAGTTGAGGAGGGCTCTGATGCGTTTTACCTAGTGAGCAGCCAGTACAGTGGAACAGAAAATATCACCATCAGTGTGTCTACGAAGGTCTGCTCTTTTGGCAAACAGGTGGTGGAGAAGGTCGAGGTGAGAGAACGAGCCAATTCTTTTATTAAAGGAAACTTTTTTTGAGAAGTTTTAACCACTGTAAATATGTGTGGCTTTTCACCATGTAGACAGAGTATGCCCATTTAGAAGGAGGAAAGTATGTTTTCCGCATCCATCGCTCACCCATGTGTGAATACATGATCAACTTCATCCACAAGCTAAAGCATCTGCCAGAGAAGTACATGATGAACAGCGTGCTGGAGAACTTCACTATTCTGCAGGTATTTCACAGTTGTTGGAACCTAATGTTGTTGAACACAATGTCTATGGGCAGTGTTCACAACATTATTGTTAAAACTTGTTCATTCAGTGGATTTTAGGCTGTAATCTGACACTGCTGTTTTTACAGTGCTTAGCCGGAGGTTACTGTCACACACACACACACACAAATGCATTCAAGTGTTTAGAAAGCTTTTTTTTTTTTTACTGCAGTTACCTTCTCTGTTGGTAGTTTTGATGCCTGGTGTTATGCTGCCACGATTAGTCGGTTTGTCACAATGATGTCGACAAACAAAATAGTCAACAATAAATGTAATAGTCAATGTCGTTTACTCTATCAAGCTCTGTTTTTCTTCTTCTGAAAGCACCTTCTGCTGCTTTCTATCTTTCTGCTTGAGGCACGTGCAGTAGTGGCCATCCGAGTCACCCGTCGCGTCACCAGAAAAAACAAGACATCATGGCGAGCCGTTGAAGTAGCTCAAAAGTTTGGGAGCATTTTACAAAGATAAAAGAGAAGCATGTACAGTGCAAAATCTGCAAAGTGGAGCTCTTCTTTCACAAGAGGACAACAGTGATGCATGAACACCTTAAAAGGAAGCACATTATGGCAAAGGACAAAGAGGGACGGTCACCTCTGTAGGCAAATTACCACTTGTTAGCTGCTAACATCAACACGAAGTTACTTGTATTTATAGCTGTAGCAACAACAGTAGTGATGGCGATTTTATTGTTTCACGCATTTGCTGAAATGTTGCAAATGCTAATGATTGATTGTGTCCCGTTATGTTGTTTTTGTTTTTCGTCAGGTGGTGTCCAACAGAGAAACCCAGGAGACTCTGCTGTGCATTGCCTTCGTATTTGAAGTGTCCACGAGCGAACATGGAGCGCAGTACCACGTTTATCGACTGGTTAATAACTAGCAGCATGATGTGTGCGTGCACGCAGAGACTCAGAACTCTTCATACAAACTGCTTAAACACGACTTCCTGCAGAACACTCAGACCCCCACCCCCACCCCCCACTCCTTTGAACACATTCACTTTTTTTTTTTTTTTTTAATCAGACCAACCGTCACACTGCAGTCGTACCTGTTTCTCATTAGAATCATATCAGTGTTGGTTTTGTTTTTTAAATCAGAAATGTTTTGTAGTGAAAGACATTTCATATCAGAAATGCTCCAAACTATGCTGAAGTTTTCTATTCTGATTTAAGCGTCTTAAACCATTTGATGCACATGGTTCATAGGTAAGACTGGCGTGAGACGAGTTTGAATATAATTTTTCAGATCATTTAATGAGTGTTATTGTAACCTGCCACCGTGGCTATTCTACAGTTTATAGTATTTTTAAAAGGTACATATCCTGTGTTACTAGCCTAGTGAACTAGACCAAATTCTTGCTTTGCAAAGTTTGGTCTAGGCACGCTCCATTGGAACCTCCGCAGCTCCTACCAGGACTCTGGCTAGCCAATCACAGCTCTCTAGAGGGAAGAGCTGTGATTGGTCCATAATGGTGGGCCAATCATAGTGCTCTATCTGCTTAGTGAACAAATCACAGAGCTTTATCCGCTTTGTGGGCCAATCAGGGCACTCTAAATGCCTGGTGGGTGGGATGATGCAACAGAGTGAAACAAGAGTATGTCACATTCATTGTCCAGTGGAATGCGGAGATCATTTGAAAGACAACGGTAGAACCCGCCCCACAACCGAGAGCTGTCAATGGAGCGTGGCTAGACTAAATAATACATTTATTTAGTCTGGCTTGCCAGGCTACTGTGTTACAGCTTTGTGTGAAAATGTGGACTACATTCAATTTTTTTAAATACAATCATAAATTGCAATGGTCTGCCTCTTCTTAAAAATAATGCACTGCATGTAGAGATGTGCATGTTGTATTTATTTTATAACACTATCATGGGGTGAAAAAAGTGCAACATTTTGAGTATTTGTTGTTTAAAAGATTTTTATTGGTGCACTATGTGAAGAGGAGAAAAATCTCAAATGTGCATTAAAATATCGGCTCATACTTGTTTTTAAACAAATTCAAATTTATGTCATAGTTTTTAGAGACGTTCTTCAATACTGTTTGTATTGTGACTGCTTGAGCTTGCTGGAGTATTTCTACCTCCACATGAGTTGAGATAAGGATGTGCTTTGATTCTTAAAGCGGAGAAGCACTGATGTATAGGACACTACATTAGTAATGGTACTGTTGTTTATAAACCAAACTGAGATTAGTAGACATTTTGTAAGGGTTTTTTGTATTTTCATATCAAGAAAAGTAAACACTAAACAGTGGATATTTTGGTTGTTAAATATGGTACAAATTACATCATGTCACCCACAATGCATTGGGGAACATTTTTGCCTGATGACACTACCACATTATCCAACTGATATGTTTCTGTTTTGTATTATTTCTTGTGTTTACTGGTGCACATGGCTACCAACTTGTCCTTTTTTTTTTATCTTATTTGACTCCAACACACCCTCTGCTTAAGGGGTTTGCCTTTAAACTCAAGGAGGAACATCATATCTTTAGACTTGCTTCTGTTTGAAACAAAGCTGTCATTTAATCCTTATGGTGGGGTCCTTCAGAAGTGTTACATTATATCATTATTGTAATTATCTGTGTACTCTGACTTTGCCTCAATTGTTTCAGTCAAATCTACGTGGAAAATAACATTTTGTGCCTTTATGTTTTGCCAATAACATCACACAGTGACTGAGAGGATGTCATTCTTAATAAATTGATAAAAAGTAAATATTTTCTGGTTTCACTTTAATTAAATTCCAAACTTTTAATCTATGTGGTTGATCACCATTGTCATGATTTTAATGGCAAAGAGACCTCAGACACATATATTTTATGTTTTCAAATATGGTTTTTAGAAAAGTCCAGTTGTTACCTGCTAAACCTTCAAGAAAGTGAAATGTGTATCTCACCACTCTCAAATGCGTTTTATTTACATGGCGCAGATTTGCTATTAAAGTTCTTTTGTCTATAGCCATTTTTGTCCAAAATGGATTATGCTAAACTAAACGCAATCAATCTCATACACCTTATTCCCTCCAAACTTGATTTTAAATGCCTCTGACATTGCAGTTACCATCTTTCCTGCTAGGTGGTGCTGTCACCCCAAGTGTGTGTTTTAAGTACAATCCAGGTTAGATAATTGAGATTGTTTACCAGAAGCTAAACAGCTCCAGGTATTTCCTTGCATTCCTGCAATGCTATTAGTGTGAACTTATCTTAGACTTATTTAAAAAAAACAGCAAACCTGTTCAAGAACGGTTTTAAATGTCATACCTGAACTATTTAAGGGAGTTTTTCACATTCAAAGTTCTGCAAGAAATACAAGAAAGGTTAGTCTTCTCTCAAGCTGTTAAGATGTGAGATAAACTTATTTATCTCGTATAACTGCTGGCAACCTTCCAAAGTATTTGTCATGGTTTGTGTGATTGGTGTACATATATGGCTTTATCTGTGTGTGTTTTCATTTTTTACAATACACCGTTGATAGTGACATTTGATTTTTTTTATTGGCGGGGGGAGGGGTTGTGTTTTCAATATATAAATTAACGATAGGAAACAGACCGTTGGCTACTGTTGATTAAAACTTATTGTGACAGTCTATAAAACAACCAGTACAAATAATTCAGTGACCGCAAAATCTTTTTTAACTTCTATTGACATATTTTATTCAGTGTTTTATGCCAAGCCCAGCTGCAAATCGTAAAATAAAAATAAAAACTAACTGGTCATGACACAGTTGATACAATCAGGCAACTTTCAATTAACTTTATGTGTCAGACATTTAGTAAAGAAAAATGACCAGATCTGGTTTGTGGACAAAATGAGATTTCAATTTAGCTTGTGATCTAGTCCAAAGCTCCTAACTAATCAAACAAGATGTTTAAATAATTAATTTATGTTGTCAAATTAGAAATGGCTGGGGCAGCATTGGCAACAAGTCTTTTGTTAACCGAGACCCATTCCTGCTCTTAAAGCCTGTAATATGGTCCAAATAGTTTAGAAAGGGCAACTTTTATGAATTTTGTGTCAATCTCAATAAGTCAGACCAACGTAGATGTTATCAAACTATGAAGAATTTCAGGAAAATGTCTCTTGAGTCTTTCAAGGGTTTACATTTTCACCACAGACATTTCGAAAAAAGCAGTCATCCAACCCCACACCTAGAGTTTTGTAGAACAGTCACATGTCCTGGATGGTCCTTATGTGTCCAGTTTGTGGAACAATGTAACACACATTTCCACAGAGTCCCAGTTGCATTCAAGGCCAGAGAAGAAGTCTAGGTAACATTCTCTCCATCCTCAAGTTTTTGTTGTGTTGCAGATCCTAAATTATGGACTCTGTTATCGAAATGACCAAATATCTATTTATGCATTTTCTGACACACTGCACCAAGAATGTATTGCCTTGGCTGTGTTCAAGGCAGGCAGAAGGTGTGGTGGGAAAATGCAACCAGAAGACTCTTTGCCAAAACAGTCCGGCACAAATCAAATTCTTAACTCATTACTTCCTTCTCAGTCGTATTCCCTTTCATCTTGTTCCAACCATTTTTCATGCTCCTGATTGGTTTTTTTTCTTCTTTCCTCCCAGGTTGATTACAGTCTTTCTTGAGCAATTCAGACATTAAGATATGATCCATGCAGCAGACCTCTAAATGACCTTTTGAAGGGAGTTTAAACTTTAACGAGTAAGACTATGTGGCATATTCAAATGGTTGCTGCATTAGTGTCCAGTTAAATGCCACTTTTCATGCCGATGCTCATTAAAATTTATTTAAGCAATATTTAGTAATGTAAAGTAAAATGCTGTGTGATTTCTGAATAGGATTGCAGAGAGCTGATATCATTTTCCTCTATTCCTTTACTGCTACATTCAAGTGAAGATTTAGAGAAATCGCCTTTGAATGCAATTCCAGATTGTGTATTCCAATTAAAGATTTAATTGTTTGTTTGACAAAAGGTAGGGTTAATAATGGACAAAAAGCATCCATCAAGTCTGTGTGGTGGGGTTGGTTTTGTAAAATAAATAGAATAGCACGCACACATACATACATACATATGTATATATAGGTCAGAGGGGGATTGACATCCCCTGCATATTTGAAGATTGTGTACGGATAATGTTGAACGAGGCAGCAACTGACTTGAAAGATAAGATCGCAACTTGAATGAGCACCAGGCAACTCCGACGCCAACTACAACAGCTGAGTGTGCCATCAGAAATCTTTGAAGATGTGGATGCAACATTGACAGTAATTCCTACAACCACCTTCACTGAAACCAATGAGCTGATATACACTTCAGCAGCAGTGATCCTTGACATGTTTGGCTATAAGAATAAGAGCAACCATGAAAAACAATACCCACCATGGAAAAGAAGGTTGGAGGCCAAAATCAAGGCAGCACGTAGAGAAGTGAACCAACTGTCAGCTCCAGAAAGGTACAATGGGAAAAGCAGTACCTAAGAGCTATAGCAGGGGTGGGCAATCCTGGTCCTCGAGGGCCACTATCCAGTAGGTTTTAGTTGTTTACCTGCCCCAACACTCCTGATTCCTGGATGAATCACCTGTTCAGCAGCTCATCAGGCTCTGCAGCAGCCTGTTAATCACTAGTAGATTCAAACCAGGTGTGTTTAAGCAGAGAAACAAGTAAAACCTGCTGGACAGCGGCCCTTGAGGACTGGGATTGCCCACCCCTGAGCTATAGCCAGATACCCATATGTGAAGTACTGGAAACTGCCATGACTGCCAGATGAATAAACCGGTTCTTCTCAACCCAGCCAGCCAAAGTGGCAGGGTATTAACAGCAGGGCAGACCCACCAATGCTGGAGACTCAACAGTACTGGAAGGGCAAATGGGAAAATAAAGCATCACACAACAGGGATGCAAAGTAACTAGCCCCTCTAAGAGAAAATGACAGCAACCTCCCTGAGCAGAACCCAGAATCCATCACTGTGGCAGACAAATAAGAAAGAGTCACACGTATAAAATAAATAACTTGACAGCACCGGGGCCTAACATGATCCATGCCTACTGGCTGAAGAGGCTCACTGCACTTCATAAGCGCCTGGAAGTGCAAAGGAGCTGCCAGCTGCTTAAGAATAAGACTCACTCTGAATAAGCACAGCACAGAATGGCATCGGCAAAGATACCAGAGGAGCCAAACACCAGCTGCTGATAGACTGAAAAGTTGCCCAGGACTGCAAAGTCCAACACATCAACCTGTGCACGGTCTGGATTAATTACAGGATGACTCAACGCCACACTCATGGATCATTGAATGCTTGGAGCTGTACAGCATAAGCAGGGCTTTGACAGCCTTCATGTTAAACTCAATGGGGCTGTGAAAAATCACCGTTGAGACCAATTGCATGCCAATTGCACAAGTATCCATGAAATGTGGCATATAACAAAGGAGACGCCCTGTCCCAACTGCTATTCTGCATCAATCTGAACCCCCTCTGCCAAATAATCAACAAGACTGGCTATTGATACTTACTCAAGAATGGAACCGCAATCAGCCACCTCCTCTGCAAGAATGGCATAAAGCTGAGCACTAAGAGCAAGCGAGACATCAACTCACTGAGCCACACCACCAGGATCTACAGCACTGATATCAGAATGTCAATCAGACTTGAAACGTGTGGTCGGATGGTGGCTAAGAAAGGGAAAGTAGTCCACATAGAAGTGGTCTTACTCCCAGAAGGAACAATAGCAGACATTGAGGACAGCTTCAAGTACCTTTGTATCCCAGAAATCCAGAAAAGGAAATTGCTTAGTCAATCACCTGACCTGAATGGCATTACATTAATCTCCGAGAACAAAATATGGAACATTGGTGTAATCTTTGACCAGGACATGGCATTCAAATCCCAGGTTAAACAGGTTTGTAGGATTTCCTTTTTCCACCTTCGGAATATTGCTAAGATTAGAAGCATCCTTTCCAGGAGTGATGCTGAAAAACTAGTTCATGCATTTATTACATCAAGACTGGATTACTGTAATTCATTACTCTCAGGAAGTCCACAGAATGTAGTTAAAAGTCTTCAGCTTGTCCAAAATGCTGCAGCTAGAGTTCTGATGAGAATTAAAAAGAGAGATCATATCTCTCCTGTCTTAGCTTCCCTACATTGGCTACCTGTTAAATTCAGAATAGATTTTAAGATCCTTCTTCTCACATGTAAAGCTCTTAATAATCAAGCTCCATCATACATCAATGATCTGATTGTTCCATGCGTTCCTAACCGAGAACTTCGCTCTCAGACTGCAGGTTTACTGGTGGTTCCCAGAATATCTAAAATTAGGATGGGAGGCAGATCTTTTAGTTATCAGGCTCCTCTCCTATGGAACCAGCTCCCAGCTTTACTCCGTGAGGCAGACACCTTGTCTACTTTTAAGACTAGGCTTAAAACATTTTTATTTGATAGGGCCTATGGTTAAAATCTGATGTTAGCCTAAATCTGGACAAGTGGGGGAGTAGAAGGAGGTGGAGTGTACAGTCGGTAAAGACGGCTCTCCCTTGCCCTGCCTCCAACATGCTTCCATCTAAATAGGATAGATTATCCAGAGTTTTCTCTGTAGTTATGCTGCTATAGGCTTAGACTGCTGGAGGATACACTGACCTCTTTTCACACTCTACTGCTTTCTTCTACAACCTGCTCTTTAACTGTATTATTTTCTGCAACTTCAGCTGTTAACTTTACTTTTTCTCTAAGTATTTTTCTCCCCAGAAGAAGCTACAATGATGTTCTGCTGAGCTGTGGTGGCCTCATGGAGGGGGCCATCGTCGAGCACACTGCTGCTAACCACTTAAACATTCTCCCTCTCCTGATAATAACGTTTTGCTTTCCTTGACTTTGAACGTGCTACTGCTAGTTTACCCATTTAATTAGAGAACCACTAGGATAAATACAATAAAGTTTATCTCACCAAATAGAATATTTACTAAGAAATCACAATATAACTATAGACACATTACTTTGTCGTGTGTGTGTGTGTGTGTGTGTGTGTGTGTGTGTGTGTGTGTGTGTGTGTGTGTGTGTGCGTGTGTGCGTGCGTGCGTGCGTGCGTGTGTGTGTGTGTGCCTGCTCTGTCTTCTCGATCCCCAGTGAGTCGTGGAGGATGGCTGCTTATACTGAGCCAGGATTCTCTGGAGGTTTCTTACTGTTAAAAGGGAGTTTTCCTCTCCACTGTCGCTTTATGCTTGCTTAATATGAGGATTGCTGTAAAGTCACTGACACTAGTCAGTGACTTGATGCAATTTGCTGGGTTCCTTATATAGGAAAAATTATTTCTGATTGGCCTAATGAACTGTCCTGAATTGGAATGTTTATTATGTGAAGTGCCTTGAGACGACTCTTGTCGTGATTTGGCGCTATATAAATAAAATTGAATTGAATCGAATCCCACAAGCAAATGGCAACCTTGATAAAGCTGCAAGGAAATAAGCCACAGCCAAATACCTACAGAGAGTAAGGCAATTCCTAAAAAGCTCAATGGCAAGAACAAGATCTGGGCAAATAACAGCTACTCTCTGCCAGTAATCAGATATCCGGCTGGAATAATAAGCTGGCCAAACGAAGAAATACTGACCACAGATGTCAAGACACGGAAACTCCTAACTATGCATGGAGGGTTCCATCCCAAATGTCTCAGACAATGGCGAGTCGAGGAGGAGATGCTGGAAATACCATCATGTGAGGACAAGCCCCTACATGGGATGTACCACCGACAGATAATTGAAGTGGCGGATATCAAGAAATCCTACCAATGACTAGAAAGAGTTGGTATGAAGGACAGCACAGAGGCACTCATTATGGCTGCACAGGAACAGGCCCTGAACACCAGAGCAATGGAGGTCAAGATGTACCACACCAGACAAGATCCAAGTTGTAAGCTATGAAAAGAAGCCCCTGAGACAATCCACTACATGTGTTTAAGATGCTGGCAGGGAAAGCATACATTGAACGCTACAAGTAGCTGGCATAGTGTACAGAAAGCCCCAAGGTCAAAGTGGGCAACACCCCCTAAGATGGTTGAGAATGAGCAAGTCAAGCTCCTGTGGGACTTCCAGATCCAGACTGACAAAATGGTGATGGCAAACAAACCGGACATCATGTTGGTAGACAAACAACAGAGGACAGCTGTTGCAGTTGATGTGGCAATACCAAGTGTTGGCAACATCAGGCAAAAGGAACATGAGAAACTAGAGAAGTACCAGGGCCTCAAAGAAGAACTTAAAAAAGTCTGGAGAGTGAAGACATTGGTGGTGCCCAAGGTCATCGGGGCACTCGGGGCAGTAACCCCCAGACTGGAGGAGTGGCTAAAGCAGATCCCGGGAAAAACATCAGACATCTCAGTCCAGAAAAGTGCAGTTCTAGGAACAGCTAAAATACTGCACGTAACTCTCAAGCTCCCAGGTCTCTGGTAGAGGACCCAAGCTTGAAAGGATGAGTCCACCCATGGAGGGTGAGATGGGAATGTGTATTTATATATAGTTGTTTCCCCCCTTAATTAGCTAATTAATCCAACACACCTGCAAAGGGTTCTTGGGCCTTTAAAGGGTTAGTCTAATGTAATTTACTGAGATAAATGGGCCTTTGCCCCAATTTATTTGAGTTTTGTGTGTGTGTGTGTGTGTGTGTGTGTGTGTGTGTGTGTGTGTGTGTGTGTGTGTGTGTGTGTGTGTGTGTGTGTGTGTGTGTGTGTGTGTGTGTTGCCCATGCAAAATGTCCTCTCTGTCCAAAAAGGCCTTTAGTCTTTGTTTCAAAATTCTGACGGTCCTCTTTATAGTACATAAACAAGAAACACACGCACACACACAAGTGTGCACAGTGTGTGGATCCTGAAAGAACGTGCAACAAACGTGGATATTTTGACATTTGACAAGCTTAAAAGTGATCATGCGAATTGTAACATACCTACAGTTTGTGTGGCTGCTTCAGCTCCACCCTTCATCCCACACCCGTACTCTCCACGCAGGGGCGCGGTCCCAAGGGTGGAGTCCACCGCGGCTGAGCTCCAGGAACATTAAACTATCTGCATACTTGTCAGTTCATCTGGATTCGTCGGTCCTGAGGCTCATCTCCGGTCCTGCTCTTTTGGAAAACTAGTTCAACCGATCTGTTCAGGGAGAGACGGGGACGCCGAGTCGGGAAGATGATGGTATCGGATACGCTGCGGTCGGGAACGATTCGGGTCGGGAACGCGGAGGACACCTCGCTAGCGCTGCCGTCTGACAAGAGCCTGAGCTCAGGGCAGCAGCGCGTGCTGACTCAGGTTCACAGCATTAAACGGAGCAAGTCCAAACAAAGCAGCAACGGAGCGTCTCCTACAAGTACGGAAACAGATTTATAAACGAGACATGTCAATGTTTGTATTTTTATATTGGTGGTGGTGGTAATTTCTGCTGTGTATTTATTTCATATACGGGGCAGAGCTTCTTGTTTTCTGAAAAAAAAAACTGCGCCAAACAAGTTGCCTCCAAATGAATTAAAAAGTGTACTTGCGTCAGCTTTGTTATAGCCTCATTATTACAGTATTTAAACATGATTCTAGATTGAAAATTCAGGAAACTCATGCAGTCAAAGCAACTACGGTGTGGGAAAGTGAGAGCCTCCATGGAAAATAAAAACGTAGCAGGTGAGCAGGCAATGTTTTTTAATGAAATGATGCAGCCATGAAGAATAAAATAGTCTTTGAAGCCAAACTGTGTGACATTGTCAAACACATGTTACTGAAATAAAGAAATAACTCACACACGTTGATAATTTAATTTTAGACGTCTAAAATAACACAACCATCTCTTAGATTGAGAACTGTTTTTGTAACTTGAGAAAACAGAGCACCTTGTGTTTCTTTAGGGTTGTTAAGGCAACACAGGATTAGTGGCTTTAACATACCTGCACTCTAACAGTTTTACTGACACTCACAATTTTTAAATACGTCAGAAAAATTCCCATTTAGAAATATGTGGAACAAAAGGCAAAAAAGCGTGTGGATTTTGGAACAATGACCAGGCATTTGTAAAACAAACTAAAAAACTGTAAGGCAGACATGTCCGACGTGTGACCCGGAGGCCATTTATGGTGGGTTTTGTTGCTGTTGTTGTTATTGTTTTTTTTTTGTGTGTGTGATCATCAACATTTGTTTGTCCTTTTTTACTAATTTGAGGCAAGTTTTGAGCAGATATTTAAAACTCCATGTTATGGTAACACCTATAGGGTCAGATGGTTAGGTCAAGTTGCTCTTAGCTTTAAAATGTGATCAAAAGGTTTATTAAGTAACAGGTTTCTGTTAGTTTTTGTCATTTCACTTGTAATTTTTCCAAAAAGCAAAACAGCAATTGGTTGCAAGTCTGCAAAATCCAAAATATGGTGACAATAAACATTTTGCAAGACAGTGTTCAATCGCATCAAGCCAAATATTTATGCTATGAGCTAATATCCTAGATAACTTCGGGGATTAGTGTGATTTCATCCTGCATAATGTAGCTTTGCTTTAATCAGGATTCAGCAGAACAGTGAGGACAAGTCTGTGAATTATACTGAATAACCGGTATTTAGGGTTATGGTAGGTTGCCACGAGAACATGTTGAAGCTGACTTTATTTATGTGGAAGTATTTGGAAAATAAGCAAGTGTTCAGTGAAAATGGGTCATTTTTACTGATTGAATGATCCTTTTGTCATTCTGGGAAAAGTGATTATATGTATTCTTTGTACATACGTGGATGAAAAATATTTTTTTAAGTCAAAAGATAAAACATAAAAAATAAGCATGAGCAGATTTTTCTGGTGAAAGATCCCACTAGGCAAACTGAAAAAGTATGATAAGAAACACGATAAAATCCCTAATTTTACATTTTCTTTCATTTGTGTCCAGGAATCATTTCATGTGTATTTGTGTGATTAAAATAGTAGCAGAGACCCAATGTTTAATCAGGTGATTAGGGAAGCCAATATGAGCTATAATATAATATAATATAATTTAATTTAATTTAGTATGTGTTCTTTAAGCATAAAAAAGTTACATATTAATATAAAAAGTCTGAAAATTTACATTTTTCAGTATATTATGGTATTTCTTTAAAATTTCCTCACTTTGTTTCTCTTTCTACAGGCCCGAACCCAACATCTCTACCAAACTATAATGAGTTTGGAACCTTCAGGTTTAAAAGTAATGGCGTTTTCACTCGCAACAGCTCCATGATGACATCAGGCTACACCAAAGGGGTAATTGTTTTTTTCTGCTCAGCGTCTGTTGAAAACGAGAGAGCATGTTCTTTACAAACTCTACAATAAATAACTGCAATCTCACATTTCAATAGACTGTTTTATTCGACCTGAAAATAGTTCAATGCTGTCTTGGACCAGATGACCACAGTGATGTATTAGAAAATAAGTCAAACTTTTCCTGAATGCCTACTGTATAACGTGCAATAATATCTTAATATTTTGATTTTAAAACAAAACATGATACAAGATAGACTTTGTGATCAGGTTTTGCTTTCAGTTGCAGCTGTTGATTTGTACTTAAAATAATTCTAAGGCTGCACTTGTCCAGTTGTATTAGACACTTTGACTAAGTGATGAGTGCTTGGATCAAGACTTTTTCTATGTTATCTAAATTGAGTCATGAAAGCTTGACTAACACCATGACTCAGTCTGATACAAGTATTTACCGTAAGTGCATCAAAGCTATAAAGACATGTGCCAGTTTGCTAATGCTAACCTGTAGGTGCCTGGTGCTTTGCAAAGTTGCTGATTTAAATTGTGTTTTACATTTTTTTCGACTTGGGCAAATTGTCGATCTGTTTCCAAGATGTTTATTCCATGTGTCTAATTTACACTAAACAATTTTAACATGAATCCTGTTAAATCAAATGACAGAGGTAAGAACCGAGTCTAAGCGACAGCATCATCAGAATTGAATAGGTTAGTGGGAAAGTCCACAGAGGGAACATCACGCAAATAACCTGGTTGGTGTATATTTCATACAGCCTGCCAGTCATTGGAGGTGGTCCAACAAGAAAGGAGCTTTCTACAAACTTAAATCATGACATTATCACATGAGTTTCTAAAGCTAAGTCTATGCAAAATCCTGAAGGAACAACACTTGATATTTGAGATTTATTTGATAGTTTAAGGGTGTTTTATTAAACATAAGTTGTTGATAAGAAACCTTTAGGATGAGGCATGGAATATATATATATATATATATATATATATATATATATATATATATATATATATATATATATATATATATATATAAAATAAAATAAAACAAGTTATATAACTTGTTGATGTTCTGCACATATTTCAAGTCTTTCTGAATCTAATTGGTTAATTTAGATGTGAGGGATTGTTTTACATGCCCAGGGAACTTAAAGGGACTTTACTGAGTTTTGAATTTTTATGCTAGCGATTGCCCCCTCAGGCCAAAAGCATAACGGCAGCTTCAATAGTAGGCTTGTGCATGCTGTACGTGCACACTCCTTAACGAAAGTAACAGCTGAGACAGTCCCGTGTGTGTTGTGTGTGTGTGTGTGTGTGTGTGTGTGTGTGTGTGTGTGTGTGTGTGTGTGTGTGTGTGTGTGTGTGTGTGTGTGTGTGTGTGTGTGTGTGTGTGTGTGTGTGTGTGTGTGTGTGTGTGTGTGTGTGGCCCGGAGGACAGAGGACAGGAGAACGCGCAGCTAATTAATTAAATAATTTGGTTCTGTACCTTTCTCTTCAGCACAGCCGACAAAGGTTGATGATGGGTCAGTCTTCCTGCATGCTCAGATCATGCCCTTGCTTGAAAAATTGTTCCAAAATGAAAGTTGAACCCACATATTTTTTATCTGTGAATTCAAAGCCGTTCGGCGAGTCTCAAATAAAATTTGGGCATCTTACCGTAAAAAAAAAAATACAATTAATGTAAAAAAATACACTCTAAATAAACTATGTTAACATCCAGATTCGAATTCGGGTCTTCAGCACGAGAGTCCGACGTCTTACTACGTGAGCTAAAGCGCCAATGACGTCTTCTGTATCTGTAACATTTATATTCTTGATGACAGCTGAAACGGTTCGGAGCGAAAATGACTATTTTGTTGCTAATTTGCAGGACATATCTAGAAGAAAGTAGCTAAGGGTCCTCAGAAATGTAGCTAGGTTCATCACTGGGCATTAGGAACAGCGACAAAGTCGCTGAGCTGGCACTACCTCACTCTCTGCTGCTAAAGCTACTGATAGCAAATGCTACGGGCTATGCCTGAGCGTGAACGCGCATGAAGCAGCCTGCTCGACCCGAGCAGCTCTCTTTTTCTGTGATTTTACATCACAGTAAAAATGCCAGGGCTCATTCTACAGGACCAGGGCATTGCAGGAGAATGTATGAACAAGAAATTTATTATTTCTATACATGTGTTGGCTGTCAAACTTCCATAATGCCCCTTTAATGTTTTTTTGTGTCAATAATCATCATTGCATTTGCAGTCCAGTTCTGTTTCAGACCACAAAGATAAGCTGTGTTGACAGTAGCTGTGTGTTTACGTGAGTGTCATATTTGAGTGTGGGTGTGTGTATGTGTGTGTGTAGGTATTTACGCTGGTTTGACCCAACCTGGTGACATAGAGTTGTGGTATTTCTAGAGTATGTGTTGATATTTTGTGGCTGATGAAGACTCATAATCATCACATCATGAGAAGCATTAGTCTCACTGTGTTCATCGGTGAAGTGCTAAATGTTTTTTGTTTTTTTTTATACGTCTATTTAAATGTAATACATCTGTGCCATTCATTTTGTTGCATGATTGTTATATAAGTTTGGTAATTATTGTAAACACCACATTACTACAATCAAACATTATTTCTTCAGTTGTCGTGTTGCCTGCAGGGCTAAATTCAGCTATAAAGGTAAAAACAGTGTTTAAGTTGATGAAATCACTGTAATTTCCTGTTATTGTAAAAGTCAGAAGTTCTCCTTAATGAGACTTTATACATGATATATCATATAGATATGATGCAAAAGCATTACAATAGCACTAATAGGTGTTCTGTTATTGCTGTTGATTTGATTCTTGCAAGTTTACCTCATTAAGACCACATATTTATACATAATATATTTAAATGGCCTGTATTTGATATAGTGCCTTCTAGAGTCATGGAACCCCTCAAGGCGCTTTACAACACAATCAGTCATTGACCCATTCACACACACATTCACACACTGGTGGGGATGAGCTACGATGCAGCCACAGCTGCCCTGGGGCGCACTGACAGAGGCGAGGCTGCCGAGCACTAGCGCCACCATTCCCTCCGACCACCACCAGCAGGCAACGTGGGTTAAGTGTCTTGTCCAAGGACACAGCGACAGACTGAGCGGGACTCGAACCTGCAACCTTCCGATTACGGGGCGAACACTTAACTCCTGTGCCACCGTCGCCCCAATAATATATTTCTACTATTTAGGACGGACTTTTTTATTTATTGAAAGCATTCTCGCTTTAGGCTGCTTTAAGAGCTTCCCTTTAGGGGGCAGTTCAGGTTTGTGGCAGAAGCGAAGGGAGTGTACTTCACAGTGAAAGTAAACACTCTTGTCAAACGGTGCTGTTGGCAGATTGAAAGGCACTTCTTTTGCCAAGTAGGGTGGCTAATATATAGGTATAATCAACCTGTCCAGTTGAAAGCAGGAGAGCGTCGTCTGTGTGTCTAAGGTTCCAAGTTTCACACAACCCGGGCTTCCTTCATGATGAACAACCTAAGTCAAAATGTCAGCATGTCAGCTGCAGGCATTTATCTGAGCTTTGATAAATGATTTTCAAAACCCAAAATCTCCCTTCTCTCCATTTTACTTTTCAGTGTGTCAAAAATATGTGGAAAGCTATTTTCTGCCCATTTTTTTAGCCTGAATTCTAAACTAACAGGAGACGTGTTGGATTACAAAATGATTTCACACTAAAAATTTGTTTTTGTTTTGTTGCTCAAATTAGGATTTTTCAGGAGTTTCTGAAACTTTTTATTGTGACTTTTACTAAACGTTTTGGAATTACTGTGTTAGACTGTGTTTATGTAACAGTTTACGAGGGTATTAAACACCACATTTGTTGTGCAGTCATGCAAAACCATAAGTGGAAAAGCTGTGGGTGAGTTCATCTTCTCAACTATGTCTTTTAGATGAAGAGTCGCAGTCTGTCTACTAAAGAAAAACACATCAGCACATCAGCTAACATATCCATGTTGCCAAAGAAACCCAATGGGCTGAAATCCAGCATCAGTGACCCTGCTTTGGCTCCTTTCTCTCCTGCTCTGGCATCGACCACGGTGATCAGTTTTTGTACACGTTTCATTATTTTTTACAACATATGTAAAAAAAAAAAATAATAATAAAAATGCTATTATCCTGCAATTCCAAAACAATGTTGTAAAGTCTTGTATTTTTTTAGAGCTTGAAAGGACAATATCCCCTTGGAGCTAATAAAAGCTCCTCTTCCATTGCAAATGGCACGATTCACATCAGCCAGACGTGCATCACTCAGCCCAGGCAGTTTCAAAGTGAGGAACAGATGAAGACATCCAGATTAGAGCAGGAATCTATGTAAGTTTAGTTTTCATTTTACCTCCTTATTCTTTATTTGCCTCGTCTTATGTTTATTTTCTCAATAAATGCTAATTGATTCTTGTTTATGTAGGGTAAACTCAGTAAAGAGCTCATCGGATATGACCCTACCATTAGCTGTAAAATACCTGAGTATGTCAGATGAGAACTGTCAGCTGAGTGGAGCCAAATTCATCCAGCATGCCACCTACACTGATGAGGGTGCCAAAACAGAGGTGTGACCACCAGACGCATCGAGCAAACACTCTTTAAATACACTTACTGTGCTGTTTGTTATTCTCACATATTCTTTGTGTTGGGATTATCTATTAGTCTGTGCTGTAGTAGTTGTATCTGCGTAGATCTTTGAGTAGCCTGAGAATGTGTTACTTCTTCTTTGTGTTTGTAATGTTGTCAGTGTATCGCTGCTGACACAACATGCATGCAACTTTATTCAACACACATGTGATGCGAATGATCTCAAAACAAATTCTGTTTAGTTCTAAGAGCATGTTCTTGTTTTCTTTACTCCACAATGCTGTATCAGGTACTTCAGCTTGATGGCATTGCACAACTGGTGACCCTGCTGGAAAACCCCAACCCAAAGTTGAATCAAGCGGCTGCCGGGGCTCTGAGGAACCTTGTCTTCAAAAACCAGGACAACAAATTGAAAGTTCAAGAGTGTGCTGGTATTGGCAAGGCTTTGCAGCTTCTACAGAAAACAAATTCTGTGGAAACCCAAAGACAAATCACTGGTAGGCCCTGTGATTGAAAATGAGGCTTTTAAACTGGTATTTATTTCTGGAATATGTAGAATATAAAAGTTTTTACCTCATGATAGCTGACCTTTGTTTTCAGTAGGAACGTCATTTATTGTTTCCCAGTTATATCTCAAAGTAGAAAATAAATAGACTTAATAGAAGCAGACTTTAAATGCCTAAATTATGCATTAATTTGTCCTAAAATAACATCTGCTCAGCAGATTTATAAAATTGTTGTAATTGTAAATGTACACTTCCTGCATGTCACACATAGGCCTCCTGTGGAACCTGTCTTCTGATGATAAGATGAAGAATGAATTAACAAAAATAGCGCTGCCCTCCCTGACAAAACATGTGATTGTGCCGTACACCACTGGGTCAGACAGCAACGGCGTCAAGCATGTAGACCAGACGGTCTTCCTCTACGCCACAAGTGTCATGAGGTTAACGCATTACTATTTTATCTGCTTATTATGTTTTTCAGATTTATAAATTATGTTCTGTGAGTTGAATGCACTAAGCTTACGATTTTCAGCAATGATCGTAGAATACAGAGCTATGTTTGGAGCTGGGATTGAAGGAATTGCATTAAATTACATGAGGTGATATGAATTTTGTGATGTCATGCATTGAGGAATAATTAACAATGTTAACCGTGTTCCCGTAGGAACTTGAGCAGCAGCTCGGATGAAAATCGTCAGGAAATGAGAGCTTGCCCTGGCTTCATTGACTCACTCTTTAGTTACATTGATTCGTGCGTGGCAGAGGAAAAATATGATGAAAAGGTAATTTCTCTAAAGAGGTTTTAAAGTCACCATTTATGAATTGTATTTGTATTTTTCCATTATGCTTTTTAGTTCCCTTTCACTGTAAGTGTCAGTACATTTATCTGCAAACTGAATGCTACCAGTCAGTTGATATGATTATTTTCTTATTATTTAGCATATTTCCCTTTTATTTTTGAAAATAAATTTTTAATACGCTCCCTGACTTACAGAATTTGACAACAATGCTCATGCTCAATTTTTAAACTATGGCATCAGTTTATTAAAAAAATATTCACTATTGTTTAACCTTTTTCCAAAGGAAATGTAAAAGAATGAAATTCCAGCATACATTACATTTTCTAAAGTCCAATAATGATTTTGGCTTTACTTTTGCAATAATCTATGCTATGAAAAAATATACTATTTTCTTGTAAGAAATGTGACGAGAACCAAAAATAACAGAAATGTCAAAGCAGCTGCCAGTCACCAGGGTTACCATGGTAACAACATAACTGCATCTCCCATTCCTGGACTGCAGCTTTTACAACATATTTCAAACTGGATACTAGAGAGTATCAACCAGACTTCTAGAAAATGGTCATTGGTCTTTGGTCCCATCCTCTGTAGGCTTTGGAAAACTGTGCAGCAGTTTTTCAGAACTTGACCTACAAACTGGAGAGGTGTCAAGAGAGCACCTATAACCCTCCAAGAGGGGTCGATGAGGAAAATGCAAAGGGCAAGAAAAGTTCTACAGTTGGATGTTTCAGCCCTAGGAGCAGCAAAGTTCAAGCAAAGGTGGGCATTGACATCATCCTTTTCTAAAACCAAATTCTCTTTTGATTTCAATATTGAACAATGTATTTTTTTCTTCTTAGCAATCTCTTAAGTCACCTCAAGAATCATCAAAGCAGGAAAAGCCATCAGGAGTAAACTTGTTATTCCATGACGAAGCCATCAGACACTGCTTGACATTAATAGAGTTTTCCAAGAACAGAGCGACTCAAGAGGCGTGCTGTGGTACCCTGCAAAACATCAGTGCTGGAGGAGGAATTGTTAGTACTTCAGATCGTTGTTAGGCTTTGAATTTGTCATGATTATTTTCATATATTGTACTGTTGAGTTTGTGCAATGATATTTTATTACATTATAAAAAGTTGGACTCATTGTGACATACATTGGGGGGCCTTTGTGTGGTGGGACAAAGAGCTGATTTTGTTGTCTTTCCTTCATCTTCTGTTTCAGGGGTCCAGCACTGTGAGCCAGATTTTCTCAGACAAGGGGAAGATCACCTATTTCTTGCCTTCTATGTTGAGTTCAGAGAATAAAACCCTTCAGGCGAGTGCTGTGGCCATGATGAGTAATGTGTCTCGCATCAGCGGTTTGCAGCCCATCATAAGTAAGAAACAAGTTAATGTCCACAAAGGATGAGTCACTATAATATTTTGTCTGTTTGAATTAACTGTACTAACATTCAGGTGCACATAACTGATGCACATGTGCGCCTGAATTAACGCTTGGGCACCAGTTCCTTTGCCACAACACTCCTTTGAATACTGGCATTGCATGAGTTTTTCAATCGATTCGATCATTGATTTGCGTTTCTCCAACTGCTCTGCACTACACAAGTGGCCAAAAAACATGCACAATTGTTACAAGCACGCTCCCGGCTTGATTTGTATTTGCGATTTCTACTGAAGCACAGGCGTTGCACTCCAAACTTCAGCCCTGGAGTACTTGTAAAAAAGCATGTGCACCTCTGCTTATAGTCCATGCTATGATTTAAATGTTTACATAGTTGAATATGAATGTTAATAAATAATTTTCTACCTTCGTTATAGCAAAGGAGATGATGTTTGCGCTGTCTAAACTTATCACGTCTGGTGTTGAGGAAATGGGAAACTCCGATCAAACAGTTACAGGAGTTTGCAGCACAATGAACAGGCTGATGCTGGCAGACAGCGAGGGTAGCAAGAAGGTCATCAATCCAGAGCTGGTTCAAGCTATAACATCCATCAGCCTCAATGAGTGAGTCTATTTTTTTTCTCTGCTGTAACAAACTGTTGGTTTACTCCCCTCTCTGATAATCTTTTCTGTTTTTGTAGGAATTTTGTAAAAGGAAGCAAGGCAGCCTCACTGCTGCTGTATAGCATGTGGAAAGAAACCAATTTGCAAAGCTTTTTGAAAAAGGTAAATTAGAAATTGGATTTTTGACTAATCATAGAGCTGAGATTGTGTTGAATTTTCACAAAAGACATGAGCTGATGGTACATGAGACTTGTGTGCGTTGTCCTGCACGAGCAGTGGGGAAGGCACAAATAAAACCGGTGGGTGTTTACTATTATACCGTAGACTCGGAGTCACTTTCCCATTCCTCTCTACCACACCCAACACTTTGGCGTGCACAATGAGAATAACTTTGGAATCCTGACAGACAGGCTCCTAGGGCTTACTCTGCTGTGGGAAAACTAGCAGTGAAATAAGGGAACTAATGAAGAAGTGGTGCAGTTAGCAAGCTCCAAAAGTTGATCTGGTAAAGGATAGGAGTCCCGCCCGAGTAATAGTCACTATATTTGGAATACCACACAATTGATCAATGGCTATCAATTAAGAAAAAGAATGACGGATGAGTAGAGCTGGTTAGAGGACAAAAACATGACAGTTTCACTCTACCATGTTTTCCCAGAGGCTCCTCCTGGTTGCCGACAGCGCCTTACAGTGCAGAGTTGTTTTGCATGTATGTTCTTGCTTCTGTGAACCACCTCTTAACTGATTTATTTCAAATCTTTTCTTCACAGCAAGGAATGAATAAAGATCAGTTTGTGAATGACAGAACCAAAGAAGTAAACAACGAATTGGTTGAAAATACAAGCAATAACAAGTAGAGTGATTGAAAATAAATGACATCCCTGAGAGGTAATTGTTTGCTTCCAAATGCTTTTAGCTGTCTCCTTCAGATTACTGTCTGTGCATGGGCAAAATAAGAGGAATTCATTTGAAAAGGATTAAATCTTTTTTTCTTTACTTATTCTTTCTGTTTATGTGTCTGTACTTGCAGAAGGAAACCAAGCGTAATTAGAGAGAACTGTGGCCACACCCTTTAAAACAGCTCCAACGATACCCTTGTTGAAAGAGCCTATTAATTACGACTTTGGCATACTTGGTATGTGTATATATACAAATGAGTTAAAATTTCACGTTATGTATGTATTACATTTGAAAATTGTGCTGTTTGTACAAAAGTGAGTGTTACTTTGGTTAAGTGTGAGTGTTTGTGTAATCCAGCTCCTGCAGATTGTATGACACATTGCCCCTGTTGTGAGAATTCAGTGTTATTAGCAGTGAGACGTTACTTTCAAACACATTTGAATGCATTCACTGTTAAATGTGTCTGCTTGAAGTGGCTGGAAGATAAAAATCCTACCAGTGCCATTCTGAACTGAATAGTCCAAAAGTTGCAGCAGGAGTTTATGAAAAGGAAGAAAATAAAGTGTGAACAAATGGAAAATCAGCTGATCTTAAAAAAATCTTTGTTCCTTTTGATAATGTTGAAAAGACATAATTTAAAATGTGTTTTGCTTTAATCACAAATGCTTGTTTATTCAGAGGTTAATGGATATTTGTGGTATTATTTTGTAGCGTATTTTTTTTATAACTATAGTCTTTTTTTTTAAAGAAAAAGGGAAAAAAGGTCAGCAAGAGTGGTATATTTTAAAGGTAATTTTTTCCCCTAATCCCAAGTAACAAAAACATTTGTTAGCAGAAATGTGCAACAGCTCCTAGAACAGGTGAACATTTGTTTGTTTTGTAAATTTCTGTCTGTATGAAGCTGCACCCATCAGACATCATACGTAGACAGTCCATGGACTTGTGCTGCCTATTAGTGCTAATGTAGTGGCCGGCCGCCATCTTGTATGGCCCAGTGCATTTAATTCTACTAAGGAAGGTTTTTACACAAGCAACAAAAAGAATATATATATATATATATATATATATATATATATATATATATATATATATATATATATATATATATATATATATATATATACACTTTATGCATTTTTACAAAATTCAACAAATAGGTAAAATATAATATAATTAAATTAAATAATTAAAATATAAAATCCCATCAGGTAGGCTAGCAAAGTCAATAGTAATCCCACGTGATCTGTTTTCAAAAATACACCGGTTTTTGGAACTGTAGGCTGCACAAAAATGGACATAGTTGCCCACTCTGCGTTGATTTCTGTTGGGTTTGGAGAGCGAGGATCCCATCCAATATGGTGGCGATGCCGGTTATGCTCTCTAGTGCACAATGGGATGTCTACGTATTTATGTCTATGGCAGCCATGCTTTAGCACAAACCGCTCCTTACAACGGTGACATCATTCATCTACATGCACATTATTTTACAAAAACAGAATTGTGAAAAACCTTGTTGTGCTTTTTAGGTTTCACATGATAAAATGTATTCCTCTATATGTTTTTATTTTTTGCACTTTTTTAACTAGATAAAAATCATATTTGCAATAGAAATATGTTTCTATTTGCTGTGGTTTTCAGTCTTTATGCCAACTCGCTACTGGCCCTGGCTTCATGTTGCCTAAGCAAACATAACGTATCTGCCATCTTTGTTAGGTATTCCCAAATCTGGGATATCTTTATAAGTTGCAAAGCTGAGTACCTTGTCATGTCACTGCTTTTCTCATTAACCCACATGATGAAATGTGCAAATGTTAAATTGTCTTTACTGTATGTTTGTGATTATATTTCTTCTTTTTTTAAATTTGCATTCAAAATGAAAGAGCATATCTAGAGTTGGGATGCATAATTCACTCTTGTACATGTAAATATTTGGTGCAACCATAAATAACCAAGTAGCATTGTCACTAGCTGACAGACAGTGGGTGGAACAGCCAGTGTGTGAGGATGACTCTTCTCTGTAACTTTTCTTTGATCTAATTCTACTGAACTCTTAAGAGATAATTAAGAGGCATTGCCCCATTTTAAATAATCCTATTAAATTACAATGTTTGCTCAGATCCTCGGGCTGGAGGAGCAGCTTCAAACTTAAAATGTGTTAATTTAGCTCATGTCAGTTATTCTGTAAATTTACAGCTTCAAAAGGTCACACAGGGTCTCTGCTTTCACAACATAATTACTGTCTCTTGTTTAGAGAAAACAGGCTTGAAATCCTCTTTAAGCGCTCCTACTTGGTGATGTCACAGATTACATAACATTGAACAGCTTGGTAACCGTTCCCACAAAGCAAAAGTCAGTGGATGCATTTTTGTTTGTGTTAATTATTGAGACTTGGCTATTTTGAGGTCTGTTTGCCTCAAGGAGGCTCAAAGTCAGTATTGCTTTGAACGTTTTGGAGAACTGTGTGTGTTTTGTTTTATTAGTCGCATTGCTTGTCATGCTTGCAATAAAAAAGGATATTCAGACAATACTGAGGGTTGTGCTTTTCTTCAGGGGATACTAGAGAAAGAATTTACATTTTCTGTAAAAAAATGTATATTTTCTGTCATCGCAACATGGGTCATGTCAGGGGACTTCGACCCAAGTTTACTGGTTCAGATCTTCAACTCCTTAAGCGTTGGGTTCCATTCCAAGAGTTTTTGTGGTGTGCGCATACCCATCAGTGACTAAGACAGCAGCTATGTAGGATAGACAGGAAAGTTTTTTTATTTTTTTCTTCAAATTTATAAAGATTACCACATTCTTTAAATGTGCACCATCAGTTCTTTTGTGCCATTTGAAGGGTCCACCTGTGAGCCGTTTTATACATTACTGCTGACAGTCGTTTGGTTGAAAAAAAAAAGACTTCCAACAAAGACCAATTTGCAGTCAAAGCTTTTGCAGTCACATCTGATTAAAACAAAATCTTTCAAAAAGCCATTGAAAAAAATAATTTTGATACAATTGAAGCTTTGAAAATCAGTTTTCCACCTCTTGTAAAATGATTTTCCCACCTGGATTATGCACATGAGAATGATTCATTCTCTTTCAACTGTGTGTGAGTTTATACATGTGTGTGTGTGCGGGGGTGGTTGAATACTGGGTGGATATCTGGGTGTTCGTCCAAGAAGCATCGTGTCAGCTTCACTCATGTCTGAGCCTGTCGCCCAGCGGGAGATTGTCTATTCCTGACTTTGCTTTTAACAACTTTTGAGTCACTTTTCCTCTCGAGGCAGTTGTTTTAGTGTTGGTAAATTAATGTACACCTGCACTTACTGGTGATGATAAAGTGGGGTTTAATTTACATATTTAAACACTTACTGGTATTTCCTAAAAAGGGGAGAGTACAGTAAAAACAAGAAAATGAGAAAGCTGGAATATTTGGATGAAATATCTAAAGACAGGGATGTAGGTGGGGCTTGGGTGTGCTAGGAAAGCCTGGCCTTAGTTAGAGGCAAATCTCCAGGAGGCGGTAGATAATTACTGCTCACTTCACACATTCGACATTCATTTCCTTAGGCCTCTTTTGGTCCTCTTAGATCTGTAGAAAAATCACAGAATAGGTCACAAGGTCAAAGATTCAGGCTCAGCTTGTTCTCCTATTAAACATATAAAAAAGTAGAAACTGTCACCCAGTTGAGCGTGAATAAATGAGATTTTTTTTCTGTTAAAAGTGCAGTAAATGTACTTTTTGGCAAATTAAACAATGCAACCAGCTAAGCATGCAACAAGCCTTGAGGAGGCTCAGGAGGGTGTGGCTTGAGGGCAACATGTCGGGATGATTAACAGGTTTTGCAACAGATAAAAGAATATCAATTCTCACGTTTTCTGGTGGTCGCTCACACGGTTTCTCAGGACATTTATCTGGAAGGAAAAGCATGTAAAACGTTACCCTTCCAATCTTTCCTCATGAATCATGCTGCGCAGTGCTGCACACACACCTCATATTTCTGCATGGTGAGTTGATACTGTAGATCAAACTTTTCAGCCTCCAGCTGGAACATCCACTCCCACAGCTCTTTAGCTTTCTCCCTGCGGAAAAAAACATACATTTAATGAATATTCTCAAACAGGCTCTATCTTCATGACCTTAGATGACTTGATTTTTGTGCACCCACTTGAGTCTTTCCTGACTTAAGTTTTCAATGTCCAGAGATTTGCGTCTTTCACTCAGGATCTTCTTTTTCTTCTCTCTCTCCGTCTGCCTCTTACCACTCCGTTTTTCATTCTATAAAAGGGCAACAATGCATGATTCTGCTTGTTTTATCATAAAAACAACTCCAAAACCTTCAGCGTCAAACACTCACCAGCTTCTGCATGTAGCCACCGAAGTGGAGGCTGGTCAGGGTTTTTTTCTTCTTTGCATCATCTTCTGCTCTTTTCTTCGCCTCTTCCTCCTCCTTGCGAGCTCTCTCATCCTAAAAACATAAATTAAAAAATAAATAAAATGTGGATAAATTCATGGAAGCTGGATCAAAGCAGCCAAAAGATCTCACTTCAAGTCGTTTCTGACGCTCTTTATCACGCTCGCTGCGGATCCGTTGCTGCTCTGCTCGTTCAGATCGGCGTTTCTCCTGGAATACAGATCATTCCCTCCAGTCATAAAACATCTTTTCATTGTTAAATGTTGCCTTTTAACATACTCACAATTCTGTCTGTAAGACTAATTAGCTCCTCTTCTTCCTTTTTTCTGCTTTCAAAGTGAACTTCAATCAAAGTCTGAAGCTCCATCAAGTCTTTTTCCATCCGCTTACGGTGTATGTCCTACAGAAACACACACAAACACGTATGCTAACCATGGAGCGTCACAGATCGTGCACCTCTTAGTTTTGAGTCTTAAATAAACCGAAATAGAGGTAATAGAAATAGAGGAAATAGAAAGCAGGTTTGATCCAAATTAAACGATAAAAGGAAAAAATTTGTTGCTTACATCAAAGTCCACCTTCTCTCCATCTGGGATCTTAGGAGGAATGAGGTTTGGCATGATAAAAGGCCTAGAAGAAATCAGATAACAGCCACAACAGTGAGGTAATGTCAGACTATAAAAGTGTCAGGAGAAAAATATGGAAAGAAAAATAATAGGAAATGTTTTTTGACATCACTGCTGATGTGAAATAAAGATCTAAATCAATTAGTCGATGCCAAGTGAATGTCCTTTCGGTGAACTGCTTCTCTTGCACGTCATGGCCTGTGCAGGTTGGTATCACTCAGAAGTGGCAACCTCTTCTTTTCTCTTTGCTTTCACTGTAATGTAGCAGCTGACACGACTTAAGCTCAAATTTCAAAGCAGAAATTGAAAGGAATTTGTAAATTTTCCTGCTAAAACCTCAGAAGAGTGCTGCTAAAAGCATAGCATTTTCACTTAGCATAGTTTTGACACTGATGCTTTTTTAAAGTTCACATTATGGATTCAAAGAGCTAACTCATAGCCTTTGGCAATTCTGGGGGTGGGGCCAGAAGACAATTGGCCCCTGTGGAAATCTAATTGGCCCCTCAAATCTGTACTTTGCTGGATGATCAGTTTATAAGTGGATGCAATTACAAATCCAAGCACTAGTGGTGCGAGTGAGCCAAATAGAAATTTGGGTGATTTTTTTTCCCACTAATAAACTTTAAATTGATAACATTTGACTTTAAACCCGTGAATACAATGCTGAAATTTTATAAATGCTAAGTGTGTTTGTATCATGTTTATGTACAGTAAAATGTATTTTAAATCACTTTACAGTGCTTCAACATGATGTGGGTGGTAAACTTACCAAAACTGGCCCGTCTATAAATATTGGGGTCCCTTAAAGGCCCCATAGTTAGAAAATTCCCTGGTCTGCCACTGTGCATAGCTTTAACTTGCATGTATTTAGTGTCAAATGGAGCCAAAGGTGCTTTATGTGAATTCATATTGTTCAACACAGTCTGTCAGTGCAAAAACAGCACAATCCTTTTTGTCATCAGCGATATGAAAGTTTGATAACATCTGCAGACAAAAAATGGGTGGATGAGCCCATGGCAAAAGAAAAGAACCTTACCACACAAAAAACTTGTTAAAGAAAGTTATCATTTTCACATTATACAAATATTTTGCCTGTAATATTAAGCATTTGCGGCTAATCTTGACCTAAAAAATGTAACCAAAGTAGACTTTTTTTTTTTTAAAGAAGAGGATTATTTTAAAATGGCAGCAGTCTACTCTGGTCTTAGCTGCATCCAGACTATCCATTAGCCTGTAAATCCTGATGGATGTACATTCTCGTTTTCTTCTAACTGGGGCCATTTATGTACATCAGAGTAATATACATTTTTCTTAGCATGGGCAAAACAGAATAAAAGAACACCTGATAAAAGACAAAACAATAGAAGACACAGATTAATTCTTGACTCCCAAACTGCAGGTGATCACTAATTCTAGGCTAATTTAATTGAATTGCACTTTGCTCATGAAAATAAACTGCAGTTCTCATATATTTTCTTTGATTTGGACACTATTATTTTTTCCCACATCCAAAAATTTCCACAATTACTGTATGTCTCATTTATTGGACAGAAAAAGTGCTTTCCCCCTTGTCTATTTCTGGGTGCTCTCTGTCAGTCTGTTCTACATGGTGCATAGCTAGGATTTAAGTATTGGTTATTGTTAAAAAAAATTATGGATTATTTCAAGTACATTCCTATTGGGTTTCTAAAACATGCTCATCCATGGGCATTACTCACTTGAATTTTGGTTTGGCCTCCTCTTCTGTTGAGTAGAAAACAAGAATAGGGGAAAAAAAAAAAGACCACACACATTCACTTATTCACCAGGACCACACCAGGACATTTTAGTGTTTTGCCAGGAAACCTAACCAAGTATTGACAGTAACTTATTTTATTGTTGTTTTCTTTAGCTGATGGAAAGTTAATTTAGCAGGAAATTTTCCTGCTTCAAATTCTGGCACAAGTCAAAGGAAGAGTATCAAGAAAAACAAACACAGAAAGCATCAGGTGTGCCAGAATTTATTTTTCATAAATAAACTTACCTTCGCCCTCCTCTCCCTCCTCATCTCCACCTGAAACCAAATGTGCAAAAAAAAAAAACCCTTGTAAAACTTTGTGATTAACTCATGGAAATCTCAGCTAAAGCAACCATTAGAAGAAAAGGGACCGGCATTAGTTTGGTACAGTAGTGTGTGCTCATTTGATTTGTCAGGCATGAGCTGCATTCCATAATGCCGGAGATAAAAACCAGTCTGTTTCCGAAGATTGCCTGGTGTCTGCAACCCACTGGCACGATGCCACATGCTGCCAAAATGTCAGAATTATATGTTTTTGTCTTTTCAGGTTCAGGTTTTTTATTTTTAATCTACCTGTCTTTAGTCTACTGAAGGTCACAGTGACAATGTTAACATCCCAGTGTTTATTGTACATTAGCATGCTAGCAGTTGCCTTTTGAAGAAAGTTATGGTGTCTGTGTTGATGTTGAAGGAACTTTATGATTAAATGAAAGCTGTCTGTCTCTTGCTCATGCTGATAGCGGGTTCACTGATGTGGTTCATTTTCAATGTATAATGGCTTTATTGCAGGACAGTTGTCTGGCTGACTGAGTAAAATAGTCACTTTCTCCAATCTTTTTGTGAGCAACACAGAGAGGAGAACTCAGGGGTGACTCACAGGGTGTATGATAAGATAAAGATGAGGCACAAGGACAACAAGGCTTTTTTTCAATCATACCTCCCAATTTAGCATTGTGATTGAGAACCTGAGGGCAGGGAGGGATAGAAGATGTGTCTGGTTTGACTAAGTCAACATGTCCGTATGAATTCTCAGGACTTGCTGACTGTCACATACCTGACTGAAACCTAACCTAGACAGCAGATTATCTTTGTCTGGTGTGACTGTTGGTTATGGGTGGAAACATTAATCATCATTTAGCTGTCTGCACATGACCAACACAGCACCAGACTTTGATGTTGTTCTGTTTGTTAATCCCTGTCAAACAGTCAGAAACAACCCTACAGCAATTCCCCCCTCTCAATAAATACAACAACAAAAAAGAAAAAGTCCTCACCTTGCTCTGCACTGATCTCAGCAGATGTGTCTTCCTGCTGTTCAGCCTCTGCTGGCACAGAGAGAAGTAATGACTTATCAATGAGAGATCTTCATTGTCACCAGGTGTAAAGTTGACTCATTGCCTTGTGTGAACTGTCACTCTCATTTGGCACTGACCTGCAAAGTTTCAGAAGCTCACGTTGTCGAATTTTCATTAGCACTTATTTCAAAATGAGCTCCACATCTCTATTTAAATCTTGCAACACTTTTAACTGGTAAAGTGTGTGTTGTGATGTAATTAGGATGCCACCTTAAGCAGATCAATAATTTTAAAAAAGATTAAAATTGCTCCCATTTTTCACATGTGGACAAACTTAGACAAGAAAACTAACAAGCTACCATCTATACGGTGAAAAATGGTTTACATCATTTTGAAGTTTAAATAAATACTATCTTGTTGTAGGCTTCCTCAACGGGCCCCGTTTAGAGAAACAAAGGATTGACAAGCTAACGGCTAATTCAAGCACAGCAAGGAACAAAGTGGATTGCTTCCATCTTAAATAACTATAATCACCAAAGTTTTGTAATGCATTTTTCACAGTGACCTTTGCACCAACATCAGTTTAGTTTTATTTACCTGGAACATTATGGTTATTTGCAAATGAAGGAGTTTGGTTCAGTCAGTAGTTTTTCCAAAATAATTGTGAAATGCAAAATTATTGCTAGTGGAATTTTTTTTTAATAACATAGCATTAAATTCTTTAAAAAATTGTAGACTTGGTCTGTTTTAAAAGGACAGTAATCCACTTGGGTTGTAGCTGTTTTCAGACCAGCAGTTAGCTTGTCAGTCCCATTAGACGTAAACTACAAACTTCAGTCCTTTTATCCTGCAGATTTTAGACGTTTCTTTGCTCAAAATGTGGTTTTAATCCATTTTTAATCACCAAAAATGGAAAACATGCTCAACTACTGAATCGGGTGGGAGAAGGACACACACAGCTTAAATAGTGTAAATGCAATAATCTGTACCTTCCACTTCCTCCTCATCCTTCTCCTCCTCTTCTTGCTCTACTGGTGAACAAATCACATAACTAGTTAGTGCAGCCAGCAGCTCAGTCACAAATATGCTAAAAACAGGCAAATACACTCACAGGAGCAGCGATGACTATGTTGCCATGATAGTGATTGATATATAGCTTAAAGACTCAGAGCCTCATTTATCAACATCAGAGCTATAAAAACTGTAAATACCTTCGGCGGCTTCCTCCTCCTCCTCCTCTATGGAATCACAATGGCGTGGAAACACACAGAATGGAGCCACATAAAGATACAATCAGAATGTGGTTTTGTTCACTTTCTTTTATATAGATATTGGAATTATTTCTTTTATGTTTTCAAATCGGGGAAAAAAGAGCTGCTGTAAAAAAACTGTCACATGTGGAGCTGTAAGGCACATCATGTGTACGCATTAAGACTCAGTTATTCCTACCTAGGCTTAACCCCCATGGTCATGTTTGTGTAACGTTCCCTTCATCAGTCAGTGGTTCCTGTGGCTATCAAAGCTCCACTGACTTACATGGCACAGCCACAGTTCAAACAGCATGTCATACCAGTCACACAAGGTCTTACCTTCCACCTCCCTGGAAAAAAACAAAAAAAGTTTGTCACTGACTTCGCTCGTAGGAGAACTACGTCACAGTCTGTCATCGTGTTACTGTTTTGACAGCAGGTGTAAAGAAAACTATGTCTGCACCATCAAAGCTGCAGGTGTGTGCATTCAAACAAACGACAGAACAAGAAGAACCTACTCCTCGTACTCCTCCACCATCTCCTCGCTGTCTGACATGATTGGACTCAGTTGGGTGAATCTGAGTGTTAAAAACAAACATTCACTATATACCATCTACTTTAGATGCTTCTGAGAGTTTTCTCAGTCTTACCTGTGGATTCGAAAGAGAGTGGATGTGCAGCTCCTCACGGAAAAGTCAGATCTGAATGCCTCATGGGGGAGAAGTTTTAGCTTGTTGTGGTATTAATAACTTTTTTAGATAGCATGTTCTCTTCCATAGAAGGTCACTGTGAGCATGACCGCAGTGTTGAAGTGCCGAGACAATCTAGATAAAGAAGACGACACACACACACACACACACACGCGTGCATGCACTCATCCTTATATGAGACCCGTCTGTGATAAAACAGGCATGCCACTCTTATCTGCACCCTCCCTCTATATAAGCTACAGGATGTGATATAATTTCCAGATCAGAGAGAGTGTTTATGATCTCTGAGGGTATAAAATGTTTAGAAAGCCTAAAGTAAGAACTAAAATGAAACATTTTTGTATTTATTGTTGGGGGGGGGGGGGGGGGGGGGGTATAAGCTTGTGCTTCTGTCTGTACCTGTTTTTGAATTGCATAAGTTGTGTGTTTACTTGTAAAGCCACCATTACGTAATTTCAGTCCAAACGCTAATAAAACCACAAATCCAGACATTTGTAGTAAAACAGTTTATTCCTCAGACAAACGAGTCAGCATGTCCAAAGATAAAACAAAACTTTATTTAATTACAATTCCACCTTTCAATAAACTTAATTAGCCTGAAGCCTCTTGCCTGTTTAAAGTGCTTGAGAAATGAAGATAAGGCTGAAGAATGTATACAAATTATTTCTTCTTCTTTGTTCTACTGCTTTATTCATATTTCTCCAGATTCCATGTTCTGAATTGTAAAACAAGTACAAGTTTGAAGAATCAATGCAAGAGAAAAGCTTCCTGTTTAAAAAAATACAACAACACATGTTTCATTCTTTACAGCAGAAACTCCAGCCTTTCCTTTTGTGTGCCTTGGCAGTGAAGAAAAATTCTTGAAGTAGCATGAAAGCTCAATAATCATCCAAAAGTTTACCTCCCTGTAAATACAGAAATGTTCAGTCTTTCAACAACACAAATGTATTCATTTCACATCCTGAACTATAATTCTTTCCTAAATACTATTAATATTTAAAAACAAATTTATTTTCAAATGTTTGCATTGCTGTTTTATCTTGTCTTTTATCAAAAATTGGACTTACCCAATGAGAATGATAAATTATAGATCTATAACTTTTGTGCAGGACTTATTTTGGAGACACTGTCCTCCCCTCTATTCTCAAACAGACTCCTCTTGCTGCTGATGTCCACATTTCTCAAGTCCTGCAAACAGAAAACCAACAGATTATCACACAGAAAAGACAGAAATGCAACAAAATTATAATAGATTTGCTGGACTTCATGCATATATTGATAAAAGAGAAATAGATGTTGAACTAAAAAAGGCAAATGCTTATACTACATAAAATGAAAACTAACTCTCTCAGAGGACATTGTAGTGTACTGCTGCCCCCTGGTGCCCTGATGCTGCCGCTGTACTGTTTACTGACTGGATGAAGAGAAACCTTACCAGACTGAGTGAGGATCCAGCTTGGTTGGTCTTATTTAGCCAGACGTTGATCCGGTCCGACATTCCCGATGTGAAGCTCCGGAAATCCTGAAAAAATAAACATGTATAAAAGTTGCTCAATATTAAAAGTTTACATACATTTTATCCAGAGCTAAAATGGATTTAAAAAATGAATATTTTACTGGTCTTGAAACTCCGGGGCTGGTCGGGCTCTGTGCCTCCTGATCCTTCTCAAACAGGCTTCTTTTTCTGGAGACCTCTTCCAACAGACACAGGGTCCTCTGGGCCACATCTGGAGATCGGGTCACTTCTGATTTCTGAGAACACACAAGAGTAATGATGGAATAGACGTGAAGGTTGTGTTTTGGAGGTTTTTGTGACATGTTTTGTTAGTTTTCCTTCACTTGTTCTTTATCATTTTTTTTGTCATCTCCTTAGTTAACCACACTCAGAAATCATCTCTCCCTGTATGTGTACTCCCTAATTTCTCATGCTCTTTGTCGGATTGTGTTGCATGTACTGACAGTGTGTTATCTCTGTTTATTCTGTATCTTGTGTAGACTTTCTTTGATGGATCAAGGCAGATGGCTGCTCATCTGGAGCAGGATCCTCTGGAGTATTTTTTTCCTGTTAAAATGAAGTTTTCCTCTCCACTGTCACTACATGCTTGCTTAGTATGAGGATTTCTGCAAAGATACTGACACTAGTCAGTGACTCGGTGACATTTGCTGGGTTCCTTATGTAGGAAACTTTTTACTGATTGGCTTAATGAACTGAACTGTATTGGAATGTTTACTTTGTGAAGTTTCTTGAGACGACTCTTGTCGTAATGAAAAAATTAAATTGATCCCCTATCAGTAGGTTTCATGTTTAATGCATAAATGGGCTCAACACACAGGAGGCAACAAACGACTGAGATCAGCCAAATGTTTGCTATCGCACTGATAACCTGACACACGGGAGGTGATATGCAGCAGCAGCCAGTGGCAAAGCCAATGACACGCTCTGTTCCAGAGCGAATAGTGAGTCTTCCATTGTTTTTATTCCCCATCAGATTGGAGGGAATGTTGGGTTATTGAAGCAGTTCAGAGTTGAAAAATTGGTAGATATGAAGTCTCACAAGGTTTTGCTAGAGTTAAGTGAAGTCTGATTTCTGACTTTACTATATCAAAAGGGAAAAATACATGAATGGATTAATCCCATATTGCAAATAGAAAAAGAAACCATGATTATGAGACTACATCAACAATACAACTCACTGACAGTTTCCCATGCCACTGCCTTTTTGTGAAGATTTCTGTATTCGTTTGTAGAAATGTTGTACACCTCTGGGAAATCCGACATGGCAAGTATTAACTTTTCCCCAGCTTTCCCTTCATATTTGCCTGGAGATGTACTGAGAATCATCCTGTCTGCTCAATGGCCAGTCAATGAAACCTCCGCTGACTGGTCCTTGTCCGAGTGCCAGCAATGAAAATTTTGAAATTTTCTAAACTTTCTGGGATTGCGTAGCTGGCTCACCTGTGCACAATACATGCACAAACACAAAATTTTACATGCACATTTTTTGTTTAGCAGGAGGGAGACCTGTGATTATCACTTTGTTGCACATGCCTCATTCAAAATGAATGGAGGAGAGGTTGCCTCCCGTGCGTTGAGCCCATTTGTCTTTAAACCTGTACTTGTGGCTTTGTTAAGCATTCTACCTTATTTAAAAGAAAATGTACAAACATCTACCAAAATTAAAATATATATTGGAAAATTAAAGTCTCCAGGTTCTGACTGTTTGTTTTAAAGATTTGTTTGCAGTGAGAGACCCAAAAAGAAAAGACAAATGATATTTAATGATAGAAACAAAATCAAACAAAACGGATGAAAAAAGTACTGGCACTAATCACACTAAAAGTTGTAAAGTCACACAACTGCTACAGCATTTTAAACTGTAACTTAAAACACACTCACACACTCAAAGAGACTTAAATGATATTTTACTGTAGTTTTGATTTGTCTTTCTTGCATTAGGCAACAGATTAGTACTCCCAGTCACCCAATTGTGTGTGTGTGTGTGTGTGTGTGTGTGTGTGTCTGCGTGTGTGTGTGTGCGTGTACAAATTTTAACGTTTAAATTTAAATCTGTCACTATAGGTTAAAAATGTGGACACTTGGCTATTCCACACAATAACAAAATACCTTAAATGCGGTTTTAGAGGTACGGTGTGAACAATTTTTTCATTTAGATTAGGGTTAGGAACAGAGCAGCATTGTCAAGTTCAGTAAGGCACAGTGGAGTCACTAAGACAAACACAAACATATAAATATGTGCATGAGCGTGTGTGTGTGTGTGTGCATGTGTGTCTTTGCACTTTTGTGGGGACCACAGCCAGACACCATTCTCACGATGTGAGGACTGAATTTTTGTGGTGACCAAAACCTTGGTCCCCAGTCCCCACAACGTTTGCATTAATCTCAATGAAAAGAAGTTCAGTGAGATAACCAAATAGTCAGGTTGGTCCCCCAAATTCCTGTATAAACCCCACAGAAAGGCTGGTCCCGAAGAAGCATGATCAAATCAGTCCCTGACTGCAAAAGCTTACAAACAAGGTTGTGTGTGTTTTAGTGTCTGTTCTTGTACTTACTACATACCGAGAACCATCATGAGGTGTTAATCAACAAAGTGAGGTAATTTTTGAAAGTGAGGACATTTTTGTTAGCCTCACTTTGAAAACGTATGGAGCGACTTAAGTTTTACTTAAGGTTAGAGTTAGGAATAGATCAGCATTGGTTATGGTAAATGGCCTGTATTTGTATAGTGCCTGCTTAGGTTTTCACAACCCCCCAAGACGCTTCACAACCCAGTCAGTCATTAAACCATTCACACGCTGGTGGGGATGAGCTACAATGTAGCCACAGCTGCCCTGGGGTGCACTGACAGAGGTGACCACCAGGTGTGGGTTATGTGTCTTGCCCAAAGACACAACAGCAGCATTCTCTGGTTGGAGCTGGGCTCAAACCTACAACCTTCAGATTACTTGATAACCCATTCTCATTCCTGAGCTACTGCTGTCCCATTTACCATTTACCAACTAAGTAAGTAAGTATTCACTGACCTGTGCTGCTCGAGCCAGTAACTCCATCTTTTCTTTGATGGATCTGGAGGATATTCTTTGTTTAGAGCTGAAAAAATAAATATAATCCTTATATGCATTTCTTTAACCCCCCCCCAACATAAAATTATCAAACATTTAGAAGCAAAAGTGGAAACACACAATTTTTGCCTACTTTCTTTGGAATGATGATCTTTTGTCCTCATCTCCATCCTGGTCCTGGTCACAAGCAGAAATGCTCATTTTAGACAATTTAAACTGATTACACAATTAATAAAAAAATCAACTAGAAAACAATTCATAATTCAGGAGGATAGATGTATCATCTTACTGTGTTGGTCTCAAACTTCTTGGAGGCTATCCTCACACTTGCACTGCAACACAATAAAATGTCAGCAAACACAAGGAGGTAGAAACCTATAAACCTAAAAATATACAGAAAAAATATCTCTGGACCTTCGCTGCAGTGGCGAGCTGTCCTCCTCTTTCTTCTTCATGGTCTGTGTCAGAAGAAGCCCAAAGCAAGAGTGTTAGTCCTCACAGGTGTCTCAACAGCAGCATCTCATGTCCCAAATGTCTCGTGATGTGTTTGGACGTTAATGAAACAGTCAGTCAGCAATAAAAGCTTGTAAATACTCCGTCAGCTGTTAGCATGAGCCCAGAGATCAAGTTCAGCAAGCAAATTATCTAGAGCTGATACACTGATATGAGATTAAATGTGTTGTAAAAGTAAAATAGGCAAAAGTTAATATTTACATTTGGAATGTGTGTGTGTGTGTTTTACCCTGAAGGATAAAGTCCTGGAGCTCTGTCTGGCAAAGGCAGGTTTGGTTGTTTGTTCAAAATTTCCATCTTTCGAGGGCCCATTGGTGCAGGTCTAAAATCAAACACAGAGAACTTTTAGAAAATAACTAATATTTAAATCTTCCGGTTTAAACTTTAAATGAGCTTCAGTGAAATATTTTCCTTCAGTTTTAGCCTTCAGACACCAGAGGACGCTGTTTCTGTCTTCTAAGCTTTATAGTTCAGGAAATCAAAAAGTTAATCTTTTTGCTTCTGCTTGACAAAAATTTGGGATGAATTAGAAAGAAAACTGTAAATCATGTATGTCTGTACATTTGTACCTCCTGTGAGTGTCTGTTCTCTACTGGACTTTGAGGCTGATGAGGTGACGGGCTCATGCAGGGTGAAGGCCAGTGATCACGTGGCGACAAGGGGGTCGTCGGAGAGCTAGGGCTCATGGAAGTGGAGCTCCTGCTGGCTGAGGAAGGCTTGTCAAGAGAGATGGACACAGAACTGCAACAACAGAAACAGATTAATGTTTTTAAATCACAAAAAGATGCTCAAAGCAGTAAAAGAAAACTACTAGATGGCTGCAGATCTGTGCGCTCAGTTAAATGCACACAAAGAGAAGGAAAGGGCAGGACAAGAAATGTAAAGGCCTTCATAATCTTTTTTTAACCAGATAATAAAAAGATCGGAAGCACCTTTTGTCTCCATAGAGGAAACCAGAGGTACTGGTTTGCTTCAGCATTTACTTAAGGTCTCACACACCAGATCTTCAACTATAGCAGAGGAGTTATGACAGGTTTCTAAAAACATACAGTTGAGAGGAAATGTTTCATTCAATCATTCATTGCGTTAAACTTGTTAGGTCTCAAAATGTCCAACTCAACTCAATAGACTCAATTGTTGCTCTGATGATTTTCTAAAGAGCGACCAGTGAGTTCATTGTGAGATATAACATTGCATGTTGGTTTGGCAACTTCACTGTTAAGTCAAAGACTCAGATTTTCACTTTGATAAAGATGGCTGGGAAGATATTGTGTTCAACTGGTGCCTTAACACCTCAACAGATGTTTAAACAGACCATCCTAAAGCAGGGAAATAGATTCTTAACAGATCTCTCCCATTTTCTACACTCTGAACATATTTTACTAAACTCACAACCAAGATAGAGAATCTTCCTCTGTAATCACAACCGGTGCAAACATTCCATTCTCCCATTATCAGTTAAAGTCATCAATGAACAAAAAAACACAAGATGAACATGTCAATTAGAACAAGCTGTTACCTAGGCAGGTAAACATGAATTTAGTCCAGAAGTTTGCATCCAGAGGTTGGGAGGTGGGTGTGAATTGGCCTACTATGTGGTGATAACTGAACTTGTGCATTTTCTTTTTAAAGATTATATTTTTCTGTCTATTATTTTAATCTCATTATCATTAATCTGAGTATGTTTTTAATTAATATTATTATTTTGTTTATGTTCTGGATGTGTGAAGTATGGTGCAGTGAAACCCCCTATGTCTAAAACCAAATGTCTCCCAAGGGAGACAAACTAAGAGCTTTGATTTGATTTCAACAAACTCAACAAGTGTTAAAACCTAACTTCTGATTGGATCTTCAGGCACGTTCTTGCCAGCAGCCTGTCAGAAATACACTAGATCCTCCTGTTTCTGTTCAGAAAAGAAAATATTTCTAATGGCTCAATATGAGATGTTAGCTTTTAGCCGTAAAGAGCTAAAGCAGATTAAATAAGTTATTTCTGGTCTTTGTTTTTTTCTTCTGTTTCATAAAGACTTTCAGATTGTGTTCATCGGCTACGAAAAGATTTCTTTAGATCGTGCCTTCTGTTGTCCTCCACTTGTCTATGTTTCTACATTTTATAGCATAATTCAGAATAAGCTGGCATTCGTATAAGAACTGGATAGTGTGTGTGTGGAGAAAGCAGCCAAAGTCCAAGGAAAACCTTTCAGAAACCTTCAGAATACATCAAATAATAACAATAATAAATTGATCTTTGCAAGCACATGTAATAAAAATAAAAACTTTCATTGCAGATTGGTTACTAATGTCCTTTCTGAGCAGTTTTTTTTGTGTATACACATAAACAGATGATTTGTGAACCAAACACACAAAACCAACCAGTCTGTTATGGTTAACTGTAAAAGATGTTGGTTATCAACAACTGCCATTGCTAACCTGACAAACTTGCGAGCTGGACGGGGCTCTGGTTTAGACTCAGGGTCCATTTTTAATGACTCTTCTTTTTCATGCTGAAAAAAAAATATGGTGGAAAACAGTCAGCATGTGCACACAGATTACAAGCTTTAGTTCAAATAAACATGAGACACCTGGGTCATACATAAGCCATATGCATAACTGGATATGGGCTCATTGCAGATACACTGGAGCTGAAGATAAAGTTCAAATGATGACCTTCAGCACATCTTATCAAGGTTTTACAGATGATTTGCCTGGCCGCTTAATTCCCAGAAACAATGCAACTCCAATGAAAGTGCAGGAAATAAACACTAAGGATGTTTCCTTTATAACTCAACCCAAACTCTTGGCTTTATCTGGTCTACCTGAAGCAGACCAGAGGAGAAAACAGGGCTCAGTTACACCAGTTGATACAAATATTTTCACCTGAACATCATAGATGCTTCCTAATTTCTTCAAATATGTTTATACTGTTTAATTTTGACCAAACTGGATCTAATAAGCTCATAGAGCTAATCAAGTCACCGGTACTGAACCAGAACCAGTTCGGTGGAGGTCAGCTGCTTCCAGAATTCAACATAATGATGTAATTCCTTCTTAAATGGCTTGAAGTAGCTCCCAGCCTAGAATGTGTTGAGTTTTGTTGTTAAGTAGAGAATGATTAACACACCTCTCCCCCAGCGTGGGGTAATAGTTAACTAAGATCAGCCTCTCAGCAGGAGTCATTGTTTGTGAGTTACAACTTAGTAAAGCATTAATGAACTGGATGTGGGAAAAGGTTTATGCTTCAGGGTTGCTCTAAAGTGAAACTGATACAGGCTGTTTGTTCATGACACGTTCATGATTTTATGGCTGCAGCAGATAAACTGAGCTCTTTGTAATCGTCAAAGCAGTTAGAGCTAAACTGTAAAAAATAAATAAATAACAAAAGGCTACAAACTAGAACTCTGACAACGACCAACAAGAAAGTAAATACTTTAGTAACATCATCAGCTATATTTAAATACTTTGTATTTTAATGAAACACTTCTCTTAAGCCTTTATTCTAACTATGATAAGGATGAATTATCTTTCAAATTGATCACATTTTGTGTTTCATGTCAGAAATAAACACATTTTGTCTCCAGGATCTTCTCCTGGAGATGTTTTAATTCCATTTAGAGCCAATTAAAACTAAATAAAATATGAATATGAGTACATATCAGTATATTCAATAATCTATTTTCAATTTGCTCTAATTATGAGTTAGAATGAACAGAACAAGGTTTTTGTCATGTGTACAGCATATCTTTGACTCTGTCTGAATTAATATGAAGTGTGTGTTCCCTGCATAGTCCAAATAACCTAAGATAATATTAAATCAAATAGTCAAAGACTAATTAGATTAATAATTCATATTTATATGGAATATCACATCTTATGGATCATTTAATAAATCTAGCTAATGTCGACATCCATTCATTTACTCCTCGTTTTTCATCTCACTTTCTGAACATTTCAGAATTTATTTTTTTGGCACTTGCAGCTTTCACCTGCAGCCCAAGAACTGGAGAAAAATAAACAGTTCTTTTCACAGGTACATTTAGAGGCAGGTGCGCAGAAATAAGCCCCTTTCTTTAGCAGGAAGATAACCACAGGATGATAAAACGTGCATATCTGTGGGTGTTTTGCATAGAAATGTCTCCAGAGATATATACAGTATACTGTCACTTTAATAACTTTCTCTTTTAATAATCAGAAAGGTGACATGACTCACCTCATTATGTAATAAATAGACTTTAATTTAAACAAAAATCAGGTAAAATAGCAGATTTTTAACATTAAAAGGTTCTAACTCACCAGTGTGCTTGATGTTGCAGCTTTCCTGCTGAATTTGTTGCTTTCAGAGGTACTTTTTGAAGGAGATTGTGGTTTGAACACGCTGTCCTTCCCCTCATCCAACTCCCCCAGCACCACGACCCTTCCATCTCCTTCTTCTCCACTTCTCTCCTTCTCATCACCCTCCTCTTCCTCCTTCTGCCGTCTCAGCGTCTCCACCTGCCTCATCCTCCTCTTTTCATCTCGCGCTCGAAGCATCTCCACAAAGTCTACCTGAAGCTGCTCAACACTGATGAAACATAAAAAAATTCTCATATTGATGACGAATGGTTTCCAGATCTGTGTCAGATCAGGTTTCTGTAATAAAAACCTCCACAGGTTTTCTCTCCCTTTTGTTTCCAGAGACTCTGCTGCTGGTGTTTTCGAAAGCCTTTAATGGTTTACGGTGTCGGTTGTTTTCTCGTGTTTAAACAGTATTAAGATGGCATACCTCCCATCGTTGTTTAATCAATCCTCCAAAAAGGCTGTCAAACCCAATTATTGTAGCATACTGTACATTGATAAAGGGATGAAAACTGTCTAAGATAAGCAAAAGGGAGGAATGGATAGTCTCCTACCAGAATCACATGTGTGTTGGCAAATCTATTTTAATAAGTTGTAAAAACCTGCTGAGATCCAGAGATGTGTCACCGGAAGGTTTAGTCCCAGATGTGCCACCATTGCTGGATGGAGTTCTGGGAAGAGAGTCAGAGTCAGCATCTGGGTCAGCAGTACTGCTGCTCCTCCCTCTCCTCCTCTTCTCCCTCTCCACCTCCTCCTCGTCCTCCATCGTCCATTGTCGTGCAAGGCTGAGTCAAAATGCACGGGGGCAAAAACAAAGATAAATCTACTCAAAATAGTGACAACCTGCAGCAGATTTTATATGTTTTTCTTTCCTGCTAAAACTTATTGTCGTCCATGTTAAAGAACCAGGAATTTAAAAGAAAAACCAAACATGATTGTAAAGCAATAAAAAGTCACATCAACTCAGAGGTCAACTGTTCATAGAATCATCTGGAAGGTAAAAGTGCATGTTACTTTGAGACAGTTCCACCAAAAATGAGTCAAAACTGTTGTTCTAAGTAGAAAACTTGTTGCATGAACTCTCTATGTGCTCATCCTGGGTTTAAGGTGAAAGTGTGCCATCAGGAAAGCAGCAGCTAAAGACGATGCTCCAAAGCTCAAGTGTCACTAACGTCTCACAGCTTTAACCTTACCTGGACAAAGCAAACCAGTTTTTCCGACTGATGGACATGCTGAGGGAAAAAATAACAAGTTTCCACTTTAGTCGCAGATGACAGGCAAAAGTCAACAGCCTCTGACAGCAGCAGGAAACGTTACAGTCGGTGCAGCACAAAGGTATCCACCTTTAGTCGGGTGAAGCTCAGTCAGGGATCACATGACCACAAAGGTGAGCTCTTCACCTGACAGGGAGGGGGAAGGCAGCATGTTTTCCTTTTATGGTGGAAGTGCAGCAACTGATGGGAATGTGAATGGAGTGTGCATGTGCGTGTGTGCGTGTGTGTGTGTGTGTGTGTGTGTGTGTGTGTGTGTGTGTGTGTGTGTGTGTGTGTGTGTGTGTGTGTGTGTGTGTGTGTGTTTGTGTGTGTGTGTGTGTGTGTTTGTGTTTTTCTAACGAACATCTTTGTTGCAGGTGGCAAGTAGTCTATCCTCAATGACTCAGAGTGTTTGCTCTGGTGTGAAGCCACACCTTTTCCCTGCTGTATATCAGACTCTGACCCAGTATCAGTCCCAACCACACATGCATAAAATGTCCACCCCATCTGCTTTTACACACACAAGCCTCCTATATGTAAATATATGTATACATCACACCTCCTCCTGCATCAAAATGAACATCGAAGTGTCTGTTCTGTGTTCAAACACAAGCCTGCTTCATATTTAGAGGATTTATCTGATCGATCATCTTTGCACATCACCCTGCAGACTGTCATCCAATACTTTGACAGTTGACTTTTCTTTGTTTTATTAGTGGGCACCAATCGAGCTGAAAGTAATTAGCAAATCATCTTTTTGCTTTTATTTTCAGAGTTTCATATAAATTGTCCAAAGACAAATGCATAGATAAGGAGCATGCAAGAGGAAAGTTTTGTATTTTATGGTCATGCAAAACAATCAGAAGATAACTGTTTTATGATTGTGAGGATAAGTGACATACAGTAGAAGCATATCTGCTGAAATGTTCAGACATGTTGCTTTCTCTGAGGCATGAGGAGTGCCTCTGTGTCAGAAACATGAATTTCTTGATTTGATGCTAATTTTTCCTTCTTTTTTGTGTTTTGCAATTTGCCTTTATTTGCTTTGGTAACATTTGTGCTCTGAGCTTCCTTTAAAAATCCATTTTTGGTGCAGATAAATCAGATATAAAGATTTTAACCTTATTTTTTGCATTTAATTCAATTATCGTCTGTTTACATAGAAAGTCAGTTTGTGCCGTTTCTCATCAGAAAGCTTTTGCTTGTTTTTACAGAATTAAGTAACAACGTCTGAGCTACAGTTACAGTCCTGGTTCACTTTTGGGTGGAACACATTTTAGACTTGATGTCTTGTTGATTAATACTGAAATTATCTGTAAAGGAAAATACCAAGGAGGATGCGTGCACGATGAGTTAATAGTATTAGCAATAATACAAGAACCAAATCAAAATAAGTCAAAGGAGACTTATTGTCATTGCATTTTGCTTGTTGTAAACATTTAACACACACACACACACGCGCGCGCGTGCACACACACACACACACACGCGCGCGTGCACACACACACACACACGCACACACACACACACACACACACACACACACACACACACACACACACACGCACACACACACACACACACACACACAGTGACAAAGAACAAATAGTCACATTACATTTGCACACAGGAGCTCCTGGAGCTCCACTGATAGGTGTGTGTGTGTGTGTGTGCGCGCGCGCGTGCGTGCGTGTGTGTGTGTGTGTGTGTGTGTGTGTGTGTGTGTGTGTGTGTGTGTGTGTGTGTGTGTGAGAGTTATGGGGGTTCAGTTCACTAACATTTGTACATACGTGTCTAGGTGTCTTTGCTGCTAAGGCTGTGATTTGCCACAAAGTAGTCCCAAGTCTAAATTGGCATCTGTGATTCCTTTAGGTTACTATTTATTTTCACCTGCAGTCAGTCTGATTATTTAGGTCACAGAATTGGGATCACTACAGAGTGATTTTACGGTCTTTTCTACTCACAACTCTAGTTAGATCCATTCACTTACTGTGTGCTGTATGCTAACCTAAAGCAAATGGTGTACAGCAGGGTCAGGAGAACGACTGGGCTGGTTAAAAACTGTTTTACCTACTTATCTAATGCTGGGAAATATGGCTACAGACAAAATTTCAATTATGGGTGAAATATCTCTTTAACAAAAAATAATAAAAAAGATAAATTATTTTAAAATCATGTGAATCTATTTTGCATTGAAGGAGAAAAACTAAAGAAAATAATTTGCATTTTGTCTCAAAAAGAAAAAACAGGTAACCTGGACATTTGTTTTGCTTTATTTGCACTGTGGAGCTTTTCATAATAAACAAACAAATTCATAACTCAATTGGTTTTAAAAACAAACATCAGTTTTGACATTTCCTTCATTGTGCAGCAACATACGTGATTTCAAACTTGCATTTTGACTGAAACATGAATATGACAGATAAAAAATATTTTTATATGTTTATGTATTTAGCAGACACTTTTGTCCAAAGCGACTTACAAGTGATACCAAAGTAAGCTGCCCACTAGCGACCACTATGCATGACAGGGTTAATCATGATAGAAGACTGTCCAAGTTTCAAGATGAACATTTTAAAAAATTAACTGGACATTTCATTGCACAAATACGATTTAAAATGATTACATCATCTTTAACTGAGACGCCACATCTAGGAGAGAATCCAGATCATTTCACTTTGTTTACACACAAAGTAATGAAAATATTGTGTTTTACTTTATGACAGGCTCAAAACCTATGATTCTCCATGAAATAGAAACAGAATCTGAAAGAAAAGTGGGAAGAAAATGTTTTTTTTTCACTGAGCAGAACCTTTGGCAGCATCAAACATCTTCTTCCTTCCTTCCATTCCTGACATGGCCTCCACGTTCTTCCTCCAGTCGCTGTCCTCCACTGGCCTCTTCTGCAGATAGAACAGATAACGAATAAAGAACAGTTTTATCTGAACTTGTAAAGAAGAACGGCTTTAGAGACTCTCCTTGTTGTTCCCTAAGCCATTAAAAGCCTTTCCATAGAACCAGAATCCCCTCAGAGATCTGCATAACCATACCCGTTTAACTGGTTCTCTCTCTCACACACACACACACACACACACACACACACACACACACACACACACACACACACACACACACACACACACACACACACACACACACACACACACACACACACACACACACACACACACACACACACACACACACACACACACACACACACACACACACACACACACACAAACTGGCCGGTGAGCAATGCTACAAAAGCTACTCTCCTGTGTACAATGGGATCATTGTTTTGTGTTTTGTACGCTGCACCTCTTCTCACACACACCGTCACTGCCCTGTACTGGTCTAATATCTTACAGCTCAAACACACCTTTCACACACTTATAAACACAACTTTAAGAGTTCTGTGGCATTCTGAGCCCTGACGTCATGAAAATCTGCAGCTGCATCCATGTCAACAGCCTGAGTGAGGAGGGTTCATGGTTTTCTGTGCGTACGGGGTATTTATGTGTCAGAATATGCTTTAGCATCCGCACACACCTTCTCCGTATCTTCTTTCTTGACAGACTTGAGATTAGCTCGGAGGTCCATGGAGACTTTGTGCTTGGAGCCCAGCAGCGAGCGAAGGATGGCATCAGCTGACACACGAACGCGCCGAAGATTAGGCCTCTTGAATTTCCCCCTGAGGTCCAGCACCTTGATGTTGAGGTCTTTAATCTGATGCAGATAAAGAGTATTGGGACATTTTACTGTTAAAGCTGCAGGAGGTTCTCATGAGCTTGCATCCTGAAATGATTTCCTGTATTACTGAAAGCGAGCTGGGAAAACGTGCTCCCACCTCACGTGTGTTGAGCATGACTTTGGCTTCAATGTCATATCGCTCCTCATCAACCACGTCTATCTTGGAGTGGAGTTCCCTGCAGAGATCCTTCACACATTCAATAGATGCACATGCATTAGATTGTATGCATTTGTAAGATATACAGATTACTTGATACTGAAAGGCAGAGGGCCCTTTTCTGAATAAAGATGAGAACCCTACGAAGAACTCAAAGCAACAGCTGTATTTGAATTATTGGCATCAAATCAAGTTTTCTCCAGATGTGGACAGGACCCTGCCAGTGCTGCCCCCTGACTCTGATCATGTGCTCATAGATAAGATCTCATGGTGTAGTCATGGAAACGATGGCGTCTGACTTGGGAACCTCAGGGTCTTTTTTTCACCTTTTACAGACGATGAGGTTCTGTTGCTGTCTTCAAGCTATGCATGACCTTCAATGGTCACTGGATCAGCTCATGTCTGGTGTTTAGGTGTCAGTATTGTGTTCAACAGAGAGAGAAAAAATAAAGATTACAGCATCATCTGCAGCCATGTGGGAGATGCTGTGGTAAAGATGGAGCTGAGCCAAAAGACAAACCTCTGGATTTACTGTCTGCCTACAATCATGGTGGAAAGAAGCAGCTGAAATGACCGTCTTCCATCACTGCAGTAAAGCTGCTGCTCCTCTACATTGAAATAAGTCAGCTGAAGTGATTTGAGTATTATTTTTGCTCCCTGGTCGACTTATTCTAACATTATATATCCTCTCTGACCTGAGAACACCTTAGAAACCCTCAAGTGGAGCATGGTTACTCTGTGAGATAATCTTGTATAGGTGAAAGATAACTGATGTATGGGTGGATGATATATGTTCTAAAGCAAGTATGAACACAATCTGCAGCAGGTAACCTGGACTTTGAGCCTGCTTCCTTGGCTTTGAGTCACTGAGAAGTGAATTAAGGAAAACAGAGAGGTCACCTGGAGTTGAGCGAGGCTGAGGCCGCTGATGTTCAGAGACGGAGATTTCTCTGCAAGATATTTCTGTTTCTCCTCCTCTTTTAGAAGAATCTCTTGCTCCAGTTCCTCCTTTGCCTTTGCTACCATCAGACTCTGTACAAAAAATAAATGAATAAAAATCACCCTTAAGTGCTGGCAAAGGACATGGCAGCTTTTGAGCGTAGATTCAGAAATGGTACATTTTGCTATTTGTACATCTTTCTTGCCCTCTGTTGGCCAAACATCGATTTTGCATGATGCAAAGCTAGAAGAAGCAGGTCACCGTTTCTCACCTTCAGCATCAGCTTCCTTGAAGCTGAGATCTTTGGTTTCTTCTATATGAACAGAACAGAATTATCAATGTTGTGCATCGAGTGAAGAGATGATCAGAGTGATGAAATGGACTTACCTCTGGGCTGAAGGAGAAGGAAGGGACATCATTAAATCAAAAAGACCAAATATGAGCAGATCTGCTTTTGAATGACTAAATGATCTATTATTAGAAAACAACGTCTGGCCACTCACAAATGCTCAGGCATCCTGCTGAAGAGGTCCTACTGGAAGAGATACAGGAGAGATTAATATCTCTCTCTCTCTCTCTCTCTCTCTCTCTCTCTCTCTCTCTCTCTCTCTCTCTTTCTCTCTCTCTTTCTCTCTCTCTCTAACAGAAACAAAAAAACTATAGAAAGGTTTTGATATTCCTGAGTATTACACAAGAAGAGTAAGTTAAGAGGGAAATAAAGTAAAATGGTTCATCAAAATCCTCCAGGAGGATGATTAAAGCATGAATGCATAAAAAATAATAATAAGTGAAACAGGAAAAGTAGCTCACGCAAGTCAAAATGGGTATTTATTTAACAAATCTGTAATCGTGATATTTATTTTATCACCTTACCTTGACCCCCATGTCTGACCCCCCTCTCTTCTTTATCAAGCACTAAACAGCTCTCACCCCATCTGACCTTATCTCATCATCCCTCTTTCAGTTTCATTACTGAATTGTAAATGGCAACACACCAAACCTCCTCATATTCTGTCGTTCCACGCTAATCTGCACTGGATTTGGAAAATTCCAGAACGAGAGCCATTCCGCACTCGTCTCTTCCATCCTTCATCCCCATTATACTCCCCAAGATTATCTGTGTGGGAGGAATTTGGAGCGCCCTGTGTCCCCAAATAGACCAGACAGCTGTGGAGGTTGTGTGAGCTCTGGCGCTGCCCAGCATCATTTGGGGATTGAGCAAGAGTTACTCAGAAATTCCTGTGGGGTTCTGCGGGGAAGTCGACTTGCCGATGCAAAGAAAACGACCCCAGCTGCTTTGGAAAATTTGCATAGGCCTCAAATCGGAACAGATACAGTTATTGGTGCAGAATGAACCCAATTCAACCTGCTGAAAGTCTGATATTCGATTAGAACAATAAAAAAAGCAAAGTTACGCTGCATGACAAGATTTAAGTTAATATCACCACATATCAAAGCAAACCTGACTGAAAGTCGCCGAATTTACAAAAGCTAACTAATGACCTCTGTTGTTGTATTGATGAACACTAAAGCTAATCCTAATCTAGAAAGTTTCCAAATTAAACTTCTGAAGGGACCTTACCGGAGACTGCAGAAAGAGCAGCACTCACTGCAGAGGGAGGGCAGATCAGAAATGAGCCCAACCATTCTGTACCCTTCCATTTATCTCAGCCCCTCATTGTCTGGCTCCCTCTTTCTTTTGAGCTCATCAAGGCTAATAATAGTTTTAGACCATCCATCAGCTAATCTTGGCCTCTCCATTTGTCTCTCATAGATTAGATACATTAACCCCAGGGTAAGCACTTAAACCTGGAGTTGGGTTGTTTAATTCACTAGATATAGAAAGCAATCATGAACTTCCTACGACCCACGGGGGTAGTACTCTGCGTTAAACTGTTCCTGTTACTCTAGAATTCTTCACTTGTCAGCTTTTGAAGCCAGCACTTTTGCAGAGTGTAGAATGAAAGCCTCATAACCTCATTTTTTCAATCTTAATTGCGTTAGTTTCTTATAACATCCCACAAGGGAATTGCAGGTATCTGATTACATAACAGCCAGGGATTTATGAGGCTATTGTTTGTAATTTCATTAACCAAGCCTCGTCATGATCAGCCTTACACAAGCTCATTTGTAGCCCTGAGATTTGATCAAACACCACAAGAGGGAGTCTGAGAGAGGTTGTCTGTTAAAAGCCATTTTGAAACAGGAAACAACTGCTGTTTGAGGTTATTTAAGGTTTTAAAGAACTTTTATTTGAAGATTTAGCTTTACAGACTTCTAATTGACACTGTGGTCATCATTATGGTCATTTTTAGGCTATGTGCTTTTCTCTGAGGTAGTACTTTAAACCTGTATGTCTCTGAGAAACTTTACAGTGTTTTACCATGTTTTCTTATGATAATCCAATGTTGGGTTGCAGAGATCAAGAAGTAAATCCTGACATCCCTCTCAACGCTCTCCTGTCCAATCCCCGTTGGTATGGGACATGTCTGAAAAACCTTCAGAGGGAGGTGACAAGGAGGTATTCTAATCAGATGCCTGTGCCACCTCATCTGTTTCCTTTGTTGACGAGAAGCAGCAGCTCTTCGCTGGGCTTCCCTTGGTTGACGGAAGTTTCTCAGATCATCTCTGAGGCTCTAATCTCTGTCTTTCTAAATAAAGGACATTCCAGCCATTCAAGTCACAATCCAAATCTTGTGACCGTAGTGGAGATTTGCATTCCACTTTATCTAGTCAAGAACCACTCAGTGATTCCCTACGAGGGCCATCTTGGGGGTTCAGTACCAGCCAGAGTCTTCCACGGCTTACAGGCCTCAGAACAGGGTCAGACTAATCAATTCAGAAACCTTGATGAAAGAGGACCATATAGGATATCTCATCTGGATCAGGGAAACTGGAGCCAATGTTATGCTTTAGCTTTAACCACATACAGTAGCTTTCAATATTTAAGAGGACAGAGAGCCCTCTAGTGGTTAACCCATAAACTGCAGCTCTGTCTGATGGCCTACAAAGAAGTTTTAGTTTGTAAATCAATGTTGAATCTAAAAATTTTATCTCAGACATTAAACACTCCCTCGTATTCACCCATTCCTGCTTAGTGCTAAGTCTTCCTTTGACCATATGTATAATTGTTTATGAAAGCACACATCCCTTTGTGTTGTCATCTTCTGAGTGAACCAGAAGCTTTTCACCATCTCCTCTGTGGACTGTGCACACACACACACATGCACGCACTTACGCACACACACACACACACACATGCACGCACTTACGCACACACACACACACACACACACACACACACACACACACACACACACACACACACACGCGCACACACACACACACACACACACACACACACACACACACACACACACACACACACACACAGGACAGAATTTTAAAGTTGCATAAAAAGCACAAAGTTAACACCTGCCTCTGCAGCCTCACTGCAAACAGGACACTACAAAGATCCATCACAAATCCTTCTACCGCTCCTCTTCTACTGCTGACTCATCTGGTGTGGCTGGCTTTAGGGTTTTCCACTGTAACAAGAGAAGCTGCAGCACAGCCAACCCTTTATTCCTGAGGAGCACACACACACATACACAAATATATCTCACACACAGACTTCTCAAAAACTCACACACAACCCACTAAATGAACAATATCAGCTGTGTCTCGCTAATGAGAGTCCGCTGACGCTTCGGCCCAGCTGAATATCATGTAGGGTGTGCTGCCATAGGTGAACATGTGTGGGTGGATGTTTCTGTGCACACACGCCTGAGGCTCTTAGGACTTCTCATTAGTCCTGCGTACAGCTCAGAACAAAAGGTGTCCTAACTCTGGCAGGCACGCAATACTCATACTGTGTGTGTGTGTTTTCCAGAGGCTTTAACAACACGGTTACACCACAACAACAAACAGATGAGCTTAGAAAAGAGCCAACCAAAGTAGAAAGGTTTGCATATTGTTCTTTAAACCGTTTTAATGCTCTCATATTTATAATACTGTATATGGTTTCAGACAAAAATACATTTAATGTAAATGAAACAAATGTGATCAAAACACCCATTCTTCATAATCCAGCTAGAGTGAGTCCCACAGATCTAGTTAAACAAATCATGTGACTTTTCTCTCAGCTGTGTCAAAATAAAGGAAGGCTTTTGATAAGTAAGTAGGAGATGGTGTCGAAACAGCAAGGCACAGAGGGTCAAATGTTTTCAAGTTTGATAGTTGATTTTCCATGTTAACCCCAAGCCATGACAGAAAACAGCTGTCATTAAATCTGACCCCATGGTCACATTAAAAAAGTTCTTGTCTTTTGATCTATGTTAGATGCAGAGCAACCCAGAAACAAGTCCACAGACTTCTTGATCTCTTCTCTCCTTCTTCTCAGGCAAACCTGAAGAAATAAAAACATTTTATTAATTTTGTAGTATTTGATATGTTCAACAAAGCATTTAGTGACTGTTACCACAGCTACTGAATTTATTTGGGCACTTGGCCTCTGCGGCTCTCTTAAGGAAGCATGGATTCCTGATCTGTGAACTCATAGTTCAGACTTGTTATACTCTTGGGTCACTCCAGGTTTCAAGCAGCAGTTCCAGTAAATTACTTAAAATGTGGCATCTAAATAATAAAAAATATATAATTATAAAACAGACATTGAAGTTTTCGATTGCTCCAAATGTCCAAAGTGTGTGTGTTTAAATTGAATGCATAAAGAGAAGTCTGGGTGTTTAAAAATACCCTCTGTGAGGGGAGAGGCAGACAGATGTTATTTTGAAGGCTCACATTGCGTTGTAATTATGTCCTGGAGGGAGAAGTGGTTTGTGTTGAAGGAAGGCTGCAGTAGAAAGGATGAGGACTCAGTGGAACATCTAAACACTCAGGAGGTCTTGTAAATAACCTTCGGCTCAGGATTAGTGTGGAGGTGATGGTCAGACATGAGCACTTCGTTCCCAAGTGTTGAAATGTTTCAGTTCTATTCATTAATGTCTCTGTACTGTTAAATTAGATGATGCCCTCCTAAAAATGACAACAATTTAACATATCTGTATCTGCACCCTGGAGCTGCTCAGCTGATTCACTGCATCACAATTCCCTCACTGGGTTTATTCATGGATAAAAAGATTAGTTTAAATAAATTGTTGACAAGGGGGCTAAATCTAGATTTAAAATGATGTAAAAATCCAAGAGGGAAATGGAATTAAAGGAATAATAACAATAACAGCATGACAAAACTAAGACTGGGCACTTACGGTGGAGTTAGAGCTCCTCATCCTCCCCTGTGCTGCCCAGATGTGCTGAGTACAGATGTCGGTTCCGGCTCGTCTGCAGGGCCCGTAGGTTCTTGAAACGCATGAGCGCCAGAGCCACCTCGGCGTTCCACAGGGTGCCATCCTGCGGACACCGGAAGTCTATTTCCTTGCCCGTGGCCATGACCACGGTGAAGTACACCAGCCCCCGCTTGTACTCCACACAGTCCACCGTTTCCATGAGCTCGAAGCGAAGCTCCTTGGCTTTGGAGCTCCACACCGGGCTCGGGGCATCCCCGACGCCGCCACCCTTACAGCTGTGGAGGCGCAGCCCTTCCTCCGTCAGGACGCAGCGCTTCTTCTTCCACAGCTGGAGCAGTCCGCTGCTGCGCTTCTCCAACAAACCGTCTCTGATCACTTTCACCGACAGAGACATCCCGACTCTGATCCGGTGTTGTATGACAGTCTGACAAGGTATGGCGACTGGACAGAACACCAGTGTTCAGTAAAGAATACAGCAGGTCAGTCTTCAGCAGATAGATCCATAGTGTCACTCACCAGAACATATCCGCTCAAGAGCAGAAACGCCTCTTTAATGACAGCGCACCGGGAAGGTTGGCTGGTCGGTTTGGATGTGTTCGGACATGCCCGGCTCCTCCGCGGACCTCCGCCTCCTGGCTAGTGACAGCAGGAGAAGCAGGCTGCCCAGGAAAGTCGGGTGCGCGTAAAAGAGAACTTGAACGGACGTACAGGTGAAGGTCTCAGTCAGCCTGTCACACACACACACACACACACACACACACACACACACACACACACACACACACACACACACACACACACACACACACACACACACACACACACACACACACACACACACACACACACACACACATTTGTATTTGTTTGTTTGGACCTCCAATGACTTTCATTCATTTTGGTGACTCCACTATGCCTAACTCATACCCTAACCGATACCCAGAACCCTCTCAGGCTCAACATAAGTTTTGATAAAAGGACAAACTACTAAGTCTTTCAGGGGTACTTCAGTTAAAAAATGCTCATGAAATACGTAGGCCTATGTGGAGTAACCAGGTAGGTAGGTTTTAACGTTGAAAATCTGCAACGCCTGAACCCAGAGCTATATATAGATTTAGAGTTACGACACGCTTTGAACTCGCCGACTCGGGGTTATTTGGTACGTGGAGCTCTCAATAGTCCCAAACATCCCAGCCGTAAGTCAGTTTGAACGGCGTGGGACAAATCACAAAAATTGAAATATGTGACATTTCCTCAGGCGATTTTTGGTAATTATTCAATAATATTAAATATTATATTATATAGTATGTCGTAATTCCTTAACAATAGCCTATTTATTTTTTTAGTTTTTCCGGGCATTTGTAGGAAGACAGACACCCGTGACTGTTCTACATTACAGGAATACGACAGTCCTAACGCATTGTAGAACACATTTAGACCACATACATTACTATAATATACTATAGCAATAAATTTGATGTAGTAATGCAACACACTGCTCTAATAGAAAAGTGGGAAGAAGATGTTTTTTTTTCATGGAGAATCATAGGTTTTTCATGACGTCAGGGCTCAGAATGCCACAGGTATTATTAAAATACAATTTTGAAAGAGACCTCAGGAAAAATGCTCACACTATGGTGGGAGCTAATGAGGTTCTCAATAAATAAAATAAAAATAAAATAAAATAGTTTTGTTATTGTTAATTCTTATTTCTTGTCATTCCTTACTTAACAAAAGTGCAAATCCTAATATTATAAAGCAAGTGGAAATGAAAATGTCGTAATTCTATTCTTATTACTTGAGAACACAAAATAGAACAACATATCTTCTTACGTTCGTAATCCTGTTTGTCTCATGCTTCAGCAGTCAGTGTTATCCAGAAAAATTATTAACTGAAAAATATTAAATAATTACTTGTCTTCACAATCACATTTTCTTTATTATTGGTCTCTCCATTTGTGCTTCCATTTCTATTGCATTTTCGTGTTGATACAGCAACCAGTAACGTATTGTACAAAAAAATCCCAAATAAAACTAATGATGTAAAAAGTTTATAACCTATTTCAAACTGTGGGGAATATTTTTAAAACGTTGAATCAAACAAACTGAAATAAACCCGTCTACATCTCGTCAAGTTTGTCTAAACCCCTCCTGCTCACAATCAACAAGCTGCACACAATTAGCTCATTAAAGGTTATCTAGCTAAAACTGGCAACATAAAATGTCATTGTTGGATTATTTTGGTACGAAGCGATTAGCTAGCACTTCACAATGCAAAAAAATGATGACAATTCATCAATTTACCAGAGCAAATCCTTCCGAAAAACCAAAAATGAACTGTGGTCAATGCAGCAACGGGGCTGTTTGGAACTTTTTGAAGCTGCGTGAACCACATGACTTCCGCATTCCATTCTTTCCATAGAAGTCTATTGGAGTGTCGTAACTTTCTCTCTCTCTCTCTAGTTCTGGGTGAACCTAAACTAAAAGCTAAAGCACACCATACCCCTAAGACCAAGATTTAGGGTGCTTCACATTGTCTGGACCATCAAAATGTCCCCACAAAATGTAAAAATGCCCACACACTACAGGTTAAAGTTTGTCCACTTAAACCTATAAAGAGAAGCAAGCGCATGCGCGCACGTGCGCGCACACACACGCATGCACACACACATGCACACACACATTAATCTAGAATTCGTTGTGAGGACGATCATTGACTTCTATTTATTTTAGTGACTGGACTGGGCCTAACCGTAACCCTTGCCATAACCTGTCCACTCTTTACCCTAACCTTAACTAAAACCTTATTCACACCATACCTCTCTAAGACTAACCAGTATAGAGCTTTGTAACATTGTACAAAAGTGAGGACCAGCAAAATGTCCTCACGTGGCTACTAATGTTTATGTTTATTTATTTAGCAGACGCTTTTATCCAAAGTGACTTACAATTTATAACCTATAGGGCTTGTTGTGATCTGTGGGGGAAAGCGGAGTAACCGGAGGAAACCCACGCATGCATGGGGAGAACACGCAACTCCACGCAGAAAGGCCGCAGCCGAGTTTCGAACCTGCAACGTGCTGTGAGGCAACGGTGCTAACCACTGCGCCACCATGCAGCCCATGTACTCAGTTTGCAGGTAAAAACCTTATTTTGGTCCTCACTTTGATTTATAAAAGGGTACCACACACACACACATGCACACACACACACACACACACACACACACACACACACACACACACACACACACACACACACACACACACACACACACACACACACACACACACACAAGTTTACAGTATTGCCTAATCTTTTTGACATGGAATGTGAGTGGGAAGCTGTGATGCATGGACGTACAAACTTTTACAGTGTCAAGATAAAAATCCTCTGGAGCCACAGCAATGCAGTTTACATGACTTAAAATATACAAAATTTTTATTGAATTTATTTTTGCTTTGGAAATGCTGTAATGTGTCAGTGTTGAGAGAAATAATGCATTGTTGAAATGTGCTTAAAAAGTGAACAAAACCACAATTAGAATATTTTTATTATGAATCAAACCACGTTTAAATATTTTTGACCTGCTTAAATCTTAGTTTTTCAACCATTCATTGTCCTGATTTTTTCTTAATTTGGAATTTAGAATTCTGACTTAATTCTATTATAACTTCTTTTCCTCCTGTGTAGAAGCGGTTATTCGTGAAGCTGTTTATTCCCCAAATTTTCACACGATGCAGGTTGGTGATTTCATGAGGCGTGTCATCGCAAAGTTATGAAGTAAACTATAAGAATGTGCTTGTGTCATTTTCTGAAACCAAAACCAAAAGATGACTGTTTAATTTCCAGAAATCTACCTGATAACATGGAGTCAAAATCACTAATTTAATGATATTTCATTTACATATTTTTATTATCATCAGATTCATCCTATACAGGAAGCATGTGTTAAACAGGCAATTCTGGCAAAATAAACACACACAAAAAAAAAATACAAATAAAAAACTACCTGACATTTTTTATAAGTTTGAAGCAAAGATGCAAACTATGAATTCTGATAGTGTAATAGATGCATAAAGAATAATGGTTCAATCCACCTGTTGATTACCCCTCTGATCAGAATGTTGGGGACCATTTAAAAATCTCGATGATTACCCTAACCCTAACCCAAAAGAAAGAGGAGAAAATGCACCAATCAGCATCTTCTAGGCAGATTCCATTATCTGAGTTTTACAAACCTTCTTCCATTTCTAGTTTGAGGAAAGCCTATTTTCTATCTAAAAATAAAAACGATTTGTGTTGCTGTAGAGTTGACTGTTAAGTTGCTTTGTGTGAAGAATGTCTCTATCCTGTAAAATGTAGATGGGTGCCCCCTGGTGCTGGCAAAGAGCAGCTCAACGACCTGGATGGTGGACTTCACTGGGTGTGCGCCAATGCTCCGGCTCCAAGTCCATACCCAAAACCTTTGGGACCAAAGTTTTTCCCGTAACAGCCTGTTGGGAAGTAAACATGATTTTCCAGATCACTCATTGATAGCAGTTTAGCTAAACAAACCCATATAGCCAGATTTTAATTCACACCAAAGATGGTTTTCACAACAAAAATGATAACATTTCATTATAAAAATAGGTTAGATTTGACTTTACAATAATCTTTATTAGATTAGTTTTAGCTTCCACAATAAGCACAGATTATCTTTATATATTGTATTAATTCTAAGTCATTATTTGTTATAACTCATTTTATCACCATGCTTTCTCTCGGGATCCATCACTACTGTACCTTTACAGTAGATTTCTCCATCCTTGTCGGACAGCGTGGTTGACTCCAGGCTTTTCCCGCATGAGGCACAGGTGAAACATCCCGTCTTATGCCAGGCCTGTGGTCCACAGACGTTTCATTTTAAAAGTGTTACATCTAACACGGACATGTGCATAAATATGTGATTTTTTTCTTACACTCCCAGCTCCAATAACTTTCTCAGCAGCGTAGACAGCCTTGCCACAGCGGGGGCATCTGTCGGAGCATCCAAACTTCTGAGCCAGCTTGGACGGGTTTGTGTTGGTGGTAGGAGAATGAGCAGCAGGCCTGATGGGAATAACACATAAAATATGAATAAAGGGTTTTTATATGTAAAGAAATGTTTTTGTTAATATGACACTCACATTTCAGGAGTAATGCCCAGAGACTGTCCTCCATCCATGCTAAGGGTCCCTGCTCCCTGGCCGTAGCCGTAGCCTTTTGGTCCATACTTCTTGCCATAGCACGACTTGCAGTAAACTTCATCCATACGAACAGCAACAGTTGTGCTGTCCAAGCTCTTCCTACACACCACTACAAAAAAAAAGAAAGAAAAAAAAACCACATGTATATATTATTGTTTTGCCTTTTTTGAGCAAGAAGTTATTCAGCACTTTAATGCTTTTAAATTGCCCGTTATTGCTAAAGTTTTAGATAAAGTTGTGGCCAATCAACTTATTACTTTTTCTGGAACTACACAACAATTTTGATACATTTCAATCTGGTTTTCATAAAACAATAAGCAAAAACAGCTTTGCCTAAAATTTCCAGTGACATCATGATGGCTGCAGACAACAGATAATTTAGTCTTTGTATTGTTGGATCTATCTGCAGCTTTTAACACTGTTGATCACATCACCTTAATTAAAAGACCTCATGACTCGGTGGGCAGCTGAAGACCTTTTATTTAAAATAGTTTTTATTAAAATCTTTTGCGTTCTTTCATCTGTATAATGACCTTTTCTCTTTTTAAATATCTTTCATTTGTTTTATGATATTTTGTGGTTTTTGACTCCATGGTCTTTTTGTTTTATTGATCTTTGTGTCACACCCTGTCCTGTCTCCCCATTCTGTTCAGTCATGTGTCTTTGTTAATTGCTCCCACCTGCCTCTCGTTTTCCAATCACCCAATTTCCCAGCCCTCATGTATTTAAACCTCTTCAGTTCTGTGTCTCTTGTTGGCTCATTGTTTCAGTGTCCAGCAAGTTGTCCTCATTAAAGGCTTTTACCTGTTCTAGTTTATCTGCCTGCCTGATTCCTCCCAGCGTGTGGATCCTCAACTCCGCTCCACTCACCAGCGCGCCTAACAGAATGAGCCAACCCACAGAAGGATCCAGCGGGGAGGTGATCCCTTGGGAGTACCTGCTCCAGTTTCTCGCCGCGGACCACCGGCTGGCTCCTCTTCCTCCGGCATCGCCTCGCCGCGGACGCCGCCGCCGAGCCCGGGCCTCGGCGATCCTCTCCACCCTCCCGGAGCTGGATGGAGAGTTGGATGGGGAGGCGCAGATGGACCGCTCCTGCTATGTGGGCACCAGACTGGCTGTGTGCTCCCCCGGAGTTGGCCCACGGTGTTGGGAAGGATGCTGGGCTCCACCGTCACCCCTCGTCCCAAGACGGAGCCGCAAGCACGCCGCTGCCCCGGCTCGGCGTGCCAGCTTGGACCCGCGCCCAGTCAGACCAGCAGTCCCGTCTCCAGTCCAATCAGCGCTTCCGTCATCTGCAAGCGGAGGAACCACGCCTACAGCCCAGCTGACAGAGCTCGCCGGCTTCCAAGCGGAGCTTGGCCGGATCCGTCAGCTCGTCAGCCTCCAGGAGTTCCAGCTGGACACCCTATCCTCCCCGAATCATCAGGAGAAGGTTTCGGTCCGGTCAGCAGCTCCTTCGTCTCTGGGCCAAAGGATCGAGCCCGCAGTCCACCCAGCAAAGCTCGCTGGTCTCCGAGCTGAGCTGGCCCAACTCCATCAGAGCCTCAGTCTCCAGGAGCTCCAGCTGGACAATCTATCCACCCTGCTTTCCCAGTTACCGGCGCCACCAGCTCAGTCAGCACCCAGTCCTGCACCACCACTCCAGAAGTCGACGGTCCAGAAGTCGACGCCTCTGAACCAGAAGTTGACCCCCCCTCCAGTCCAGAGTTTGACGTCCCCTCCAGTCCAGAGGTCGACGTCTCCTCCAGTCCAGAGGTCGACGTCCCCTCCAGTAAGACATCTCCCCCTCCAGTCCAGAGGTCGACGTCCCCTCCAGTCCGACGTCTCCCCCTCCAGTCCAGTGGCCGCCGCCTCCAGTCCAGTGGCCGCCGCCATCTCCATTCCAGTGGCCGTCGCCGCTGTCTCCATTCCAGTGGCCGTCGCCGCCGTCTCCATTCCAGTGGCCGTCGCCGTCTCCATTCCAGTGGCCGTCGCCGCCGTCTCCATTCCAGTGGCCGTCGCCGTCTCCATTCCAGTGGCCGCCGCCGCCGTCTCCATTCCAGTGGCCGTCGCCGCCATCTCCATTCCAGTGGCCGTCGCCGCCGTCTCCATTCCAGTGGCCGTCGCCGTCTCCATTCCAGTGGCCGCCGCCGCCGTCTCCATTCCAGTGGCCGTCGCCGCCGTCTCCATTCCAGTGGCCGTCGCCGCCGTCTCCATTCCAGTGGCCGTCGCCGCCGCCTCCTCCAGTCCAGTGGCCGCCGCCGCCTCTAGTCCAGTGGCCGCCGCCGTCTCCATTCCAGTGGCCGTCGCCGCCGCCTTCAGTCCAGAGGCCGCCGCCGCCACCTCCAGTCCAGAAGTCAAGGACGTCCCCTCAGGCGTCTCTGCCTCCGGTCACTGCCAGTCCTGCCCTCACCAGACGCAGGCCCCCAAGAGCCCGTCGTCGCCTCCTCCTCTGCCACAGACGCAGGCCCCCAAGAGCCCGTCGTCGCCTCCTCCTCTGCCACAGACGCAGGCTCCCAAGAGCCCATTGTCGCCTCCTCCTCTGCCATAGATGTAGGCCCCCCAGAGCCCGTTGTCGCCTCCTCCTCTGCCACAGACGCAGGCCCCCAAGAGCCCGTCGTCGCCTCCTCCTCTGCCACAGACGCAGGCTCCCAAGAGCCCATTGTCGCCTCCTCCTCTGCCATAGATGTAGGCCCCCCAGAGCCCGTTGTCGCCTCCTCCTCTGCCACAGACGCAGGCTCTCAAGAGCCCGTCGTCGCCTCCTCCTCTGCCACAGACGCAGGTTCCCAAGAGCCCGTCGTCACCTCCTCCTCTGCCACAGACGCAGGCTCTCAAGAGCCCAGTGTCGCCTCCTCCTCTGCCACAGACGCAGGCTCTCAAGAGCCCGTCGTCACCTCCTCCTCTGCCACAGACGCAGGCTCCCAAGAGCCCAGTGTCACCTCCTCCTCTGCCACAGATGTAGGCCCCCCAGAGCCCGTTGTCGCCTCGTCCTCTGCCACAGACGCAGGCCCCTGGACTCTACTGGTCCCTGCCTCCTCTCCATCGGTCCCCCTCGGCCCTCCCTCCGTGTCCCCCTCCTCCCGCCCTGCTCTGTGTTCCTATGGGCGTCTGGGATCCGCCCTTTGAGGGGAAGGGGGGGTGGGGGTTGGGGGGGAGGTGGGGGGTGGGGTGGGGGGGTACTGTCACACCCTGTCCTGTCTCCCCATTCTGTTCAGTCATGTGTCTTTGTTAATTGCTCCCACCTGCCTCTCGTTTTCCAATCACCCAATTTCCCAGCCCTCATGTATTTAAACCCCTTCAGTTCTGTGTCTCTTGTTGGCTCATTGTTTCAGTGTCCAGCAAGTTGTCCTCATTAAAGACTTTTACCTGTTCTAGTTTATCTGCCTGATTCCTCCCCAGCGTGTGGATCCTCACCTCCGCTCCACTCACCAGAACGCCTGACACTTTGTGAAGTACTTTGTGGTTCTTTTTTCTGAGATAAGGGTTATATAAATAAACTATACTTACTTTACTTAATGTGTTCAGATAAGCACAACTGCTGCCTTTTATGGTGCAATTCTACTAAAGAAACATTCTCATCTGAATTCCAGGGCAGGAATGTAAAACAGAAAGCCAAATCTCTGCCAGAGCTCCGTGAACTTAAACTCCTTTTTTACTGAGGCAAAGATACAGAATTCCAGAAATATACAATGCATGTCTTCAACCTGCAATTGTGCTTTTTGTAGGTGATTTTCAAAGAGTTCAAATTGTAATCAGAGGCCTCACCCTCTCTTCTGTCCTCTGCTCTCTTGTATATGTCTTGATGGAAAAACTCACACTGAGGTGGAGATTTTATTGACATCGAATCATCTAGAAAGATGTTTTGTAGAGTCACCAAAGCAGAGATTATTACATTGTTTATAGGTTGTGTTCAAACTATTCTTTCTCTGCAAAATTGCAAGAAATGGCAAAATCGATTTAGAAAGATATTTTCTGTTTAATCAATAAAATTACACTTTTAATTTGTTGCATCACAAGTCCCAAGTGTGATGCAGTTCAGATACACAGCTACCAATGTCCTAAAATGATCATTTTGTAACACATGAAGGTTTAAAACAGACCAAGAGTCTGAATTGAATTCTAGGAAATGACTGTAATGACAAGTGTGAAAAGGTCAGTGGTTTCCATGGTTACAATCACCGGAAACTTACTGCACAGGAAGCAGGACTTGTGGAAGCTCCGCCCATCACAGAGTACTTCTTCTGCAAAGTAAACTGTCTTCGAACAGCGGCCACATTTGTTTCCTCCTCCTAAAGGCATCCTATGGTAATGCATAAAACACACGTAAACACATGGTTAGTGGTGTGATGTCCATAATTTGAGTCTTATTTGTTCCAGATCATGTCTGTAAACACGAAGTCACCTAAACAAAAACTATGTGCAGCCGTTAGAAAAAGAATGAAAGTAAACAAGACTAGAAAAGAATAGAAAATACCTTTATTGTCCTTCAGTGGAGAAATTCTAGTGTAAAAGCAGCAAAGTAGATTCACAAGAAGGATAAACAATAAAAACGTTGTACATTGAATAAAAATAGGTGTTGTCATCTCTTTTATCATGGGATAAAATTTCTATAAAACATTTTAAAACCTGCTTTAAATTTTGTAAATAGTGATGAATTAACTTGAAAAATAGAAAACATATTTTGAAAGAGCACAAGACCAGTGAACAACCTTTCAAAAACCACCCTGCAGAATTTGAGATCATCTAAACATCCATTGTAGGGAGTCTGGCTTTTCCAGCACTATAATTTCCTGTTTTCCAGTTTTCTTTGGTTTCTGTGAGGAGCCAGCAAAACCATTCATGGAAACATTGGATAATTCAGTCTCGTGTTTCAGGGAAAGAGATGAAAACCGCTGCTTTTGAAAAGTAAAAGGAGTCAATGTGACGTTAAAATGAAACCACGACTCTTTGAGGAGTGTTACAGAAAGTTTAAATGTGAAACTCTTATGAAATTTTACTTGTTTCTTTCCTGCGAGTCTCCCAACTTGACCCACCCTGTCAATTCTCCACATTCCTGTCTGTGAAGATCCTCCCACCTCTATGCTGACTGGTTTACACCACAACACCCGCCAGCAAGTCTCGTTCTACGTCTCCACTCCAGACTGTCTTATGCATGGAGTGGTTGCTTAGTTAAAAATATTAAAATAAGTGGCTAAAATTGCATTTAGATCAGTTCCTATTCTCAGATCAGTTCAGAAAGCAACGCTAACAAGACAGATTGCTCATTTCCTATCACCGCTGGTCATGTTTCCTGTTCTTTAAAGCAACATGAATATGATACCATTTGACTGCAACTGTAGCTGATTGAAGTAAAAATAAAACACAAATTGCAGTTTATTGTATTTGTTTTTACTTATTACATTTTCTTAATGATCAAATTCTCACTTAAAAAACTAAAATGATGACTTGAACTGAGAAGTGTTGATGGGAAATGAAACTTGAAAAGAAAAGGTCTCTAAGTGTTTTGCTAAATGCAAAGACTACAGTTTGTGGTTGTGAGCTGTTAAACTGGATGTATTCCTGTAAAAGCAGAAGTGTTTTTGCATTCGTCAATTTAACTAAAATAATGTCTAAGAGCTTCCCGAAAAAACAAAAAAAAGTTTCATCTTCTGCTGCTAGACAGTCCAAATGGAGCTAAAAAATCTTTAACTGAGCTCAGTGCTGATAAAACAAATCATTTCCACCCCAAGGCTTCAGGATCAAGTACCAAAAAAATCCAAAAGAAGACAAAAATATGTAAATCAACACCAATAAGAATAGGATAAATGATAAAAACAATGCAACATTTACAACATAGAATGCTGAAGACAACAGCAGCTGATGTTCCCATGAAGGGAAACACTAAATCAGTAGGGACTAAATTATAGAAACTCCTTTAGCGTATTTGTTGGTTGCAGTTCTGCAGGTTTAAACATGCTGGGACAGGAATGTGTGAGGGAGGCATGACGACGATCAACTCCTACAAATTAGGAAGTTTACCTTTGAGTTAGATGTGGCCACATGTAACTTTTATGTGATCACATCAAATACTAAGATCATTCCCCTTTGTCTGCTCACAGGATCTTCCTGTTACATAACCACATTGTATTCCTATGAACTCCAACGAATTACCTCATACCTGCGTGCTCCAACATCATAACAGAAAAGAGCAGTGTGCTTTTTTTCAACATGCATGAAAACACTAAGACGTTGTCTACAGCTAGAAGCAAACATGAAGCAGGAAGATCAGTCACGTGTCTTACCTTGACTGAGAAAGGGCTGAGGTGAGCGATGAAGGGTCAGGGTAAAGTTTGGTTGTCTCAGAGCAGCGATGGGTGTGTGCAGGAGACCAGAAACCCAGATCTAAGCGGATCTGAATGAAACCAGGTCCTCAGTGGTTTTATCCTGGTTGCTCTAGCAGATTGCTGGTGTGGCTTTCCTGCTGAGTTCCTCCAGATGTGCTGAAGGGGGTGGAGCTTGCTGTTGCAGCACTGATGTAGATGAGAGAGGAGTTTCTGAGTAATTTACAAAGTCATAGAGGGTGAAAAGTATGGGGTGAATGAGTGAATGGGTGGGGAGGAACATTCTCTCATCAACAAAATAACTGGTACTGTGTGTTATTAAAATATTACATTTGTTATGTTTAATTTGAATATCAGGTGCATTTCTGATTTTATATCTCAGAGCAATGAGTTAATTTTAAGATTTTAAGATACATGTGGTGTCATATTTTGACTTACAAAAGCTTTTTTTCCCACTTAAATGAAAGAAAAGTGTCAAAACCTGACAAACATGTTGACAACTGATTCAAACATATCAACATCATAAGTTAAGTAATTAAATGATTCACATAATCTGAATTTAAAGGTAAACCTTTAGGATTTGATTGATTTTCAATGTC